TGCCATGAAAATGACCACACGGCAGCCTGCTAATGCCCAGATCAGTGCAGTTTATATTTGTTGTAGCCGTGATTGACAAAGCATTTTTTTTAAAGCCCGTTTATGGAAAACAGCGAGAGCGGCGTCGTTGGGTGCCAGCCGTAGAAACGATTCACAACGCGCGATTCACAACGCGCGATTCATAACGCGCGAACAGTTGTCCTCACGGCCGTCGAATCTCCTCCACCTCCAACCCTCCCTCCCCTCCCTCCCACCACCAAATAAAAAAAAAACCCCGAGGTTCTTCTCTTGAACCGACTGGGCTCGCCAGCCTCGTTCATTGTGCCTGTGGAACGCAGTGTCTCGCGCGCCTCGTGACCGTTCATCGCCGTCGTCGTCGTCATCAGCGAGCTGACGTGAGGAATTGACTTCATATTTAAAGGTTCCGATCGATGTGAGGTTCCCACGCACTGCTATATACAGTGAGGGAAAAAAGTATTTGATCCCATGCTGATTTTTTTACGTTTGCCCACTGACAAGGAAATGATCAGTCTATAATGGTAAGTTTATTTGAACAGTGAGAGACAGAATATCAACAAAAAAATCCAGACAAACGCATGTCAAAAATGTCATAAATTGATTTGCATTTTAATGAGGGAAATAAGTATTTGACCCCTCTGCAAAACATGACTTAGTACTTGGTGGCAAAACCCTTGTTGGCAATCACAGAGGTCAGACGTTTCTTGTAGTTGGCCACCAGGTTTGCACACATCTCAGGAGGGATTTTGTCCCACTCCTCTTTGCAGATCTTCTCCAAGTCATTAAGGTTTCGAGGCAGACGTTTGGCAACTCGAACCTTCAGCTCTTTCCACAGATGTTCTATGGGATTAAGGTCTGAAGACTGGCTAGGCCACTCCAGGACCTTAATGTGCTTCTTCTTGAGCCACTCCAATGTTGCCTTGGCCGTGTGTTTTGGGTCATTGTCATGCTGGAATACCCATCCACGACCCATTTTCAATGCCCTGGCTGAGGGAAGGAGGTTCTCACCCAAAATTTGACGGTACATGGCCCCGTCCATCGTCCCTTTGATGCGGTGAAGTCCTGTCCCCTTAGCAGAAATAACACCCCCAAAGCATAATGTTTCCACCTCCATGTTTGACGGTGGGGATGGTGTTCTTGGGGTCATAGGCAGCATTCCTCCTCCTCCAAACACGGCGAGTTGAGTTGATGCCAAAGAGCTCCATTTTGGTCTCCTCTGACCACAACACTTTCACCCAGTTGTCCTCTGAATCATTCAGATGTTCATTGGCAAACTTCAGACGGGCATGTATATGTGCTTTCTTGAGCAGGGGGACTTTGCGGGCGCTGCAGGATTTCCGTCCTTCACGGCGTAGTGTCTTACCAATTGTTTTCTTGGTGACTATGGTCCCAGCTGCCTTGAGATCTGACTATGGTCCCAGCTGCCTTGAGATCATTGACAAGATCCTCCCGTGTAGTTCTGGGCTGATTCCTCACCGTTCTCATGATCATTGCAACTCCACGAGGTGAGATCTTGCATGGAGCCCCAGGCCGAGGGAGAATGACAGTTCTTTTGTGTTTCTTCCATTTGCGAATAATCGCACCAACTGTTGTCACCTTCTCACCAAGCTGCTTGGCAATGGTCTTGTAGCCCATTCCAGCCTTGTGTAGGTCTACAATCTTGTCCCTGACATCCTTGGAGAACTCTTTGGTCTTGGCCATGGTGGAGAGTTTGGAATCTGATTAATTGATTGCTTCTGTGGACAGGGGTCTTTTATACAGGTAACAAGCTGAGATTAGGAGCACTCCATTTAAGAGTGTGCTCCTAATCTCAGCTCGCTACCTGTATAAAAGACACCTGGGAGCCAGAAATCTTTCTGATTGAGAGGGGGTCAAATACTTATTTCCCTCATTAAAATGCAAATCAATTTATAACATTTTTGACATGCGTTTTTCTGGATTTTGCTGTTGTTTTTCTGTCTCTCACTGTTCAAATAAACCTACCATTAAAATTATACACTGATCATTTCTTTGTCAGTGGGCAAACGTACAAAAAATCAGCAGGGGATCAAATCCTTTTTTTCCCTCTGTATATACGACGATCTCCCCATTCACCGTCGGTCAGCGATTGATTGACTATACTGCACCACGCTGGTGGGGGGAGGTAGCGGGGGCGTGGGAAATAGAATCAGTTGAGGTATCAATCGCCACTGATGTTAGCCGTGTCCGAACATTGTAATCAGGTCACCGAGGTCACAGCGCAGTGCGCTAACCGTTGCTCCACCGCTCCCCAACGTCTCACCACGTACCGACCAAGCCATAAATCAAACAAAGCGGCACCGACACTGAGCAGTGCCCCGTTCGGCGAACCACTTATTCTGATGGGTGCATGGCTTTCATCAGCCTTATCTTATCCTCTCCTCTTCTTTATCCCCCCCTCTCCTCCTCCTCCTCCTGCTGCCCCTATCCTCCCGCTGTGGTAACATCGGGGCCCTCCCACCCGGGAGAGAGCGCGCCCATCAGCCGTCCCTTACAAACCCAGCGCTGCTTTACTGCAGGAATTTCCTGTGTGGCCCGGAGCCACGGTTGCAGCTGCGCGGGGTTCGTAGGGTGCCTGGCAAGGACGGGGGTGGGATGTGTGTGTGGGGGGGGGCAGCAGTAGAAGTGGGAGCGGTGTCCACGAGAGGGCCCGAGAACGAGGGCGCGTGTCGACCCCGTGGAGGAGTGGCATTGGTGATCTCGCGCACGCAGCTCCGCGATCGATTTTTGAATCGAAGCTCGAGGGTCGATTTTAATCAATCTATTCTGTCAACTCGTTTTGCTCCGCGTATGAGCTTCCGTATCAAATCACCACGACGACAGCCGTATATAGGCAGGCGGTGTGGAGCGCTACGGTGGCGAGCTGTTAACTACCTCGCCTGGTATACAGGTGGTCGTGGGTTCGATCTCGACCCTGATGCCTGCTGCTGTATATTTACGAGTGTGAATGTTCTCCCCCGTGGTCGCGTGGATTTTTCTCCGGGTCCTCCGGTTTTTCCCTCCACATTTAGAATAAACATCACCACACGTTTAGAGGATTCGGTCGCTATACATTTACCCGTGATAAGTGGCTTCGTTGAGCTATCATTTGAAAACGAGCTATATAGCTCAGTGGGCCTTACATGGTAAAATAAAAAATAATAGTTTAAATAGTTGGTCAAGGGCTGTTAGCGAGCACTTCAAGCACTGCACGGCACAGAAAAGGCGGCCGATGCCACGCCCGGCCGCCTTTGCTTCCCCGAGTGCTGATTTGTACACGCCGCAACCAGGTTAGGTACTCAGTTAATGCTGAGTCGACCAAGGGGAAAGCCTAGGATCGGCTCTGACACGGCGACTTCCAATGCAGCGCGTACACACATCCCGTGAGTCACGCACACACAGGGAGACGCACGTGGTGATGACACGGGCCCAGGCAACGCCTGCGCGAGGGACTGCCCCTTGCCCCAGTGTCTCCTATTGCCCTTGGCAGGAGACTGAGACAGCTGCCCTCCCTCCCCCTGTCGTGGCGGAGCGAGCCCCTGTTTGTGCTGGCAGCGCGGGCAGTCGCGCATGGGCACGCGCGGGGCAGTAGCCCTCGTCCCAACTCAGCTGCCCCCACCGCCTGCCCCCAGCTCCCCCCCCGACCACCTCCCAATTCACGCCAGTTCGAAGTTTTTTTTTCTTCTCGCGCAATGAATCAGACCCCGATGTGACACGGCCGTTAATTCTGCTCCGGTTATTTTATTGTTTTTTTATGGTTTTTAAGTTTTATTATTCGTCGGTACTCGTAATAATTTAGCTCTCGGCTCCTCGAACCCCCCAGCCAATCTCATTCATCAGCTCATCCACACTCCGGAAGAGCCCCCCACCGTAAACAAACAGAGAGCGGTTCCCCTGCTCCAGCTCAGTCTCAACCCCCCGTCTCCTCCTCTTCTTCTGCCTCCTGCGACCCCCCCCTGCCCCCCGCCCCCCAACCTCCGTGTGTACATGTGTCTGCATTCACGTACGGCCATCTGGTCAATTCCACTGCTGGATGAGGGCCTCCGCATTAAAGATGTCCCCGATGGTGACAGTGGTTGTTTAAGCATTCTCCCGCTGGCCGGTGAAAATGCGGAGTGTTTTTTTGTTACGGTGACACATAGACGTGTGTAGTACGGTACACCAATGGACACAACTGCTGCTGCACTGCCCACTGTTGGCAGGGCAGCCCTCGTAGTAGCCTAACGCACTCTGGACTCTGGACAACGTTCTCAATTATGTATCCACGAATGCCTCACTGAGGAGCAAGACCCATCTGCACTGTTGCCAATGAAAGGCCCATTTCTTAAATCTAAATCAGCGTCATCGCCCATGATCATGATCGTTACGCTCATCATCACGATTATGGTGTCAGAAGTTCACACTCCCTCATTGGATGGGTAAACCCTCCGAAATTAATAATTTCATCATCATCCTCAATCCACCACCACCACCACCGTCTTCATCATCATCGTGAGCAGCGCAGCGTCCAAGATTATTGTCCCACTCTGTCCACGCGAGGGCGCACGCCCAAGATCCGGCACGGGGACAGCTGCTCAAACACGCACGAGAGGCCCGCCACTCAAATCAATCCGAGCCCTCAAATTTTTTATTTATTTTTTTCCCGATGGACAACATTTTTTGAAAATGAATTAAAATCACGCGAAATTATTGTACACGCGCGTTGCGCTGAAACGCAAACCTCTCCGGACCCACATCCCATTGACCACGATAACATCTAAACATCTCAACTCTCCTTGGAAATTCCAAGCGAGGCCTCGTGGATGATGCCCTCTTGCTGATGCGTTTCGCGGTAGACCTTGGGAGCGGTAGCGTCCGGCGTCGGTAGTCGTGGCGAGTGTCGCGATAAGGTCACGGGAGGGGGGGGGGGGGGGCGGGTGTAACCCTCTCTAAAGCCACCGCATCCGCCAGCTGGGTCCACACGCCTAGGCCCTCGGTCACCTCGTGAGGGGGCCCTGATACACCAGGCAGCGCGTGATTGGCCCTGTTCCCCTTGCATTCTGCTGCTCGGGGGCCCCCGTGGAGGCCCATAAATAGCCTTCGTGGCGGCCGCGGAGCACAATGCACTCGCCGTCACCGCTTGTTCAAGCTACATTTTAATTTCCCTCTTTGTTGAGTTTCATCCCACCGTCCCGGCAGCATCATGACAACGTCGGCGAGGCTTCTGCTCGCGGCGCTGGTCGCCACGGCTCTCGTAGCGTCCGGCGGAGCGGCGCGTCAGGTCGCGGGGGTTAGGAAGGACGCGAAGGGGGCCTCCGTGGGGAAGGGGGGCGACTTTGGCAGGGCCGACGAGGCCGCGGACAGGGTCTCGCGCCCCTTCAAGTCCCTCGACGGAGGTTCGTGAACATCCCACCACCAGCAAAACCGCAATCTCGCCGACAAATCCCCAACGGCAGTCGGTCATGGGCAGACGAACGCAAACACGTCTTGAGTCTGGAATTGAACAGAAGCAGGAAGTCGACAGCATGGATGGCTGGTTTAAGGGAGTTCCCAGATGATCAGGGGACGGGACAGGAGAATGAGCGAACCTCTCATTGAGAGATTCAATTTAAAAAAACCCAGCCGAGTGTGGAGATGCCGGGGATTGAACCCGGGGCCTCACACATGCGAAGCGTGCGCTCTACCACTGAGCTACATCCCCGGTCGTCTCTTCCACTCGCCGCTGTCACACAGATAACAAAGATCCCCTAAATAGCATTGACAGACTGTTGGGGTAAGTGTTATTAGCGAGCAGCTCTGACGGCCGGGATGGTACCCGAGGGGGTGGGTGGCCAGCACTACGGCCGGGCCGCCTTCTGTATCCCGAGTGGCGATGTTCACACACCGCACCAGGTACTCATTTGAGACTGGTCGACCTAGGGGTGACCCGGTACCGGTTCAGATAATCGTCCCTGGTGTTGGCGACCGCCAGTGGGAGTCGAACTCAGGTGTCTGCAGGGTTTGCAGCGCAGCACGCTCTCACCGCTGCGCCACCGCTCCCCACAAGAGGCCAGCGTGAGCACCTACACACAGACACACGCATGTTTTTATTATTTTATTTTACCAGGTAAGGCCCACTTTAGCTATACAGCTCTTTTTTAGAAGCGACCTGGCTATCACAGATGATCGCTCAACGTAGTGACTTACGCTGAAAATGTATCGCAGCCAAATAATCTAAACCAGTAGTTCTTAACCTATACTGCAGCCTTGCAAAAACATTTATAATGTTAACAAATACTTGGGTTTGATCAAACAAACTAGTTGTACTTACGTACCCGTGCTTAATTAGTGTTTTCGATTTACCTTCAAACAATAATCTGTCCATGTCTCGCACCCCCAGAAAGGGCATCTCGCACCCCCAGGGAATGCGTGCACCCCAGGTCAAGAACCATTGCTCTGACCGCACGTTGATTCTAAATGAGGGAAACCCCATAGGATCCGGAGCTAAAGCCACGCGTTCACAGGGAGAGAGAGAGAGACACCGCAAACTCCCAAATGGGGTTGCGCTCCACACATGCTGACCCGGTGGGACCCTAGCAATGTTGTGCGCGTGTATTTTTTGTTGTTGCAGGATGGGGAGACTCCATCCCGTGGGTCCAGACGTACGAGGAGGGCCTGAAGATGGCAGCGGAGCAGTTGAGTAGCGGCGATGCCCCGCCACCGCGCTCACAGCCAACCACGCCAATTGTTGGTTGTTGTTGTTGTTATCTTTCTCTCTCGAGCCGCGCCGCATGAGTTTGATCTCGGTCCGTGTTGAATGAGTTTGCATCTCCTGACCACGTGGCTTTTTGTTTCTTACAGAGGGAAGCCGCTCATGGTGATTCATTGGTCCGAAGCGTGCCCCTACTGCATAGGTAAAGTACTCACGGATTATTCATAAAAGTACTCACGGATTATTCATAAAAGTACTCACGGATTATTCATAAAAGTACTGACGGATTGATTTTATCACGTAATTATTTGTGTGCGGGTCGCTGGGATTAAGAACGTGACTAGTATAGCGACAGCCATACCCACGTGTATACTGGATGTGGTGTACCGGGTGTAGGTAATATTCTATGCACCGAACTGTTTGAAATGAAACCCCTGGGTCAGTTGGTTACCGATGGCTTTGTGCAAAGAGATGTTGTGCATTAGGAATAGAGAGGAATCTACGGGGTGGTGGTTTCATCACGACTTGTACGAAGCGAAAAATCAAGAGATTCTTGCCAAAGCGAATTGATGTGCGTATCGTAAGCGAAAATCATCGATATGCATCGATGAGTTCGATGCATCGTTACGCCTTGCCATTTTGACCGACCTACACCAGATACTGTAAAGTGTGACAATTCTGGATGGGGATTCAATCCAAGATGCAGCTTTAAGATCAGCGCTCAGTACTTTTTGTCAACATCAGAACGGGAGACACAAAGGTGACCGGGCGTGGTGTTAGCCACCCCACCACCCCGTCTAGCACCGTGCCGGCTTTGGCTGGTGCTCGATAAAACCCCTAACAGTGTGCATCGGGCGTACACGTGTGATCGTTGCTTGTGTGTGCGTCTTTACACTTAGGGCAGTCATCTCAGTCAGTCAACCCACCTGGGTTTATCCCGTGACCTCCTGCCAGCGGGCGTTCGGCACTTCACGTGGCCTTAAAATGCACTTATCCTGGCACAAGCGCCACCTGGTGGCGTTCGGGCAAGTTGTTGTCTTTACACGCGGTAGTGCTAAGGTTAGCGCGCTGCGCTACGAACCCGGCGATCCTAATTTAGATTCCAGCTCACGGCCAACACCGGTGACGATGATCTGGAACGGTCCTGAGCCTCCCCTAGGTCGACTCAGCATCACATGAGTACCTGGTGCGATGCGTAAACATCGCCACTGGGGAAACAAAGGCGGCCGGACGTGGTGCTGACCACCCACCCCCTCGTGCGTCCGTGCCGGCCTTCGTGGGTGCTCGCTAACATCACTTGCCCCGACAGTCTGTTAAGGCTACACGGTTAATCTTTCGCCTTTTGTCTTTTTTTTTTCCCCACGCACGGGTCCCCAGCCCTCCGCGAGGCCTTCAAGAACCACGGCGAGGTTCAGAGGATGGCAGCAGAGGACTTCGTGAGCGTCAACCTGCAGGTGCGACGCAGAGGGAATTGGGTGGGAGCCGTGTGGGTGGAGGCGCTCCGTGCTGGTACCCGTGCCCAGTGGCCAGGGGCGGAGCCAGGATTTTGACTTGGGGGGGGCTGACTTCAATATTCTGAGATATCCAGTGTAATGTTTTCCAATGGGCGCCACAAATGTATAAAACACATTTTATTGGATTTGAACGCGGAGTTTATTAATAGGTCGGAGCCGCTGATGTGGCTAATAAGTTCGAGATAAGTTCGAAAGGCTGCCGCTCAAGCAGCCTGCAGGGCAGCACACAAGGTGGCAGCACGAGGTGGCAGCCTGCAGGGCAGCACAAGGTGGCAGCCTGCAGGGCAGCACAAGGTGGCAGCCTGCAGGGCACCACAAGGTGGCAGCCTGCAGGGCAGCACAAGGTGGCAGCCTGCAGGGCAGCACGAGGTGGCAGCCTGCAGGGCAGCACAAGGTGGCAGCCTGCAGGGCAGCACAAGGTGGCAGCCTGCAGGGCAGTACAAGGTGGCAGCCTGCAGGGCAGCACGAGGTGGCAGCCTGCAGCATTTTGCAGCAGCCGGATATCCGGTTATCCCGATTACCGACTTTCCCAAAATTTCAGGGGGGGGCTAAGCCCCCCCCAGCCCCCCCCGTAACTCCGCCCCTGTGGCAGAATGCGAGCGGTGTTCGTGTCTGCCGAATCATCACCTCTTGTTTGTATCCCCCCCCCTCCGCACGCACCTCCGATTAGCACGGTTGGCTACGTACGAAAGAAGTTCCAACAGCCGTCATCAATCTTTTAAATGCTCTTTGCTTCGACGTCGTCATCACTGCTTGAATGCGACGCGGTTGTAATCCGCGGCGCGCACGCGCTCGCTGACTGATCTTCGTCGCTCCGTTTCGAACGCGTCCCACGTCTTGGGCGCCACTCGCTCCGTGGCCCTAGGTCACCGTCCCTCCTCGTCGACGCCTCCTGTCCCGAGTCCACGAACTCGTCGCAAACATTGTGGACGTTGCCATTGACGCCGCGCGCCTCCTCTAAATGCACGCGGGCCTCTTTCTCTCTCGCAATGTCACCGCCAGGTTCGCGTCTCAACTAGCGTCAACGCTTATTTGTCTCCAGCCTCTGCTTCGCGCTCTTCGGCATGATGAGTTTTCCCCATCCGTTTACAGAAGAAAGTCTTCGAATCGATTTATTGTCTGCCCATAGCCGGCGCTAAACCCTGGAGGCTGGGGTTGTCCGCATCCAGTGAGCCTCCCGAGGCGTGAGTTTGAGTCTGGGTTTATTGGATTTCGTACACAGCAGCAGGAGATAATGATGGTTATAGTGTGTCGAGCATTTATAGCAGGATGCAACTGATATACAGCTGTCTCCTGTCTAAAATAACAAGGCCGCACTTTTGTGTCGTTTGAGTCGGTGGTGGAAAACAATTGAGGGTATCTGCGTCATACACGCAGCGTGGTATGTACGTTGAACCTCGTTCGCACCGTGTGTAGCCAACCGTGCTCATCGGAGGTGTGGGCGAAGGACAACAAACTAATCATGAAAAGCAGTTCTCAATAAATGCGTTTTCAATCTAGATTTTAAAGTGCATAGCTCCAGTGGCTTCATAACATCGGAAGGAAGAGCGTTCCAGACGGCCACGGAAACGCATCTGAACAACGCGCGATGCAGTGACCGTCTTTGTTCGATGGCCAGACAAGAGCCGCTGAGGATGACCCAGAGTTCGCGTGGTGATGTCACGTGGCAAGCAAGGAATGATGGGAAGAACAGATCGATCCCCCGGTCCCAATTGCGCTTTAGGATTAACGTGTTGCACCTGCTTCTTTACGCGTGTGGGTTGTGTAAGTACATGCACACGTGTGTCTTTGTGTGTGTGTGTTGTGTAAGTACATGCACACGTGTGTCTTTGTGTGTGTGTGTTGTGTAAGTACATGCACACGTGTGTCTTTGTGTGTGTGTGTTGTGTAAGTACATGCACACGTGTGTCTTTGTGTGTGTGTGTTGTGTAAGTACATGCACACGTGTGTCTTTGTGTGTGTGTGGGTTGTGTAAGTACATGCACACGTGTGTCTTTGTGTGTGTGTGTTGTGTAAGTACATGCACACGTGTGTCTTTGTGTGTGTGTGTTGTGTAAGTACATGCACACGTGAGTCTTTGTGTGTGTGTTGTGTAAGTACATGCACACGTGTGTCTTTGTGTGTGTGTGGGTTGTGTAAGTACATGCACACGTGTGTCTTTGTGTGTGTGTGGGTTGTGTAAGTACATGCACACGTGTGTCTTTGTGTGTGTGTGGGTTGTGTAAGTACATGCACACGTGTGTCTTTGTGTGTGTGTGGGTTGTGTAAGTACATGCACACGTGTGTCTTTGTGTGTGTGTGTTGTGTGCTGCACACGCATGTGGGCACAAGGACACCGTTAACGCAGCGCTTTGATGTCCTTTAAGACCGAGACCTTGGATCAAAACCTCGCTCCCGATGGTCGCTACGTGCCCAGGATCATGTTTGTCGGTGAGCGGTGCACCCAGATGTCCCAATGGGATTCCACGTGCGTCCATGTGTGTGTGTGCGTGTACATGTGTGTGTGTGCGTGTACATAAGTGTGTGTGTTTAACACGTAGGACTTTCGCGACCAATATTATTCATAATAAAGGTTTTAGGGTTAGATCGCGTTATTTATAAATGTGTCCTAAGTATTCACCATCCAACATGGCCAATCAGCAAAAAAGTGTCACGTTGACAAAAGACAAATAGTTCACTACTTTAGCCCACCGGTGTGTTGAAGAGTGAATCCACAACATTTACAGTTTGAGTACGACATTTCGCTGGTAATTACATCCAGCATCATCGGGCAATTCGCCAGAATGGTGAAGCCCTCACTTGCTTAAATAGAGCAGCAGGGTGCCGTCATCATTTAACTCTTTCAGGTGTATTACAACTAATTACTAATCTACAACTCATTACTAATCATAACCATTGACTGATTACCAATCGATTATATAATTACAATACCCCCCCTCCGCCTCAAATCGCTGCACCTGAATGAGTTAAATGATGACGTCACCCTGCTGCTGTTCTATTTAAGACCGAGAGCAAGTGGAGAGGGCTTTACCATTCTGGAGAATTGCCTGATGATGCTGGATGTAATTACCAGCGAAACGTCGTACTCAAACTGTAAATGTTGTGGATTAACTTTTCAACACACCGGTGGGCTAAAGTAGTAAACTATTTGTCTTTTGTCAACGTGACACTTTTTTGCTTCTTGGCCGTGTCGGGTGGTGGAGGGTTACAACACATTTATAAATAACGCGATCTAACCTAAAAACCTTTATTATGAATAAGTATGTGTGTCTACTTATAGTGGTAGTGTAACGGTTAGCGCATTGCGCTACGAACTTAACCACCGGTGTTCGATTCCCACTGACGGCCAACTGGTTCAGACGATTATCTGAACCAGTCCTGGGCATTCTAAAACTAAACTATATATATTTTGTATTTTACCAGGTAAGGCCCACTGAGCTATAACGCCCTTTTTCATAAGCCTGGCCACAAATTATTACGCCACTAAGTGGCTTATCACGCGGAATTGTATCGCAGCTAAATACCCGAAACGTGTTTTTTTTTTATTCTAAATGTGGAGGGTGGAAAACCGGAGGACCCGGAGAATAATCCACGAGACCACGGGGAGAGAGACACCGCAAACTATAAATATACAGCAGGCGTCAGGGGGTTGGGATCGGACCCACGACCTCTTGCATATCCAGCGAAGTAGTGAACGTCTCTCCACCGTGGCGCCCCCCGACTCCTCTAGGTCGACCCAGCCTCAAATGAGTACCTGCTGTGACAAAGGCGGCCGGGCGTGGTGCTGGCCACCCACCCCATCGTGAGCCGTGCCGGCCTTCATAGGTGCTCGCTAACAGCACTTGCCCCAAGAGTCCGTTCAAGGCTATACGGGGGATCCGTGTCTTTGTGTGCGCGTCGAGAGAGTGCGTCCGTGAATCTGCACTCGTGCATGCGTATTTCTGTCTGCGTCCCGTGTGTCGGCAGACCCGTCCATGACGGTGCGAGCTGACATCGGCTCGGGCTACAGGAACAGCCTCTACGCCTACCACTCGGACGAGGTGTTCCGTCGTGAGTGATCACCGCACCGCACCTCCACGGCAACTCCGCGTCCACACCCCTCGGCACGGCGCCACGTGGCTCCGTGCCGAGCAGCACAGGACGCCCAGAATCTTGACTTTTAATGTTCCCCCCTCTCAGTTTTTCCTCCCCCCCACCCCTCTCCCCCTCCCGCCTCCACAATAAATGAACCATCGTATAACGCGATGATTCATTTCCAGTCTCGCTCTGGTAAGTAATCCCCGGCAGGGTGAGACTGCGATCCCGCCCCCTTGCGGTGGCAAGGGTTGATGGGCTACGTCGACGTCTTTCAGTGTAGCGAAGCCGGTTCGCGAATCCGTCTGCTCAGCCCGCATTCCTTCTGAGTGTCTATCTCCTCGGTTTGCTTGGTGGCTTGTCTCCGCACGCACACACACACAAGACCCCCAATCATGGAACTGGCCAAACGTCCCAACAGTGCAGCACACCTTGTCAAACAAAAATCAGTCGGTTGGCTATGTACGGTGCGAAAGAAGTTCAACATGCATTCGAGGCTTCCCTGGATATACGAATTACATTGTTTTCTTCATCATCATCATCATCACTGCGCAATCGATTACCACGACCAATGCCGAAGATGCCACTACAGCTCGCCATCACCTCCTTCCTTCTGCCAGGTCACGGCAGTGTTTGTTTGCGCAGTCGGCATCAGCAGACCTCCTCCCCGGGGAATGTGGAGTGCCATCGCCGTTTGGTAACCCAATGCTTGAGTCAGGCAGCGAGGTCTCTTGTCCGTAGTGCACTTTCTGTATCTTCTGTATCGTGAGATGTATCTCCTTCCTTCCCGTAACTCATCAAACGTATAATAGTTTTGCAGTTGCATAACTATACCCTGCATACGATTGATAAATGTCACTTACGCGTGACCGCCAGATGTAGATCATTGTGATTTGCATGGATTGCAAAGAATTATATTCTCAGGCGCATGCACACGCGACGAGAGACGCGCGCACGACAGTCACCTAAAATCGAATAATCGTCACCTGGCAGCTCGTAGTATCGTTGCGATTATCACGAGGACTTTAACTAGGGACATTACAACGACACAAGGCGGGGGGGGGGGGGGGTAACATCACCTGGTGTAGACCAATTCGTTTCAAAGGTAGTGCATAAATTATCAGAGCATGTCTGTTTACATGTTCACCACTTGTACTGTGTGTGATTAATGCGGGACTCGATCCCTTGCCAAACGTATCTATTTGGTGTCTGCACATCTTAACACCTCCTGTTTCATTGCCGGGAGAGGTTAAAGCCTATTTTTTTTAATTTTCACGAGGCCAGGGTGCTGTGGCTAGCTCCGCTGAATCGGCACTATTTCCCGTCGCCTGTCACTCGCCATCCCTCCCCGTGACCGCACCCTGTAGGTCGGCCCAGCCGGTTCCCCCAACCGGTTGAGCCGGAGAGATCCCAACCCTGGTGGGGCTCGGTTTCACAACGCAGCAGCAGCAGCGAGCGCGCCCCGGTTTCTAACGACAAAGCGAGTTTGGCCTCTCCACAGCGGAGCGACTTTGTGTAAACCCACAATTTGCTGAAAACATACTGTGCTGTACAAAGACAAAGATCCTTCCCGTATAGTCCGAGCAGACTGTTGGGGCAATTGCTGTTAGCGTGCACCTATTAAGGCCGGCACGGCACACGAGGGGGTGGGTGGCCAACACCACGCCCGGCCGCATTTGTCTTCCCAGTGGTGATGTTTACACACCGCACCAGGTACTCATTTGAGGCTGAGTCGACCGAGAGGAGGCTCATGACCGGTTCAGATAATCGTCACTGATTGTTGGCCGTGAGCGGGAATCGAACACGGGTCGCCGGGTTCGTAGCGCTAACCGCTACACTAACGCTCCCAACTGTCCTCACACCTATACAGACTACCACGGCATGCGTGTCGTCAGATTATACCATCACACATTATACTCGACTCACACGTGTACACAGCATATAGCATCACGTGTACACATATGTTAAGCGCACACGTGCACACACGGTGGCGAGATGTTAACTACCTCGCTTTGTATACAGGAAGTCGTGGGTTCAATCCTGACCATGACGCCCGTATATTTGGAGTTTGCGGTGTTTCTCTCCGGGTCCTCCGGGTTTCCCACTCCACATTTAGAATCCACGTGCGTTTTAGAGTATTTGGCTGCTGCTATAAATGCCCACGTGACAAGCCACTTCGTTGAGCTATCATTTGTGGCCAGGTCGCTTCTGAAAAAGAGCTTTACAGCTAAACTAAAGGGCCGGTCCGTGCCACATCAATCGCCTTCGATCTTCACCGTGGCCGGCAACAGAATGCTGGTGGCGAAGTGCGCTAACCACTGCGCCAACGCTCCCCATTGCTTGTTCACGTGGAGCCAAGGACAGTCCACCGATCCGGCCTCCTCGCCATATCCCCGCTTCCACCTATCATGGATTTTAGTTTTTCCACCACGGCGAGTTAAGCCGCGCGCTGGGTTCACAGCTCCGTGTTGACCCTGCGACCGAATCGCCCCGGAATGCTCCCGGATCTCGTCATCAACATCTCGCCAGCTAAAGCCAAGCGGGACTTTGAGCCCTGGACAAGCGCTTGCACGGGTGCGTGGCGTGGCCGGGCCACGCACACACGGGCTGCTATAGACGCCACTCCGAGGTGCGGCGCTTTGTGCTGGTCAGGCTTGAGGGACGTGCGGCAAAATCAATTGTTGGACTGTACTGTGCTCACGCGTATGTGCCCTATGACTATACCCGTGTGGTAAAGTATGGTCAGATAAGTCCCCCCAGCTCCCAACGACCACGCCCAGCGTGGGGAGCCTCTTATCCCGCAGTTTATTAACAAAAGGGCTGTGCACGCGCATTTACAAGGTCTCTCTAGGCTACGAACCTTGATGCTTGGGTAACCTGATGCAATAATTAACGTGTTCGTTATAAATCATCGTAAAAACGGGCTCGATTAGCAACGATGAGTAACAAATACATTTTGCATGAATGTCAGTTAGTTTTGGGACAACTATACACGAATGAGTTAGAGAAGAGTTGGCTATTGATGATGGGTCAAAGAAACTAAGCTATTTGTATTCTACCAGGTAAGGCCCACTGAGCTGTATAGCTCTTTTTTAAGAAGCCACCTGGCCACAAATGATAGCCCAACGAAGTGACTCTTCCCGTGGAAATGTTTTGCAGTAGCGAAATACTCTAAACCCAGAGGACCCGGAGAAAAATCCATGTGACCACGGGGAGAGAGACATCGCAAACTCCCATTATACAGCAGGCGTCGTCAGGGTTGGGATCGAACCGACGACCTCCTGCGTACACGGCGAGGGAGTTAACATCTCCTAGCCACCGCGGCGCCAACTAATCGTGTGGCAGCTGTACAACGGCGATCTACGCGTGAGGAGGGCTGTGTGTGTGGGGAGTGAGCGTGAGGAGTGAGCGTGAGGAGTGAGCGGGGAGTGAGCGGGGAGTGTGCGTGAGGAGTGAGCGGGGAGTGAGCGTGAGGAGTGTGCGTGAGGAGTGTTCGTGAGGAGTGTTCGTGAGGAGTGTGCGTGGAGTGAGCGTGAGGAGTGTGCGTGGGGAGTGAGCGTGAGGAGTGTGCGTGAGGAGTGTGCGTGAGGAGTGTGCGTGAGGAGTGTGAGCGTGGAGTGTGCGTGGGGAGTGAGCGTGAGGAGTGTGCGTGAGGAGTGTTCGTGAGGAGTGTGCGTGAGGAGTGTGCGTGGAGTGAGCGTGAGGAGTGTGCGTGAGGAGCGTGCGTGAGGAGTGTGCGTGAGGAGTGTGCGTGGAGTGAGCGTGAGGAGTGAGCGTGAGGAGTGTGCGTGAGGAGTGTGCGTGAGGAGTGTGCGTGAGGAGTGAGCGTGGAGTGTGCGTGAGGAGTGAGCGTGGAGTGTGCGTGAGGAGTGAGCGAGGAGTGAGCGTGAAGAGTGAGCGTGAGGAGTGTGCGTGAGGAGTGTGCGTGAGGAGTGTGCGTGGAGTGAGCGTGAGGAGTGTGCGTGAGGAGTGAGCGAGGAGTGAGCGTGAAGAGTGAGCGTGAGGAGTGTGCGTGAGGAGTGTGCGTGAGGAGTGAGCGTGGAGTGAGCGTGAGGAGTGAGCGTGAGGAGTGAGCGAGGAGTGAGCGAGGAGTGAGCGTGAGGAGTGAGCGTGGAGTGAGCGTGAGGAGTGAGCGTGAGGAGTGTGCGTGAGGAGTGAGCGGGGAGTGAGCGTGAGGAGTGTGCGTGAGGAGTGAGCGAGGAGTGAGCGTGAGGAGTGTTCGTGAGGAGTGTGCGTGGAGTGAGCGTGAGGAGTGTGCGTGAGGAGTGAGCGAGGAGTGAGCGTGAGGAGTGAGCGTGGAGTGAGCGTGAGGAGTGTGCGTGAGGAGTGAGCGAGGAGTGTGCGTGAGGAGAGTGCGTGAGGAGCGTGCGTGAGGAGTGAGCGAGGAGTGTGCGTGGAGTGAGCGTGGAGCGAGCGTGGAGCGAGCGTGGAGCGAGCGTTGAGCGAGCGGGGAGTCGCGGTCGAGACGACTGAACGTGCCCGCCGTCTCACGCTGCTGCCCTCCCATTGCTTCCCGCAGTGGTGGACGCCATGAAGAAAGCCAAGGTTCCCCTCAAGACGGAGCTGTAGTGCCAAGCGAGGAGCGACCACGACCCGGCACCTCCACACGGCAAGGGGGTGGGGGGCGGGGAAGACGGTGGGGGGGATGGGGGTGAGATAAAGAAGGGGGGTGGTGTTGTGATTTTAACAAACGGCGAAGTTATTTTGATCAGAATGAGACGAGGATTTGTAACTGGACCGGGGCTTCATTTCAAAAGGGTCTGGCCACACAAAGTAGTTCCGCACCCGGAACACCGCATCCAGTATACACCTCGCTCTGACCGTGGCCGCTCGCGACGTGTGTCTGCACTCCGGTCTCCCAGCGGAGCCGGAGAGTTTTCGTTTGAGAAGTGAGACGGGGGGGGGAGTGGGGGGGGGTCCTTGCACCGGACCGAGCGCGCAGTCCAGACGACGTCGCCTCGTCCGATGGCCACTGACGGTGCTCGCTCCTGACCCGCACGTCGCCCCCGAGCCACCTCGCACCAACAGGGCCGCCACAGTCTCCGTCTCCCTTGGCGCTCGGTCGCGGAACGCAGCGAAAGAATTCTGACCGGTCGCGGTGTGGATGTCGCGAAGCGACCGACTCGCCGGCGTCGGTGCGTCGCAAACAGCGCGCCGGGCACAGATGTAAAATGTTCGCGCCGCGTTGCCAATCGTCGACCTCGGATGATCGCGCGGATGTCGTCCTCTGCGCCGCTGTTTACCGACGCCCAATTAAACACACGACCTCACGAGCATCCCTCGTCCGCTCGCTCGCCATTCGTTCTTTTGTTTCGTTAAGGGACGGGCACGAATGCCACTCGACGCTCTCGCTGTTATCGGTGAAAGCGGCGGTGACGGCGTCTCCATCGGCATCGCTCGCGGCACGGGTTTGAGGTTCCCTCGAGAGAGCGGAGGTCGCACGGACCCGCAGCAGCAACTCCCCCCGTGGGCACTTCCATGTCACCCAGCAGAGCCTCACTGGGGTCTCAAGAGGGGCCCTGCATATATATGTCACAAGGGGGAATCTGGTATTTTGGAAAATTCCACACCCCATTACGACGGGGGATGTGTATAATATGAATGTTGAACTTCTTTCACGCCGTACGTAGCCAAGCGTGCTAATGTTATCGCACGGCTGATTTCCGTGGCCGGGAACCGGACGGCTTCACCGACCCACATTCTGCACTTGCTACCATCACGGCCACTACCCCCATAGCCCGTCGAGTTTGCAAATAATTATCGGACAAATCTCGACGTGATCCACCTACCCTTGCCACCAAATCGCCGGACCGCGCGCGGCCGAGCTTCAACCGTCCCCGACCCTTGCCTACAGACCCCGTGGAGGCGGTAGCAGAGGCCGAATCGCCGCACCCTCCCCCGTTGTTCTCACCTCCTCCCTCCACGGGGGGGGGGGCTAAGGAATGCGTCTCGTTTACCCAGAAATAACAGTGCGGGCTTATCGCTGCTGCCGAAGTACACGTCAGCCTTACTCTGAAATCAGTGCGTGCGACGGGCGAGGAGGCTGCAGGAGAAATGTATTTTGACCTCGCGGCTCACAAAGCGCAGACAACCTGAGACGTAGGGAGAGAGGGGGGGGGGGCTTACCTCACCCTCCCCGCCCCCCACATTCCGCCAGATTGCCCCGACCAGGATATGGGGATTAGCCGGGGTCGGCGCGACATGCTGGTGCAGCTGTAGGGAGACGTGTCCTCGCTCAGGTACAGGCGCTCACCTGTGTGTGCAACCCACGTGGGTTGCCGCAGCATAGGGCAACATAGCGCGTGCACTATCATGGCATAGTGACCCAGCATAGCAAATACTCTCCTAACTTAAGAGACCCAGCAAATCACGTGCACTATTATAGCATAGTAGCCAGGACATTATTTCTAATATCTTCCTGGGCCCCTTCAATTCCACGGAACGGGGGCGGAGCGGCTGAAAATATATCCTGAGAGTAGCCCAGCACATCTTAAACATGATCATACCATAGTAATCTATCACATTATATGAATAATTGTAGCATATAACCCCAAACACAGCCTGCCTCTACATCCTCTATCATTGTTATGACCCCCACCCACTCTCTCAGTTTTGTGTTCGGTCTCTTGGCCTCGTCCTTCCAGAACCTCCTCTGTCGGCCTCTCACCGCTGCCTGTGAACGTGCGCCCGATCCACGTGTCAAGCCCTTTCCGGATTTGTCCTGATGATGAGACGCGTCTCCTCCTGAACCTTTCCCTGCCACCGCCCCATCATACACGCACAGCACACATGGTGGAAGGAGTTGTGCAGCTATGCAGAGCCCTCATTGGAGCCACAGGGCTACAGAAGAAGCATATACCGTAGCACGCTTTACACCATAGCATATACAGTACACTACAATAGTATGTATAGTCAAGGATCGACGCAAACGGTAGCGTGTGTACCCCACGGCATGTACGTGTGTACGCGTGCAGCCTTTTAGTCAATCCACTGCTGGATGAGGAGGGCTTCCACGCGCCCTACTGGAGCACCCTGCACCACGCTGTTCAGTTCGTGGGTTGGTAAAGGCAGGGAGCATACACGAGGCGCCATAGAAGTGTATACCAACAATGGATGTTGCTGCATTGCCCTCCGCTGTCTGCCACGTAGACCTGCTGCTGTCCCTTTAATCGTGCCAATGTTGCGCCAAACGTTGGCCCAACGTTCCACGTTCACTGGGTGATGACGACCTGGGTATGAATTGGTGGCAAAAGTGATGGCGAGGCGACTTCACTGGTGTTTACGGCTGCGCCGTGTTGCCCCTCGGCTGTGTTTTCGCGCTGTGCCCGACGTTTCGCAGCAGCACGTGGTGCGAAACTTCGGATATCACGCCGTGAGAAAAGCAAAGAAACCACACGGGCAGAATCTGTAGGGCTGCACGGCTATAGTGGGCGGAATCCTCGTCTTTGTGCGTGCGTATGTCCTCAATAGATGCTCGCTAACAATCTGCAAAGTGGGTTATTGTGAGTGCGCGTGAGACACACAGATATAACCTGTCAATGGAAATGTCTAAAATGCGCTTCGAGGCGAAATCCACTGGCACGGTGGAGAGAGAGGGGGGGGGGGAGAGATAAACTCCAGCGAGTGTCGACCCTGTCCGTGACGCATCGCGAGACCAATCCCACAGGTACACATCACCCTAAGCGCCGCGCCTTGGTGTCACCTGGTCGCGGCGGGCCAATCCCGCAGCGACGAATCATCTTTAGCGGCGGCGGTGTGGGACGGTGGGAGGCGGTGGTCGTGGCGGGGGGGGGGAGGTTGGCGGTGACCCGCAGGCAAAGTTTAAACACCACCTCGCGTCTTACCTGAGCGGCTCCGCGCTGCGCGGGTATGAGAGACGACGTCGATGGGCGTGGTGGTGATGGTGGTGATGAATGAAGAGCGGGAGCACACTGGTAGCCGCGGGGATGGGGGGCGGCGGGCACGCACAAGGCGCGCGTTGCTCTGATGCGTCTGAGCAATGAATCAAAAACGATCACATGGAAAGGAAATTAGGCGATTAGAGTACAGCCCAGATTCCAACGGTGTCTTCTCTATCAGTGATAGAATCGCGATGCGCGCGTGGCGCGCAAGGGACGTGGTGGAATTGTTTAGACAATCCAGAGGTGGTTCGCACTCCGCACTCTGAATCTGGCCCGGCTGAGTTCGATTCCCGACGAGGGTTAACACAAACCCTGATGGCGAGAAAAATATACACCGGTCATGCAACCAACACCGCCTCCCGTCCCTTCACACCGACTTCACCAACCCGCACTCACCACCGTGGCGGAAGTATGGCCAAATACGAGGGCCTCATCCAGCAGTCGATTAACAACGTGTTGTAAGTTATGATGATGAAAAATAAAGCGTCAAAAGCACAAATACCAATGCCCCCCACCCCGCCCATACACACCCCTTGATTGCCAAATGTGTCAGGGATCTCACCAACATCAGGGATCTCACTAACAGGGATCTCACTAACAGGGATCTCACCAACAACAGGGATCTCACTAACAGGGATCTCACCAACAACAGGGATCTCACCAACAACAGGGATCTCACCAATAACAGGGATCTCAAATATTCTCCCACCAAGAGTAATGACGATTCTGAACCACGTTCCTTTTGTAAATCCAAGAATTCGTTATGATGACACAACACGGATGAAGGGGGACAGGGGGGGCGAGGGGGGGGGGACCTCCCCCTTTTGTTCATTGCTCCCCCTGGGTGCGCCTCTGCCAACAATCACGGTGGCCGTTCGAAGTCAATAAACACAGCCCCCACCAGTACACGTGCTCAGGTGGCCCTGGTCCAGAGAGCACAAACACTCGGTGATAAGATTCTTGACAGCTTTCCCATGCTCCGTATCCCAAGACATCGCATCCCCCCCTCCCTACCCCCCACAGTCCCCCTCGCCCACGCCCTCATTTACCTACCGTCATGCTTCGCTGGGGCTACGTCACCGTTCCCCAGGTGACGGCAGGTGCGTCCGGGTCGAGAGGGCTTTAAATACGGCGGCGACAGGGGCACGAGGCTGTGGATCACCTGGTGCAATCCGACCTCCCATCGACTCCACCTCACCTGCAGGCTCTCCCAGACCAGGTGAGCCCAGGGACAGTCACGGCTCCGCTGGAGGTTTAGAAGTCGGACTGGTTTTAAAATCGACGTGGGTACTTCACACGCCGAAGCTGGAAAGGTATAGCCTCGTGTAGGCCACGCAGATTGGTGTGGTGATCGCTGTCAGCAAGCACTTGCTTGGGGTTGCACGGCACACGAGAGGGGGTAGTGTGGCTAGAATCACACTCGGCCGCCTTTCTCTCCCCCAGTGCTGATGTTTTGCACAGGGCAGCGGGCAGTCCTCTAAGGCTGAGTGAGTGTACCCAGTGGAGGTTCAGATACAGCGTATCACCTCGCCACTGATGTTAGCCGTTGTCGGGAATTGAACTCAGTAGTGCCGTGTCCTTAGCGCAGTGTGCTAACCAATGCTCCTCTCCCAGTGCGCCACACACACACTCACGCATACACACTCACACAAACTCGTACACAAAGACAAAGATCACCCGGATAACCAACACAACCGGTTTGGGGGCCAAGTGCTGTACACGAGTACATATTTTAAGGGAGGCATTGCGAACGAGGAGGTTGATTGTGCCAGCAACCACGCCCGGGGCCGCCTTTGTCTCCCCACCGCTGATGTTTCCATAGACTCCGAGACAAAGTCCATGACCCCCCCCCCCCCCCGTGTCTCGTGTCCCGCAGACAGACGCCGCGATGCTGAAGACCGCGACCACCCTGCTCCTGGCGCTGTGCGTCGCTGCGGCTTTGGCCGCCACGGCGAAGGAAGCGAAGCCCGGCCCGGCTTCCAAGGCAGCGGGGGGTGCCCCAGGAGAGAAGGCGGCGGCGGCAGGAGGCGCAGCTGACAAGGCAACGACGGCGCCCCCCAAGAGGAAGGGGCCCCAGACCCTCTCGAGGGGTGAGTTGTTATTATTTGTTTTGTACCTCGTTCTTCGCGCACAATTGAAGTGGCTATCACTGCAGGTGGGCTCACGGAAAGACGATTTGAAGTGCGTCGAGTTTTGAAAAACTCGTCTCGAGAGAGGCCACGTGGACGCAACGATCCGTCAGATTCGCTCGTCGGCTCTGCTTTTACTGGACATCTATTGAAAATAAGCTTCATTGCCCATCGGATTCCTCCAGACTAAATAAAGACGCTGGTTTAATATCAGTCTGCGGTGTGTGCCGTACACCGCCACGTGGATTTGTGGGGCGTTTCAGACGCTGCACAGAAGAGGCAGCGGTCGCATTAATTTTACAGAGAGAGATAGAGAGGTCCAGTCAGTCAGTCGCAGACAGACGAACATGGGGAACGCCTTGAACTTGGGCTTGAACAAGAGCAGGGATCCGACAGCACGGATTCCGCCCTGCGATAAGCGATCACGGAGTTCGAGGTTCGCGTTTCAATCGGAGCGGTGCCCGGTGCGATGATGAGTCGCCCGTGACTATCCCGCGTGGAGAGTTCGTCCGCGTGAGTCCCTGCGCTCAAGTGGCTGTGTCTCCCCCCCCCCCCCACCACCCCCCCCTCCGGCCCCCCAGGTTGGGGAGATGACATCACATGGGTTCAGACTTACGAGGAGGGGCTGGCCAAGTCCAGAAACACGTGAGCAGAGTGACACGCACACACATACAGACGCACAGACATACAGACGCACATACACACACAATACATACTTACTGAAACGCAAGCATACATACATACACACCTAATCACGTACAGACATGCATGCAGACATATACATATATATAAAAACACAAGTACTCACACATGCACACACATACACACCGATACATGCGTAGATACATACACACAGATACCTACACAGATACATATTCTCACATCTGTACATGCACAAAGACAAAGACCCCCCCCCCCCGTATAGCCTAAACAGACTGTTGGGGTAAGTGCTGTTAGCGAGCACCTATGAAGGCCGGAACGATACACGACGGGGTGGAGAGGCCAGCACCACTCCCGGCCGCCTTTGTCTCCCCAGCATACCTGTACACATACATAGACGCAGACACGAACACACATAGATACGTATGCAGAGATACACACACCGGCACACTTACCTACACACACGGAAAGACAAATGCAAAGATCTCCGCATAGGCTCCGGGTACAAGGCGTTGTTAGCGAACACCTATTAAGGTATCCACGTTGTGCGTGTGTGTGTCACAGACGGAAGCCGCTGATGGTGATCCACCACCTGGAGGACTGCCCCTACAGCAACAGTGAGTGCTGCGCTGCCGACACGCAGTTGGGGTCAGGGTTCGGGTCCGGACCAGGGTCCAATTCAATCATAGAAATTGTTACCAGCGCCATTCGCGTGGAAGCGGATGGGCACTGCTGTGTATTGCCACCATCGTCATCAGCCAGTCTGTCCACTTCTGGATGAAGGTCCCTCCCTTCCCACGTAATGTCACCTGGCTAGACGGAATAGTTCTTTAATGGCCCTGTCCGCGTGTTTACTCCTCAAAGAACCACACCACATTGGTCAATACCACTGCCTTGAAAGTGATGATATATTAACGTGTTTATTTATCTTTTAAGGCCACAGTGGTATTGACCAATGTGGTGAGTTTCCATTGGGCTCTCATCCGCTTTTAACGACCCTATAAGGCATTTCTATCAGTGTACGTACATGTGCATGTGTACCTGTACGCGTGTGCGTGTATGTACGTGTCTGTGTGTTTACGTGTGGGGAGAGGAAGTGTAGCGGTTATCGCGCTGCACGACGAACCTGGCGACCCGAGTTCGATTCCCGCTCACGGCCAACAGTGACGATTATCTGAACCGGTCCTGGACCTCCCCGAGGTCGACTCGGCCTCAAATGAGTACCTGGTGCGGTGCGTAAACATCGCCACTGGGGAGACAAAGGCGGCTGGGCGTGGTGCTGGTCACCCACTCCCTCGTGTGCCGTTCTGGCCTTCATAGATGCTCGCTAACAGCACTTGCCCCAACAGTCTGCTGAAGCTATACGCGGGATCTTTGTGTACGTGTGTGTGTGTACGTATTGTGGGCGCCTCCCATCGACTCTCCGCACAGATAACCGAGTCGCGACTTCAAGTTAAAAGTCCCCCTCCCCCCCCGGCCCCGTTTCACTGCCGCAGGCCTCAAGAAGGTCTTCGTGGAGTCCAAGGACATCCAGCGGATGGCCCAGGAGGACTTCGTTATGCTCAACCTCCTGGTGAGACGCGACAGCGTGAACGACTCACGCAACTCCCATCGTTCATGAACTCGTTCGTTCATTAAATCACTGCTGAATTCGGTCGGTGATTAATTGATCCGTTTACTTAATCAATAATTGGAATGTTCATTTGCTCACACGGACACTCATTCATGCGTTCCCTCATTAATCAATGCATTCATGCATTCACTCTATCGAGCAACGATTCGTTCATTCATAACGCTCTCAGTCATCCACTTTGGCCCAACGTGCATTTCGAAACGAACAGCCGCTGTCGATCGCCGTTTCCCTCGAACGCCCTTCCGCTCGCACTCGGCGTGTGCTTGACGACAGCGTTGCTGCTGCCTTGCTCCCTCAGCACGAGACCACAGACAAACACCTCGCCCCAGACGGCCACTACGTCCCCAGGATCATCTTTGTCGGTGAGTCCCCACCTGCTCCCACCTGCACTCACCTGGCCTCGCCTGATAACGCTTTCCTCCACGCAACTTCACCCGCCCCAACTGCCTCCCACCTTTTGTTACCTGAACCCCCCCCCTCCCTCCCCACCACCACCTTCAATCACCTTCAATCACCTGCTCATACCTGCTCCCACCTGATTCCACCTAACCCCACCTGGCAAACCCCTCTATCTGCAATCCCCCACTTTCTCCCACCCCTCCTCGCGTGATCCGACCTTTCTCCACCTCACTCGCTTTCCCCAGCCCCACCGCGCCCCGCCTGTGTGCGCGTGTCTGTCAAAATCGTGTGTCTACGTGTGCGCGCGTGCTTGTGCGTCTGTGTACGGGTGTTGGTGCGGGATGGTTAGGGGGGAGCGAGCGGTGGCGCGGTGGTTGGCGCAGAGGTTTGCCAGCGGCCTGGGGTTGGATCCCGTGAGATGAGAACCTTCCCCCTTGGGTTAGCTCGGCTTTAAACGAGCACGTGTTTCGCTGGGTTAAAAAAAAAACCCCATCAGAGCTGGGGAGACAAAGGCAGCCGGGCGTGACGCTGGGCCTCGTGCGCCGCCCGGCTGCCTTTTTGACATAAAGCTCGCAGACGGCGCCGCTTGCTCAGCGTGGGATCTTGTTTCGTCTTGCAGATCCATCCCTCACGGTGCGCGCAGACATCACGGGCAAGTACAGCAACCGCCTGTACGCTTACGAGCCCATGGACGTCGAGCTCCGTGAGTACCCATCGAGTTCCTTCACACCCTCCCCTCCTCCCCATCCCTCTCCCAATCTCCCCCGAGTCCCCACGTGGGACACGTCTCGGCCATTAAACTCGGACGCCTTTAAACATCGCACGCAATGGCGGACCCAGGGGTTTCAGGTAGGGTGGGGGGGGGAACTCCTCCAGCAATGAGAAATGCTAGAGGAGTTGTTAGTAAGTGAGGACTTGTCCCTTGCTTTTTATTCGACGCGTGTGCGGCGATGGCGCAGACATCGATCGAGGGGTCGAATTGGAACCGCGTTGTTGTGTGATCGGAATCGCGCTCGCTGAAGGTGCTGATGCCTTCAGGGGAAGTCGTGGACTGTGTACGCAACTGCGCACAATTCTGTGAGTCACTTATAACCGCTTTGGCGTTACTTATTGCCAATTATGGACTCAGACTATTGTCCTATCATCTCATAAAGTCCCTGGCATATAATAATATGCTACACAGTGGCAGTGGGGGTCACAAAATTACGATTTATTACTAATAAACCCCAATGATCCGATCGAAATGAAGGATTTCGATCGGATCATTGGGGGGCACGTGCCACTCCCCCCCCCCCACTGGCTCTGCCAGTGATCGCACGTGACTAATTGGTTGTGGAATGTTTTTATTTATTAGTAAGTTAATTCCTCGAACAGGAGGAGCCGTTGGAAATTTGATATTAATCTCAAGGGTTTGATCATCATGATCATCATGATAATAATCGTCTCAATCCTCATCGTGATCTCCATCTGCCATGACAAATTCGTGAGCTGTAAATTATGTGGGAACTGGCACTTTCTCTCACTCGGTGTTTTCTGGGGGCGATGCTGCTAGTCTTGCTTCGAGGGATTATCGGCGGAAGGCACTACCGCTAAGAGTATAAAATAAGCCTGTTCAAAATTACTTGTCGATATTATTTGTACCATAAATTTATGTAATCATACGAACAGATTTATTTAGAAAATATGACATTAAGTGAGGTGGATGTCGCCTGGTGCCCAAATAATTCCCCTAACATCGTCGTTCCGGACTGTTCCGGCTATCACTGAGCACTGTTCGTAGCGATAGCTACTGCGCGTTTGAATGATCTAATCCACGCGTTATCTGATCCTCGTGCTCCTCTCTCTCTCTCTCCATGTATTTCCAATTGTACAATACTTGTTGTTACTATGATTCTTGTTAGTTTCCGGTTTTATTTAAACCACACGACCCGCCCTTGTGTCCTCCGACTCCCCTCCCAGTGGAAGAAAACATGAGGAAGGCGCGGAAGATGCTCCACACGGAGCTGTGAGCGGAGGCCTCCATCGCCTCTCTCGTGCCCCGGGTGAACCAAGGCTTCCTGGTTCCCCCGCGGCTCCCCGGTTCGACTCCCGGCCCGGGGGGGGGTCAGCGTCCCTCCTCGCTGGGGGCCGTTTCCCCCGATCGGGGTCTGATCCCTCGCGACTTCAAGAGCCATGAACCTTGAACCTTAATCCGTGACCTGTTTTTTTATTCCTTGTTTAAAACGCGCGGTGATTCCTCCTCCATCCGTGCCCCCCCCAACCCCCCCACTGGATCCGTTTTCGGATCGTACCGCGTGTTGTACGGCATGCCGTCGGCCGACGTTTCGCTCCACGTGCCGGGGAGCTTCGTCAAGCTGCTCACAAACGTGGGGCGCCAGTGACGTCCCAGCCACGCGTGCGCGACAACTCCGAACGCGCGGCGCGGAGTAGAGCCCCGACAAACCCAAGTAGTGCCCCTACCCCCACCCACTTCTCTATCAATGTGTCTCTCTTAAACCTTGGTGAACATGAAGGGTGACTGGGCACGGCTCCTATGCAGTTTACACTCAACACGTTGAGCTGAGAGTGAGAGTGTTTAGCGAGTGTAGTCACGTGTAAAGTAGTGGATAACTTTCTGTAAAATAAAGCGAACAACGTGTTCAACGCCTACTGCTGCACGTGTCGGTGCTGTTCATCGTCCGCACTCGCATCCAAAAAACATACAAAGAACCCCCGTGTGGCCTGTAACAGGCTGTTGGAGCAAGTGGTGTTAGCGAGCACCTGTGAAGGCCGACACGGCACGCGAGAGGGTGGGTGGCCAGCACCACGCCCGGCCGCCTTTGTCTCCCTGGTGGCGATGTTTACACACCGCATCGGGTGCTCATCTGAGGCTAAGGCGACCTAGGGGGGGAGGCCCAGGACCGGTTGAGATAATCGTAACTGGTGTTGGCCGTGAGCGCTTCCCTACCGCTCCCCACACTTCGCATCCACTCGCCCACATCTACACGTGCCCAGTTACGCTAATCCACTGCTAGAACAAGGCATCGACACAGTGGACGCTTATTTGACCATACTTCACCACACTGGTCACGGTTGCGTGGCGGTGCACATCAATTCAAACTCACTACCCCCCCCCCCCCAAACAAAGCACAAACTACTGTTCTCTTGTAGCTCCACACACGAGCTTACGACGTGTCCCAGGGGATGTGCCGTGCGAGTTTGAAGTTTTCTTCTTCAGAAACTCAAAAGACTTTCAAGTGACTTCGTAGGAGCGGCCCCAGCGGCGTCATTGCCGTGACTGGTGTACATTTGTTAAAGTGTTCCCAACATCGGCGGCAGCTATTTTCTGCCCGCTGCTGGATGAAGGCCTGTCGACATCTTTCCCTCTCGTCTCTCTCGTCTCTCACGGCCCTGCGATGCACCAATGCACGTGCTGCACACGAGCCAAAGTCATCGCTTCCATCTTCCGCGGAGGGCGTCGTCTCGCGCGTGCTCCGTCCTTGGGCTGCCGCTCCGTCCGTGGTCTCGCCCGTCGTCCCCTTTCGAGAGATATCTCCTGCCCAAGCCCACTCACCGTTCCTTGACCGTAAACGTGGTGCATCCGGACGTGGTATTTAATGATGCGTTGATTACAATCGATAATCAACCAATTGGTTAGGCTCACGACACATGGAACCGATCGTGTAATAAATCCATACTCTTTGGTTCTTTCGGTAAAGTCACGTAGGTATAAAAAAAATAGAACACGACGTTTCGATCGCAACACAGGCAACCGTCATCAGGTGTGAAACAAACACAGCAAGACTGCTGTGTTTGTTTCACACCTGATGACGGTGTCCTCCTACTGTGTTTGTTTAACACCTGATGACGATTGCTTGTGTTGCGATCGAAACCTCGTGATCTTTTATTTTTCTACCTACGTGACTTTACCAAAATAACCAAAGAGTACGGATTCATGCAGTCACGAAAGCTTCAAATCAAGATTAAGAAATCAATGTGTAACGTGAACATAACATTGGGTGATTACCCCCCCCCCCACCTCCGCAGTCACTAGAGCAGTTATGTTCACCAAAGTGTAAAAAAGCAACAATTATTATCACAAGTACTGTGTGTGGTTAATGCAGACTTGATTCCTTGCAAAAAGGTAGCTATTTGGTGTCTCAACATCTTAACACCTGTTGCATTCCCAAAAAGGCTAAAACCTATTCGTATTTTTTCAAACAACAATTATTATTATTATTGAACGGTGCAAACCGTTCCCCTGACTTGAGACGATGCATCATCCCGTGACCTTGAGAATTTTTACTTTTCCTCGCCGTCAGTCATTTAGAGCCCCCCGCCCCCAGTCCATATACCTGTCAACCCATACGGTTTACCTGTATTCTTGAACAGGCAAGTTGAGTGTTTTGGTCCATACGGCATGCAGCCGTTTCCATACGGGCAATGTTTTTTTCTATTTGTCTGTTTCCCTCTTGTGATGGGACTTTTTAGGATGAACATTGAGATTGAAAAGGGGCACTGGGTGACCGAAAAGGTCTGAATTTGTCTGTAATAAGGTAGGGGGGCACCGATAGGGAGGTTACCGGCTATGCGTCACTCCCCTCCCTAAAGAAAGTCGCTGCAAATGGCTCTTTGGTAATTATCACTGCCTCGGCTGGAAGCCGGCACCCGGGACGTACACACATTATAAAATGAGGTGATCTAAGAGGCAAACGCCCAACCGAACACCAGATATTAATGCGAGTGTGTGTGTGCGCATATATTTGTGTGTAGGGAGTGGTGGCGCAGTGGTTAGCACACTGCGATATGAACCCGGCGACCCGAGTTCGATTACCGCACATGGCCAAGACCAGTGGCGAATATCGATCCGAAACCTCGCCTAGGTCGACTCAGCATCAAAACGAGTATCTGGTGCGGTGTGTAAACGCCGTCACTGGGGAGACAAAGGCGGCCGGGCGTTGTTGCTGGCTCGCGAACCGCACTTGCCGGCGATATTTGTCTTTGTGGTGCTAACCAGTCCCGATTCCTGGGCAAGGTCTCGCCTAGGTCAACTCAGCCGTAAACGAGCCGCGTTACTCGGGCCGCTGGGCAGACAGGCAGACGCCCGTGTCAGCTGGACTTGAACTTCTTTCGCACCGTACGCAGCCAACCGTGCTCGTCTGAAGTTAAAATCGGGGTGTGACTCCCATCCCCGTGGTCGCAGGTTCGAGTCCATCACTCGGCAGGTCGCCCGTGGTGGGGGTAAGGGGCCGTCCATAAATGACGTCACGCACCTAGAGGGGGGGAGGGGGGGGGTCAGACGTTTGTGACGATGTGTGACGAGGAGGGGGGGGGGGGTGAGAAATGTGACGTCACATCAAAATGCGCAACTTTAAATAAATATAGACAACACGTTCTACTTAATTAAATTGGCTTTTTAATAAATGTTTTCTCCTACAACATCAGAGTGCAGCGCCACATTAAATACGCACTACAATGACAATAGTTTAAAGCGATTTGAAGCATGTTTTTTTTTGGGGGGGGGCAGAGCTTTGTGACGTCATATTTGTGGGGGGTGTCTGACTTTTTGTGACGCCGTGTGACGTTGGGGGGGGGGGGTCAAAAATCCTACAAAATCGCGTGACGTCATTTATGGACGGCCCCTAACCTCCACAGGGGGGTTTCTTCACGATTTGATCGCTAGCCAATGTTGCTCGGTCGGTTACTCGCTATTTGATTCACGAATGTAACGGTGTTTTGTGTGTTTTTTTAATCCACGTGATGATTGCATGTAAATTGTGTACAGTGTGCTCTGTACAGTACGTCGTGTGCAGTGTTTTACAGTAGATGGTGTACAGTCGGTTGTGTACAGTAGATCATGTACAGTAGCGCGTGTACAGTAGGTTGTGTACAGTAGACGTTGTACAGTGCGGTGTGTACAGTAAGTGTACAGTGGATTCAGGGGCACAAACGACGTTTCGGGCTGTGAGGCAGCGTTATGCGACGCACAGGGGCCCGGTCGGTCCACAAGAGGGCCCCAAATCAACAGATAAACATAGCAACATGCTAATGCATCAACAGATAAACATAGTAACAACATGTTAAGAATGTTTATTCAGAAAATTGACTATTGTGGCACCCAAATACGTTTTATTAATACTGTCACTGGGAAACTGTCTTCCTCTGAACCCAATACGCGGTGCAACTAACATAACACATATATAACCTGACATTGTATACGGGGTTAAACACATCATTGGTAGCTGTTTCAGTGAAAGTGAGTCGGGGGAAATGAGGGGGGCCCACAGTCGGATCTTCCAGAGCCCCCCCCCCCCAGTGGAAATAGGCAGCTGCACCCCTGAGTTGATAGCACGTGGTGAGACTGACTATAGTGGTGTAAGGGGCCGTCCATAAATGACGTCACGCACCTAGGGGGGGTGGAGGGGGGGGGTCAGACATTTGTGACGATGTGTGACGAGGGGGGGGGGGGGGGTGAGAAATGTGACGTCACATCAAAATGTGCAACTTTAAATAAATATACACAACACGTTCTACTTAATTAAATAGACTTTTTAATAAATGTTTTCGCCTACAACATCAGAGTGCAGCGCCACATTAAATACGCACTACAATGACAATAGTTTAAAGCGATTTGAAGCATGTTTTATTTTTTGGGGGGGGGGGGGGGGGCAGAGCTTTATGACGTCATACTTGATGGGGGGGGTCTGACTTTTTGTGACGCCGTGTGACGAAGGTGGGGGGGGTCAAAAATCTTCCAAAATCGCGTGACGTCATTTATGGACGGCCCCTAAATATATAGTATAGTGGTAAGCGTGTATACGGCATTCATGTCAACCCCTTATCGGTGCCTACCTTTTTACAGACCAATTCAGACCTCATTGGTCACTCCGCGCCCCTTAACGTTCATCCTACAAAGTCTCATCACAAGGGAGAAACACAAACAAAATAGGCAAAACACATTTGTTTTGCCCGTATCGAAACGGCTGTACGCCGTATGGACCTGGACACTCAATTTATCTGCACGAGAATACGGGGTAAACCGTATGGGTTGACAGATATGATAAAGACTTCTACGATGCTCGTCCAGATAGGCTAAACTCGTGCGAATATAGATAACTAGCTTGACTACCCGGCTTCGCCCGGAACTTGGATTCATCACGCCCGGCCGCCTTTGTCCCTGGCGATGTTCACACACCACACCAGTTAATTGTTTGAGGCTCAGTCGACCTAGGGGAGGCCCAGGACCGGTTCAAATAATCGTCACCGGTGGTGGCCCTGAGCGGGAATCGAACTCGGGTCTGTGACGTCAAATCTGTAGCGCAGCGCGCTCACCACTACACTACAATGCGTTACGCTTCCACACACACAGACACACACACAGACAGACACACACACAGACACACACACAGATAGACACACACAGGCACACACACAGCGCGCTAACCACTACACTACAATGCGTTACGCTTCCACGTGCGCGGGTCACGTGACAGATTTGACGTCACAGCTCACTTGCCGTGCAAAAAAGAAATGCATTATTGAGCTCCCCCCCACCCCCCAAAAAAACTAAAGTGTATTTTTATAATGTTTGCATGGTGTACAGTCTGGAAAGTACCCACATGGCAAATTCCAAGTTTGTTGCATGTCGGGAAGTACGCTAAACATGTTGGACACACATTCACAACTTTGCCTTTTATATATATGGAGATTAATAATTAATCTACAGCGATCTGTTTTTTTAAATAAAATCTGCAGTGCTGAAAAATGTATGATGATGTCCCCACGGGGAAATAGATGGCGTGCCGGACCTTCACGATTTAAACCGAGCTCATCATCAGCCACGATCTATTCTCTTGCTGGATGAACTAATGTAGTTCCCGCTCAAATCTCTGCGGCCGATAACCATCTCGGGTATAAATGCAACCTCCGATTAGCGCCGTTGGCTACGTACGGTGCGAAAGAAGTTCTACATACACACACGATGCATCTAACCCTGTGCGTACGGTCTCCGATCCGTTTCTCTTTCTTGCCGTCTCTCCCTGTAATTCCAAGCCTGCTCCTCCGCGCGATTTTTCAGCCCGTCCGAGACGCTCCGAGTCTCTTCCCGAGGAGACCTGGAAGCGTCGATCGGTGCCACTGCTTGGGGCCAAAGGAAGGCTATGGCAGGAGCTCAACCCTTGCATTGCCACTCTGTATAATACGTCGACTCAGCCTCAAATGAGTACCTGGTGCGGTGCGTAAACGTCGCCACTGGGGAGACAAAGGCGGCCGTGCGTGGTTGCTGGCCACCCACCCACTCGTGTCCCGTGCCGGCCTTCGTTGGTGCTCGCTAACAGCACTTGCCCCAACCGTCTGTTATAGGCTATACGGGGGATCTTTGTCTTTGTTTTCATGTGGTGGTGATTTTACATAAGCCCGATGCATGAGCATAGACTTTGATCCGGCTGGAGTGAATGAATGTAATCTCGAGTGGCAATCCCATGCCCGCCCTGCTTTATATCTGCAATATATCTCCTGTTGTGACTCCGGTGCCTTGAGGTGCGGCTCTGGCACCCGTTGCTTCTGTAAATTAAAATATAAAAATAAAAGTGGCTTCCTGTCCAAACGAGTGCAGGGTTCGGGGTCCTCATCTCCCGTTCACAGCCCCCCAATCCAGGGTTTGGAAATTCCACATTACCATGGCACGCAGGAGTCTATGCACGTGACGACCACTGGTTGTCACGTGCATAGTGACGACCGCTGGGGAGGGCAGGGGGGTGGCAGTTTTATTGACGCCGCAGAGGTGTAAAGTTGCCGAGTTTGACTCCTGACCAGGATACATGATTCCGTTCGTTCGTGAGTCACCACCACCACTCGCTCGCTCCTGGTGCCGACGGTTCGCTCCCGCCACCTCCCCCCCCCCCCCCGGTGGCCGCAGCTCCGCGCGTCGGACCCACACACGAGGATCACACAGCGCGCGTTGCCTTAAATAAGTGGATTTAATAAATACTAACAAACGCGCCGACACTCCTAGCGGTATTTACATACACACGCCTATAAACGCGACCGGCGACACCTGAAATGTGTGGCGTGGCATGTTCTCAACAACAAAAACCAAAATGCGCGCTCCAACTTGCACTCTACGGCAACCACGTCGCTACCTCGGGAACTTACTAAAAAAACTTCACTTGCGGGCACCTAAGGCCGTCAGGAGTAGCTTGAGATTGACGAGTGGATGGCGTGAAGCAAGCCGGTAGACAGATGGCGGGGGGGGGGAGCCGGAGTTGGGTGGATCGAGTTGTCCGCTACGTGAAAACCACAGATCTTCACGCGCGTGAAAACCACAGATCCTCACACGCGCGTGAAAACCACAGATCCTCACGCGCGTGAAGACCACAGATCCTCACGCGCGTGAAAACCACAGATCCTCACACGCGTGAAGACCACAGATCCTCACGCGCGCGTGAAAACCACAGATCCTCACGCGCGTGAAGACCACAGATCCTCACGCGCGTGAAAACCACAGATCTTCACACGCGTGAAGACCACAGATCCTCACGCGCGCGTGAAAACCACAGATCCTCACACGCGTGAAGACCACAGATCCTCACGCGCGCGTGAAAACCACAGATTCTCACGCGCGTGAAAACCACAGATCCTCACGCGCGTGAAAACCACAGATCCTCACGCGCGCGTGAAAACCACAGATCCTCACGCGCGCGTGAAGACCACAGATCCTCACGCGCGTGAAAACCACAGATCCTCACGCGCGTGAAGACCACAGATCCTCACGCGCGTGAAAACCACAGATCCTCACGCGCGTGAAGACCACAGATCCTCACGCGCGTGAAAACCACAGATCCTCACGCGCGCGTGAAGACCACAGATCCTCACGCGCGCCGTGAAAACCACAGATCCTCACGCGCGTGAAGACCACAGATCCTCACGCGCGTGAAAACCACAGATCCTCACGCGCGTGAAAACCACAGATCCTCACGCGCGCGTGAAAACCACAGATCCTCACGCGCGTGAAGACCACAGATCCTCACGCGCGTGAAGACCACAGATCCTCACGCGCGTGAAGACCACAGATCCTCACGCGCGTGAAAACCACAGATCCTCACGCGCGTGAAAACCACAGATCCTCACGCGCGTGAAGACCACAGATCCTCACGCGCGTGAAAACCACAGATCCTCACGCGCGTGTGAAGACCACAGATCCTCACGCGCGTGAAAACCACAGATCCTCACGCGCGTGAAGACCACAGATCCTCACGCGCGTGAAGACCACAGATCCTCACGCGCGTGAAAACCACAGATCCTCACGCGCGTGAAAACCACAGATCCTCACGCGCGCGTGAAAACCACAGATCCTCACGCGCGTGAAGACCACAGATCCTCACGCGCGTGAAAACCACAGATCCTCACGCGCGTGAAGACCACAGATCCTCACGCGCGCGTGAAAATTACAGATCCTCACACGCGTGAAGACCACAGATCCTCACACGCGCGTGAAGACCACAGATCCTCACGCGCGTGAAGACCACAGATCCTCACGCGCATGAAGACCACAGATCCTCACACGCGCGTGAAGACCACAGATCCTCACGCGCGTGAAGACCACAGATCCTCACGCGCGTGAAGACCACAGATCCTCACGCGCGTGAAGACCACAGATCCTCACGCGCGTGAAAACCACAGATCCTCACGCGCGTGAAGACCACAGATCCTCACGCGCGTGAAGACCACAGATCCTCACGCGCGTGAAGACCACAGATCCTCACGCGCGCGTGCGTGCGCCACGCGTCACCGTCCCGGCTGCCCCCCCCTCCCCCCCGTGGTGAGAGCGCGAGGCCCAGGGCGACGGCCGCGAGAGGCCTCCGAATCGTGCGCTCGAGCACCAGCGCGGTCGGGTCGCTACGGGCACGCCCGACCGTAAAAAAAAAAAACGCTTCATGCTAGTGCCCAGTGAACGTGCCGACGTTCGGCCAACGTTGGCACGTGGTTGGAATTGTTGGATCAACGTTGGCCCAACGTTTCATGTTTACTGGGCGGTCGGAGGGGGGTCTGTTAAATTAATGCATTACAGTTATTATTACCATCAGCACTACTACGGTATTGGTATAACTAGTATTGTTACGGTATTGTTACAGTATTATAATCATTACTACGGTATTATAGAAAAACACGTCAAGAATAAATCATCACGATATTCTCCAAACAGGTTAAAACTGAGATCTGCAGATGATGTCGTTTGTTGTTGACAGTCACGATAAGAGTTGGGTGAATGTGGATTCTGTTGATGGAGCTGGTGTTGGAATGTTGAGGAATTGAACCGAGGGGCCACCGAGCCCGGCCCGGCTCCCTCCGGCCTCCTCGGGGCACCCAGAGCCCCTCAGGACCCCTCAGGGCCCATCCGGGTCACTCAGGGTCACTCAAGGCCCCCCAGGGTCACTCAGGGCCCCTCTAGACCAGTGATGTCTGTACGTGTGGATGGCGCGTTCACTCTTATTTACGAAGCTCCAAAAGTGAATGTACCCGTCTATCATCTGCGTCTCTCTTAATGTCGTTTTTTTGTCTGTCTCTGTGTCCACCCCCTCTCTGTGTCTATCCGTGAATTTCCACGTCTCCATTTGTTCCTGTCTCGGTGTGTCACCTCTGTATCTCCATGGCTCGGTGTCTCTATTTTTTTTTGACCAGGTAAGGCCCACTAAGCTACACGGCTCTTTTTCAGAAGCGACCTGGCCACAAATGATAGCTCAACCAAGTTGCTTATCACGTGGGAATTTATAGCAGCAGCCAAATACTCTAAACGCACGTTTCTAAATGGGGAGGGAAAACCCGGATGATCCGGAGAAAAATCCACACGACGGGGAGAACATGCAAACTCCAAATATACAGAGGTCAAGATCGGGATCGAGCCCACGACCTCCTGTATACCAGGCGAGGTAGTTAACATCTCCCAGACACCGCGGCACCCTTCTGTGTCCGTCTCTATGGAACTCCTCCCCCTTACCCCGTGTGTCGAGATCGCTCGACCCAGCCTCGAGTCCCAGTGACGTGGAGATCACCAACCACGGTGTCCGACGGATCCTCGCCCTACAACGCTATTATTAGTGGATCGGTCACGTGACCCAGATAGAATTTCCTTCAATGACTCTCACTCCTTTACTATCTGTGGTCACGGACAGCTTCCGAACGCTCCCCACCTCACCCACGGTAACAGTGAGACTGGCAGCCCCACACGCTGCCCAGCAGCCTGGCTCACCAATAACATTGTGGGCGAGACGCTACCGGGATCACAGGTGCCCTCACCCAGTAGCGTAACGAGCTTGGGGGGCAGGGGGTGCCTTGCCCACGCCCCCCTGGTGGCCAAAGCTACCAGTTGGGGGCCCCCTTGTCAACCACCATGAGATTTGTTTTTTTACGGTCCTGGGGCCCCACCTAACCGGTTTGCCGCACCCCCTAAGCTGATGATGTAGTTACGCCACTGCCCTCACCCTCTGAGATGGTGAGGCTCATCCTACCTCCTCCCCCTCCTCCAACACTCGCATTTGTCTCACCCCCCCCCCCCAACATCACGGATGTGAACTTCTAAAGTTGCCGACCTGCCTTTTGTCTGGGCCTATGCGCGTGTATACTTAGTGTATGCATGTGTACTCAGTGTGTATGTGTGTGCTTAGCGTGTGAATGCATCGCAGTGTGTGCAAATAGCTGCTATAGTGAATAAACATTAAGTGCTGGAGAGACAAAGGCGGCCGGGCATAGTGCCATCTGCATGATGCCTTCAGAGAACTTGATTGGGGTGAAAGGGGGTGAACCAAGCTCAGAGAGAGGTCAATGTGCATGTGCGCATGTATATGTGTATGTACGTGGGTGGTGGTTTGGTGTGCGTGTGTACTATTCATTGCGTGTGTGCTTTAGTGATGTTTATTTTGTTTAACAAGGTGAGAATAAATGGGACCAGGACAGTCTCATTTGCAAGTGACCTTTAGTATATGTGTACATGTGCATGTATGAGGAGCGGTGGCTCAGTGGTTAGCGCGTTGCGCTTCTAACCCGGCGACCAGAGTTCGATTCCCGCTCGTGGCCAACATCAGTGACGATTATCTAAACCGTTCCTGGGCCTTCCCCATGTGAACTCCGCCTTAAATGAGTACCTGGTGTGGTGTGTAAACATTGCCACTCGGGATACAAAGGCGGCCGGGCGTGGTGCTGGCCACCAATCGCCTTCATGTGCCATGTCGGCCTGCACAGGTGCTCGCTAACAGCACTTTCCCCAACAGTCTGTTAAGGCTATACAGGGGATTTTTGTCTTGTGTGCGTGCATGTATACATGCATATACGCGTGTGTGCGCGTTAGTGTGTGTGTGTGTCCGCTTCCCAGTAAATATGCCAACGTTGGTCCAACGTTCCAGAATCACTGGCTTGTCTGCGGATGCGAGCGAGCGCGCACGCGTGCGTTATCGCGTGCTCGCGCATTTCACGCGAAGAGACGTGCTCGTGATGGCTCGCTCGTCCTCCGAGCGAGCGCCACGAGCGACTTTTGATGAGGGCGTCGCAAGAGGAGCAGCAGCGCAGTGGCGAGGCCGGCGAATCGGCTTCCCCCGAGCGCCGCCAAACAACTCCTCGCGCGCGCGTGCGCGGTTGATACAGAGCAAAGGCAGCTTAGCGGCACGGCGCTGGCAAATATGAGTCGTGGTGGGGGTCGGGAGGCGGGGGAGGGGGGGCGGGAGAGGAGAGGGGGGAGTGTTGGGGTGTGGACTGGAGAGGCGACGCTCGGCTAGAGGAAGGCGTTGGGATCGGCCTGCGGGTCCTTCATGTTCCTGAAGCGCCAGGTGAGCCACACGGTGACAATCTGCGTGGAGACAGAGACGATCGCAGGAGGTCACGACCTTGTGAGGCATTCATCTCTTTGAGTAAATGTTTTTTTTTCCGGGTCGCTGGTAGATCCGGAGTGAGCCAAGAAGAACCGGATGTGACGATGTTAACTACGGCCATAGCGAGGGGATAGACTGGATGCTGTGTGCAGAAATATTTCCAGGGTCAGCCGATTACACCGGCTTCTCAATGTTATGAGTAGATGGTCTCAGCACCGGTCACAAAGAAAAAAAACCCATTCCATAGCATGTGAGTTTTCACTTAATTTGGCTACATTTCAGGCTCTGATAAATTAAAACACAACTATAAATATGTCAGGTTGGTGGAGGGTTGCTAATAACACGGATTCAATCCACCATTACGTGGTGTAACCCAAAGAATAGATTATAGAGAATAAAAAAAATTCGATCGGTCTACCATGCGCGCGAGCACCGAAGTCGATGCAGCGGGGGTGCGTGGGGAAGTGCCGCCCGCCTTGTGACGTGTGAATAATAGAGGTCACGTGGGGTGATCGGACGCTGACCGAGCCCAGGAGGACAGCGCCACCCGCTGGCGGTAGCGTGGATTTACGTTAAGTTACAGGGCCCGAAGGCCCAAAAAACGCCAAGTGGCCAGAAACAAACAGCCCGATTAAGGTTGTCATGGATAACATTTTACGCGTTTCTTGAAGTGAGAAAAGTCATACGACCTTCGGAGAAGGAAGAAACAGGCGAGTGTTGTGGTGTTTGTTGAACAGGGTGGTGGTGGTTTAACACAGTGTGGTGGTGGTAGTGGTTGAACAGTGTGGTGGTGGATGAACACAGTGTGGTGGTGGTTAAACACGGTGTGGTGGTTGGTGGTGGTGGTGGTTGAACACAGTGTAGTGTATGAGACCGGGTACTCAACATGGGTGGAGGAACCAACGAGTGAAGATCATGGGACGAGTCATCATGACGGTGGTGAGTGGCGGCGGTGGTGAGTTTTGAGGTGAGTAGAGGTGGTGAGTGCTGGTGGCGAGTGGCGGCGGTGAGCCGCGGTGGTGAGTGGCGGGGGTGAGCGGTGAGGGAGAGGTGGTGCTGACCTCGGTGAAGGAGAAGAAGAGGCCCACACCGCCCGCCACCTGCAGCACCTGCTCCGAGAAACTCTGCAAGACGTCCAGGCATGGAGAAGAACCCTGTACCAAAGACAAAGATCCTCCATGTAGCCTTTCACTGTTGTTGGGGCAAGTGCTGTCAGCGAGCAACACCCGTGAAGGCCGGAACGGCATACGAAGGGGTGAGTTGCCAACACTACGCCTGGCTGCCTTTGTCTCCCCAGTAGTGATGTTTACTACACACCGCACCAGGTTCTCATTTAAGGCTGAGTCGACCTAGGAAGGCCCAGGACCGGTTCGAATATTTGCGACTGTTATTGGTCGTGAGCAGTAATCGAACCCGGGTGACTTGTAATCGTTGCACACTGCGCTAACCACTGCGCCACCGCTCTCCAGCCCATACAAAAATACAATAACCAGCACCAGATCTCGGCACAAATCAAATCCTCATGCTAGCCACCGCACACAGATGCCATTCGCCGGACAGTCCAGGTCAAACCCCCAGAGATGTGGCAACGCTAACCCCTACTACCCCCTAATTCCAGTCGAACCCCACCCAGGAGGTTTCTCCCTCTTAGGAGTCATCAGCCCGCCCGACCTTGGTGCAGTTAGTGGCTTGCGCGGTGTCGTTGAATCCGCAGCAGTGGAAGTGCGTCTGGATGTCGTTGCGCGTGGCGGGAGATGCGTTGTTCCAGCCGATGTGCAGCAGGTTTATCTGCGGATGTCCACAGGGCACGCACCCACAGTCAGCAGGACACAGTGCTACTAATGTTTCACTATTTTTTAAAATATATTTTACCAGGTAAGGCCCCGCTGAGCTATATAGCTCTCTTTCAGAAGCAACCTGTCACAAATTAGTGCTCAACGAATTGGATTATCACGTGGAAAAGTATAGCAGCCAAATACTCTAAACGTGCTTTTAAATGTGGAGGGAAAAACCGGAGGACCCGGAGAAAAATCCATGCCACCAAGGGGAGAGAGAGACACGCAAATTCCAAATATACAGCAGGCGTCAGGGTCGGGATTGAACTCAAGACCTCCCGTACACCAGGCGAGGTAGTTAACATCTTGCCACCGTTTTTGCACGGTGGTCGCCCAACCCAGCGTAATCCAGGCTCTTACCTGCTTAGCTTTTGAGATCTGACGAGGCCGGGGACGTTCCGGGTGTTTTGATCAGAGTCTGTGCGATCTAACTTTCAATGGCCATCACGATGCACGGGTGGATGATCGCAAAGATACATTTTGTGGTGGATCGCAGGAGAAATTCCAACAAGCAATGGCATCGCAAGCGTGCAGCAATTTTCTCTGCGGCTGACGGCAAAAATCGCCAAAGGAGAATTCATGCAACAAAAAAACGTAAAACTTTCTACCAAGAGATGACGCTAGTACTTTACGTCTCGAGTGTATGACAGGGTTAAATTCATCCGGGCACTTTAATTGTTGGTCACAGCCTTTTCAGAATGGATCAACGCCGCCTGGTGGATTTTTCCTACAGCCCAATGTTGATCTAAATCTTTAAAAAAATAAGCTTAATCTGCCCGTCTATAAATCGGACAGCCATAGCGCTTGCTTGACTAACGTTCGGCACGCAGAGTTAAAGAAAGGGCTCATTCTGTTAGAGAGCAAGGAGGGAGCCCTGGTATGGATTACGAGCTCTGTACGACCGATAACCATTGACCTCGTCCAAAATCAACAGTGACCGGAATGTTGTTGTCTGCACGTTAATCTCATTGGTGCTTTGGTCATTTCTAACTCATTTTACCATCCCCCTAGAGTTTTCAGGATTGAGAATAGCTTCAGGATATTACCCCTTTCCCATTCCGATGACGTACACATACGCCATCGGAAAGGAATCGGAAAATTCGAATAACTTCATGGGTACCGAGGCTCCCACAAGGCCATGCTGGAGGGCGTGTGGCACAGTCTCATAGAGCGCGGTCGTGTCGCTACGGTTCTCTGCGGTGAATACAATGTCTTTAATAACAACGGCGCTAGGCCTCTCTAAAGAAAATTAACGCTAACCGCTTGCGCGTTCACAATGGGATATGGTCAAGCAAAACTCTCACCTGATGCGTCATCTAATACCAATATTCTCTGGACGACAAGAGGCACTCCCCCCCCCCACCCCCTCTCTGTATGTAAGCCGATAGCTAGGGGTGCATCTTAAAGTCCGGTAGCTGCCCACGCGCAAGCGTGTGTGTGTGTGACTAGACCTGTATAACGCGCGTGCGTGTGTGTGTGACTAGACCTGTATAACGCGCGTGTGTGTGTGTGACTAGACCTGTATAACGCACAAGCGTGTGTGTGTGTGACTAGACCTGTATAACGCACAAGCGTGTGTGTGTGACTAGACCTGTATAACGCGTGTGTGTGTGTGACTAGACCTGTATAACGCGCGCGCGTGTGTGTGTGTGACTAGACCTGTATAACACGCGTGTGTGTGTGTGTGTGACTAGACCTGTATAACGCGCGTGTGTGTGTGTGACTAGACCTGTATAACGCGCAAGCGTGTGTGTGTGACTAGACCTGTATAACGCGTGTGTGTGTGTGACTAGACCTGTATAACGCGCAAGCGTGTGTGTGTGACTAGACCTGTATAACGCGCAAGCGTGTGTGTGTGTGTGTGACTAGACCTGTATAACGCGCAAGCGTGTGTGTGTGACTAGACCTGTATAACGCACAAGCGTGTGTGTGTGACTAGACCTGTATAACGCTATTGACACCGGGCACAGGTTTGGGGTGCGTCTTAGTCTCCGGAGCGTCTCGCTCTTCCAGAGACTTTGGTAGTTTTCTCACCCACCTGGTGGATGCGGTCGAGAGCCAGGCAGGCGCAGGAGACGCTCAGCTGCACGAGGAAGAGCACGAAGAGGATGAGCATGTACTGATGAGGAGGACGAAGACGAGGAGGTGGTGGAGGAGGCGTTAAGGGTGGCTGACGCAGCTTCTTTGTCCAGGCCGTGACCACGCACACACGCGGCGAGGACGCGTGGCCTCGCTCTGGCAGGGCATCGATTCACGCATTTAAAATCGATTGTGGAGAAGCATAGCGGCCACGAGTGGCTGGTGGGATTAATTGCAGCCCCGCGATGTTTTGCTCGCCGGTGGCGGAGAGGCCTCCTCCGCTCGAGGACGCGCTCGTGACGGGGTGTTTTTGGTCTACTCTTCCACAATGGCTAGACATCCTGGAAGATGTGGGAGCACCCACACTTTACCCCACCACACGTGACCTGCTGGGTGGACAGAGGCGGTGAGTGTTGGGGGGGCATTTATATACTTTATTTTATATAACTTATATAAAACTTATACACTTTATTTATTCGGTTATTTTCCGTGACTTTCTTACCTTTTCCTCTATTTTGCACTCCTATTGTTTTTTTTTGTATTGTTTGTTGTTGCAACTTGCTACCCCGCCCCTACTGAACATCTGTGAAAATAAAGAAATAAAAGATTCTGATTCTGAAAAAAATATTCTGATTCTGGATTTAATAAATGTGCATCTCCGTCTCAATTACCTGCCACGGCCCCCCGAGTTGCCATCGAACCGACGACCTCTGGATTGCAAGGTCAGCGTGCTGACCTCGCACCACGGAAGCATGTCTCCGTGCGTGCAAAAGGTGCGACGCCCCCTGGAGCCACAAAATCGGTGGTGATATATCAATGGTTCGTAGCACCCCTAGTGGCCAGGCCAGTGAGATGCATGGTAGTTGCAGTCGTTGCCGTTCCATCTTCCAAGATGTCGGTGGCAACAGCGGAGCGGCTTTTGCTGTTGGCTGTTCACCACAGTTCGCGTGGGTCTCTGCTGGATAGCCTGGTGGACGGATGGTTGAGTGGGTGGTTGGATGAGTGGTTTGGTGTGCAGTCGTGTGTGTGTGTGGATGGTGAAGTGGTCTTATATTTGGGTGGCTGGTTGAGTGAGTGTTTTTGAGTGGCTGGGTGGTTGAGTGGTCGGGTGGGTCTGTGAGTGTTTAGGCGAGTATGTATGTTGAATTAATTTCGCACCGTATGTAGCCAACCGCGCTAATCGGAGGTGCATGTGAGTGTTTGAGCTGATGAATGGGTGAGTGATGTGGTGGTTGGTTCAGTGGTCTAGTAGATTGTCAGGTAGGTACAAAAAAACTACAATTATTTTTATTTTACCAAGTAAGGCCCACTGAGCTATACCGATCTTTTTCAGAAGCGACCTGGCCACAAATGATAGCCCAATGAAGTGGCTTATCATGTGGACATTTATAGCAGCCAAATAAATGCATGTTTCTAAATGTTGAGTCAAAAACCACAGGACCCAGGGAAAAATCCAAATTACCACGGGGAGAACGTGCAAACTCCAAATATACAGTAGGCGTCGAGGTCAGAATCGAACCCACAACCTCCTGTAAACCAGGCGAGGTAGTTGTTAGTAGGGAGGGTGGGGGGGGCCGCGGAAAGGATACGAAGAAGAGCAGGACCTGGTGGTGCCGCACCGCAGCCACGAGGCCCAGGATGGAGATGAGGAAGAGGAAGGAGCCCACGGCGATGACTCCACCGATGATCTGGATGCTGGACACCACTCCGATCCCCTTGGCGTATGCGGCCACGCAGATGAGAAGCAGCCCCACCACCTGCGCACAGCCCACCCACCCGCTCATCAACGTCGGCCGCGAGCCGCGATCAATCCGCTGCTGGAGGAAGGCCCTCCCCAAAGCCGTCGGGCCATCCTTCACGGCCGCGGCGATGCGACAGACCGCCCAGCCCCCGCACACCGGCCGGTCCCAACGCTCCATCTCCCGTCCGCCCATCCTGCCCGTTTTTTTTTTTACCCAGGCGAGAGCCCGCCAAGGTACACCGTCACCCGTGTCTCGTGCCGTGGTCTCATCTCGTGTACGAGTGGTCGTGTGTGTGTGTTTTTTACCATACTTCACCACGCTGGGTCACTGCGGGTGAGTAAAGTGGAGTGATATTTGGTGGGAGGCTATGAGTACACAGTGGTTCAGAGAATCAGTCCTCTTCATTGCAGTATTTATATACTGTACAAAGACAAAGATCTCCCATATAACCCATAACAAGTGCTGTTAGTGAGTACACGAGAGAGTGGGTGGCGAGTCCGACGCCCGAGCACCTTTGCCTCCCCAGTGGGAATGAGTTTACACACCGCACCAGGTACTCATTTGAGGCTGAGTCGACCTAGGGGAGACCCAGTACCGGTGAAATTAATCGTCACTGGTGTTGGTGGCCGTGAGCGAGAATCGAACTCGGGTCGCAGGGTTCGTAGCGCAGCACACTAACAGCTATACTGTACGACACAGGGAAGAAGGCACAAGCACAACGTGGGAGGCTTGTACAGTGAAGGATAAGTACATTTTTTTTAGGTTGTTTTTGGACGGAACGAAATGAGTGGCCGGAGGGAAAGGAGCATGTGTGTGAGTTGAACTTCTTTCAAGCCGTACGTAGTCGACCGCGCTAATCGGAGGTGCGGGGGAAGCACAATAAACTAAACTAAACAACAAAAAGCTATTCTAAAGAAATGAGTTTTCAACCTAGATTTAAAAGTGGATAGTTCCAGTGGTTTCTTGACATCAGAAGGAAGAGCGTTCCAGACGGCCGCAGAAGCGCATCTGAGTAGAAATGGATGAGAATGAACATGGTGGTTCATGGGGTTGGGAAAGTGTGAAGAGACTGCTCGACTAAAAATCAGGTCATTAATTCAAATACCGATTGGTAGTCGACTCAGCGCATCATCCCTCCGAAGTCCGAGAAAGCGAGTACCGCTTAACGGGAACTCGATGATGCTTGTCCCATGGATTAACTGCACCCCCACCCCCCGACCTACCATAGGAATGTGGAATTTCTACCACTGGTTCAAAGACCTCCAAGAACATTATCACACCACCCAATGTTCATCGGCGTTGGGAGACACCTTGTCCCGACTGAGCGAGCCTGGCACCCGAGTACACGAGACGAAGGGGGATTTGTTTCTATGAATGAGCGACTTCGTGAGACGATGCCAGCTAAGCAAGGGGCGCTTACGTCCTTAGTATTATGGAACGACTGTGCAGCGTTTGTTTGCGTAAACAAATTATACTGTGAGATATTCACTCGAGCTATTGCATAATCACCTACAATCGGGCAAAACATGCGTCATGGCTTTGAGCTGACTGCGTACACAGATGACTATAAACTAAACTATTACAACTGAAATATTTGTATTTTACCAGGTAAGGCCAACTGAGCTATATATAGCTCTTTTTTATAAGCTTTTTATTAACTCACTCTGTTGTTGTCATATCCTCAAATCTTGCAACTCAATTTTAACCCACTTCCCAATGTGGTATCGACTGCAAACTTGGTATAATTATGTCATACTGATGACAATACTATATTCTATCATAAAGAATATATATTTTAAAACATTTTTTTTAATGTTATGTTTCGGCTTGGGTCTTATTGTCCACGGTCAACTAACGTTGGCTGTAAATGCCCACGGCCCCCTTACGTTGTGGCAAGTTTCAGGGCCACTTCCTGGAGTCGTGGAGTTCTGCCATTACTAGTACGGTACATTTCATTAAAGCGTGTTTTTAAAAATATTACTTATTCAGAAGCGACTTGGCTACAAATGATAGCTCAACGGGGCGGCGTATCATCTTGTGGAAATGTATCGCAGCCAAATACTCTAAACGCGTGTTTATAAATGTGGAGGGGAAATCCGGTGGACCAGGAGAAAAATCCACACGTCCACGGGGAGAGAGAGAGAGACACGCAAACTCTAAATATACAGCAGGTGTCAGGGTCGGGATCGGGATCGAACCCACGACCTCCTGTATACCAGGCGAGGTAGTAAACATCTCACCATCGCGGCACGCCGCATTACAGGACTGCGACATTGCAAACACACGAAGCAGGATTTAATTTCGACTTCCCCGAGTCTCATCAGCAGGGTGTGGGCATGTAAACGTATGTTGTTGTTGTGTGGTTGCCTGGCGCTGAATGCAAGAACGCCACACGACTGCCGTGTCGCCATCAGGTGCAGTACAACAACATTACACAACAAGGCAAATACGCGCTGTTGTGCAGGATCATGCTGTTGGTTCGTGCACGGCGCGTGTTGATGTGCGGGGAGCGGTGGCTTATTGCGCTACGAATCGGGCTACCCAAGGACGATTCTTGTTCACGACCAATACCAGTGGTCCTGTGTGTTCCTCCCTAGGTCGATTCAGCCCTAAATGAGCAAAGGACCTGGAGTGGTGTGTAATCTAAACATCAGCACTGGGACCACAAAGACGACCGGGCGTGGTGTTCAACACCCACCGCTTCGTGTGCCATGCCGACCTTCATTTGTGCTCGCTAAACAGCACTTGCCCCAACAGTCTGTTCACACGATATGGGGATAATTGTCTTTGTGGGTGGGTGTGGACAGTGGTTAACGGAGACCCTGTTGTCGATTCTGCGTCGCAGATTAGTGTGCACATCTGAAACCGGTCCCGGACCTCCCCTAGGTCGGCTCGGCCCTAAATGAGTACCTGGCGCAGTTTAAACATCAGCACTGATGACGCAAAGGCGTCAGCTATGGTAGTGGACCCCCCCCACCGTGTCCCACGCTTCTTCAATAGGTGCTCACTAACAGCACGTGTAGGCTACAGGGGGAGAGGGGGGCGGGGGGATCATTGTCTTTGTGGGCAGCAGAGGACACTGCAGCGAAACCTTCACCCAGGTCCGCACTGGCCAGCCTTAAAGTTCGTGATCTAAGCGTGGCTTCTTCCACTCCAGGGCTGTCCTCCAGACAGTCTCGCCCCTTCACCTGATGAAGGCCGCTTGTGTTGTGGCCGAAACGTCGTGATTTTTTGTTATTTTATTTTCACCTACGCGACTTTACCCAATAGAACCAAAGAGTATGGATCCTAGCAGTCACGAAAGCTTTAAATCTAGAATTATGGTCAAATAAGCCCCACAGCCCCGCATGGCATCGGGGTGGCTCTCTTCATCCAGCAGTAGATTGACAACAGGGCTTGTACACGTTCACTGTCGGCGAATGCGCCGCTGCAGGCAAACGTCTTGGCGTTCCGACAACGCCTGGCATGCCCCGTGTTTTCATTGCAGGAAAACAGGTAGTTAGTAGGTAGCTTTACGAGCCAACCTTGCACCAAACCTTAAACTCGTGACCTGCTGCAATATCTGCTACCTGCGTGCACGCCCTTCCCCCCGTCTCCGGGAGGGTGACTCGTACAGAAAGCCCCCTCGGCGCGAGCTCTTGATGAACGGACAGACAAGAAAGAGCTCGCCTCCATTACGTAATGGCAATAAAGCGAGCGACAACAACGTTGGTCAATGAATCATTGCGATTCCATTCAATCGTCGATCCTTTCATTGTACCGCTTGTGCTGAATGTATCGCCTGCAGCGCGCCTGCAGCGAACTGGGAGCACGTGCCCACCACACGCTGTCAGTTTCAAGGAGGTTGTTTCACCATACTTCACCACTCTCATCAGCGTGGGTTGGTGAAACGGGGTGGAGGAGGGTGCCCAGTTTCGGTTCCGAGATCGCTCAACACCGATGTTATAGCTGTGGTCGTGAATCGAACCCAGGTCAACAGCTTTGTCACACAGTGTAAAAACTATAAACTATGTTTTGTTTTTTATTTAAAGCTTTCGTGACTGCAGTAATTCATATTCTTAGCTCTTTCGGTAAAGTCCCCACGCATTAAATCAGAATATGTTTTTTTTTTTATTTTACCAGGTAAGGCCCAATGAACTATATATTTTTTTCCCAGAAGCGACCTGGCCACAAATGATAGCTCAACGATAGTGGCTTATCACGTGGCCATGCGCAGCAGCTAAATACTCAAAGCGCGTGTTTCTAAATGTGAAGAGAAAAATCGGAGGACCCGGAGAGAAATCGACACGACCACGGGGAGAACAAGCAAACTTCAATAATACAGGCGTCTGGGTCGGGATCGAACCCACAGCCTCCTGCATAGCAGCCGAGGCTGGCAACATCTCGCCACCGTGGCTAACCCACCCCAAACAGGGCTCCGCACGCACGCGTATCGGATGTAATCGTACACACGACTCGAACGGAGGCATTGATTTTTAATGAATCCAATCGAGGCACCCTTGCATTTGCTAAAATAACATTATATTCCATCACTTTTTGGCCAGCTTATGAGACTGCTGATGAGACTCAGAAAGGTCAAAACCGGTCGAGGGCCCGCTGCTTAAACACGTGATGCTGCAAAACGAGGCCCCAAGGCTGATGGGAACGAAAACTGATTTTGTGTTCTTAGCATTTTTTTTTACGCGGAGGGCCATACTCTGTGTGACGACAAACCAAAACACGGGGACGCGGCTGTAATGCTACATTCTGTCAGAACAGGGGCAACCGTGGTGACGCGATGTTATTTCCAGTGCCAGATTAAGCTCGTGCGGGGCCTGTAGCATTACCCACTATAATCACCCAGAGATATTGACATAAAGCTTTCGTGACTGCAGGAATTCATATTCTTTGGGTCTTTCCGTAAAGTCACGTAGATAGGTTCAAAGAAAATAAGAAAAAAAATAATACAAACTACGACGTTTCGATCGCAACACCAGCGTTCGTCATCAGGAAGAAATAAGTGGGGGAAAGCTGTTGAGGCAGACTGTTTTTAAAAGTTTAAAATGGGTGTAGCCCAAGGGTCATAAACAAAGTGGACAGGGCTAGTTATGTAATGTGAGAAATTAGAACGTTACATTAACATCACTATTCTTTCATTTGCTATACAGTCAGATAATACGACAACCCGCTCACGTTAAACACCCAGTCGTTCATAACAGTTGAAGGCAGTACAGTACTATAGTAATAGAGCAAGTGCAGAATCACTGAACCGGAATTGATAGCTTGAAAGCATTTAGCGCGGAGCCCTTGAAAGTGCGGGGCCCGTAGCTACTCCATATGTAGCTACTACTACATGTGTAGCTACTACTACATGTGTAGCTACTACTACATGTGTAGCTACTACTACATGTGTAGCTACTACTACATGTGTAGCTACTACTACATGTGTAGCTACTACTACATGTGTACCTACTACTACATGTGTAGCTACTACTACATGTGTAGCTACTACAAATGTAGCTACTACATATGCAGCTACTTGTGCTAGTAGGATAATCTGGCACTGGTTATTTCCCTCGGCCAGTATGCAGGCCCATGGGTTCGATCCCAGACCCTGACGATACTAATTGTACATTTGGAGTCTTGAGTGTTCTCTCTGCCCGTGGTCACGTGGATTTGTCTCCGGGCCCTTTGGGGTTTTATTTCTCTCCACATTTAGAATCAACGACAAATGCCAGCGTGTGATAAGCCACGTCAATGAGCTTTTATCATGTGGCCAGGTAGCCCGCGGGTCGTCTGGGTTATTGACCATAGTTCACCGTCCCGGTTTGTGAAGGCGGAGAGCATCGATGTCGGCGCATCGAAGTATAGTACAACAACGTATTATTCTGCGCTGCCTTCTGCTGCCCGTGAGTCATCAAATTATAAATAGTTCATTACAAAAATGATGAAGAACTCCCGGGAGTGTTTAATGATGAACTGGGAGTTTACCGAGAAAATCACTTTTTTCAAATTTTCTTGTGGTTTTCACACCTGATGATGATTGCTTGTGCTGCGGTCGAAACGTCGTGAGAATTTTATTGTTTTATATTTTTCTTATTTGTGACTTTACCGAAAGAACCAAGAATATCACAAGATGGGTTCAAACACGCACTCCTCACAGTGCTCGCGGCTCAACACCGTGATTGTGATATCACTGGACACTCGACCCCTCCAACCCCAACACCCACCCCTGTGATGCCCATGCTGCTTCATTGGTTTTCGCTGCCGTTGCACATCCTCGTAATGTCCATCACGCGGCGGCGGCGGCGGCTCTCGGCTCGGGTCGAGTTATCAGCTTCATTTTCCCACAGCCCCGCCAACAGGCTGACTATTCATAGCGCCTTCGTGAGAGCGTTGATTTTAAGGACAAGCACAAATACCAAATGTAATGCATTATTATTATTTGCGATTGTGGTGAGCGAGGGTGGGGAGTCTCAAGACCCGGTTCAGATGTCACTCGCCACCGGCGTGAGCTGTATCCGGGAATGAGACTCGCCGGGTTCATAGCGCAGTGCGCTAACCACTGGCCGCATGAACTCGCTGGGAATACAAAACACACGGCGCCTGTTGGCAGCCGTGGCGAACAAGAGATCAATAAATACCCCTCTCTCCCATCACGCACCACCACCACCTTCATAAGCATAATCAATAGGCTGACGTTTCGGGCGCCGGCCCCTCTTTAAGAGTCGACAGCGGAGAGAGATTGACTACCGGTTTGAAATCAAGTCCAGGGCATTAAGGGGCTCCTGCTCGAAACGTCAGCCTACTGTATTACAGTACTATTATGCTGTCCTAAGGGAATGTCACAATGCTGCGATGGAGCCGTGGCTCAGTGGGTAGTGGACTGCGCTATGAACCTGGTGACCCGAGTTGGATTCCCATCAGTGGCGAGTGATATCTAATCCGGTTTTTCTCCCCCCTCCCACCCACCCCTTCAAAAACACGCAATGACCAGCGTGGTGAAGTATGGTCGGACAACACGTGACCGAGAGCCCTTTATTCAGCAGTCCATGCATTCACAAAGGGGTATGGATTCTATTCAATTTGGTCAGTGCTTCGTTCGAGGCACGAACAGACCACGCCACACCCCTTGAACATAGAGCCGTCATCATCATCAGCCATGCTCAGTCCACTGCTGGACGAGCGCTTCCACAAGCCATCCGCACCCGTCACGTGATGCCTCCTAAATTCGCCAAACCCCGGGCTGGATCGGCAAGAGGCCGTAAACAACAACAACAACAACCCACCACCGTCATCAACAACAAACAACACCACCGACACGAACCCCGACGCTGAGAGCCACAACCGCTTCGAAGGTTAACGACAACAACCACAACAACAACCCAACAACCACAACAACAACAGCAGCTGACGAAAGCAGAACTGGAATAAAGGCGTGCGTGTGTGTCGACGTCTGTGTGTTGTGTTGACGGGAGTGCGCAGACCGTGACGTCACAGCGCCGCTATCTTTGTGCGCCCGAGAGGCGAGACCCCCCCCCCCCCCTTTGTAGCCAGAGCCGAGAGCCCCCCCCCCACCCCGGGGTCCACGGAGAACCCCCCCAGCCCCAGCCCCCCTCGACCCCAACACAATACACTTCAGCAACCACCACCAACAACCACCCCCCTCGACCCCAACACAATACACTTCAGCAACCATCACCACCACCACCCCCTCTACCCCAACACAATACACTTCAGCAACCACCACCACCCCCCCTCTACAACACAATACACTTCAGCAACCACCACCACCCAGCCCCCCTCTACCCCAACACAATACACTTCAGCAACCACCACCACCCCCCCTCTACCCCAACACAATACACTTCAGCAACCACCACCACCACCACCCCCTCTACCCCAACACAATACACTTCAACCACCACCGCCACCCAGTCCCCCTCTACAACACAATACACTTCAGCAACCACCACCACCACCCCCCTCTACCCCAACACAATACACTTCAGCAACCACCACCACCCAGCCTGCCTCTACAACACAATACACTTCAGCAACCACCACCACCACCCCCCTCTACAACACAATACACTTCAGCAACCACCACCACCACCCCCCCTCTACCCCAACACAATACACTTCAGCAACCATCACCACCAACCACCACCAACCACCCCTCTACAACAACACAATACACTTCAGCAACCATCACCACCAACCACCAACCACCCCTCTACAACAACACAATACACTTCAGCAACCACCACCACCACCCCCCTCTACCCCAACACAATACACTTCAGCAACCACCACCACCAACCCCCCTCTACCCCAACACAATACTCTTCAGCAACCATCACCACCACCCCCCCTCTACCCCAACACAATACACTTCAGCAACCATCACCACCAACCACCACCCCCCCTCTACAACAACACAATACACTTCAGCAACCACCACCAACCACCCCTCTACCCCAACACAATACACTTCAGCAACCATCACCACCACCCCCCCTCTACCCCAACACAATACACTTCAGCAACCACCACCACCACCCCCCTCTACCCCAACACAATACACTTCAGCAACCACCACCACCAGCCCCCCTCTACCCCAATACAATACACTTCAGCAACCACCACCACCAACCACCCCCCTCTACCCCAACACAATACACTTCAGCAACCATCACCACCAACCACCACCCCCCCTCTACAACAACACAATACACTTCAGCAACCACCACCACCACCACCCCCCTCTACCCCAACACAATACACTTCAGCAACCACCACCACCAGCCCCCCTCTACCCCAACACAATACACTTCAGCAACCACCACCACCAACCACCACCCCCCCTCTACCCCAACACAATACACTTCAGCAACCACCACCCAGCCCCCCTCTACAACACAATACACTTCAGCAACCACCACCACCAACCACCCCCCTCTACCCCAACACAATACACTTCAGCAACCACCACCACCACCCCCCTCTACCCCAACACAATACACTTCAGCAACCACCACCACCACCACCCCTCTACAACAACACAATACACTTCAGCAACCATCACCACCCCCCCTCTACCCCAACACAATACACTTCAGCAACCACCACCACCAACCACCCCCCTCTACCCCAACACAATACACTTCAGCAACCACCACCACCAACCACCCCCTCTACCCCAACACAATACACTTCAGCAACCACCACCAACCACCACCCCCCATTCCCATCCTGTGATGACACTCGGATCCAGCGTGTCGGGGTCACATTCTGACAATCAGCAACAGACGAGGGGGTTGGGGGGGGTGAGCGATGCGGGGGACGATGATGAGAGATCAGGGGAGGGATGGCGGTGATGGGGGCGACACGGGGTCTGGGGGGGCCTGAGAGATGGGGGGCAGGTGGGGCAATTTGCTCCCGGGGTCTCACAGAGACCTCATCTGACATTTGGCCACAGGGTCTCGTCAAACCTTTCGGTAGCAGCCCTGCGGTGGGGGGTGGGGGTGATGAGAGTCGACAGGATTGGGATGATCTTAGAATGCCGCGCGGGGTGGTGGTGGTGATGATGACGGTTGAGACGATCCAGTGGGATGCGGAGGGGCGTTGTGCGAATTGTGAACAATGACGAAGGGTGTGGGGGGTCTGAGTACCCCCCCCTGCCCCCCCGTATCGCGACTCACCATGTACAGCAGGTTGAGCACGCACAGCGCGTTCTTGGCGCACGCGAATCCTCCGCAGCCCATGCTGGCCATGTCAGGTGCCCGCGCCGTCTCCCCGCGTGTCTACCTAGTGTCTGTCTAGTGTCCGCGCGTCTCTCTCTCTGTGTGTGTAGCCGAGAGGCGGATGGGAGCGCCCCGTGTCTCCTCTCTTCTCGCTTCCCTGTCGCTCCGTAGCCCCGCCCAGACGTTACGAGGCAGGGCCCAGGCCAAGTCGCCTGCCCACCCGACACGATTGGCGGTGTCCGCCCACGTGGACCCCGCCACCGCTGACGAGTTCACGGGACCCGCTTGGGCTGATGTCATCACGACCGCCGCCACCGCTATCGACATCACCATCGCTGGTCCACCCACCCCCCCCAACCGGCATCGCGTGATTCGTGACTCAGCCCGTCGTCGCCCTCACCTCTTGCCACCCCTCCCCGTGCGAGGCCCCCCTGAATATTTAAACGAGGCGAGGTAATTCGAGGCACGCGCCAGCAGCAGGCGGGGGTTCAGGTGTGCGCGGCGCAGGTGGAAAATGCGACACGTGCAGAAAGGTGGACACGAGGCCACCATCGGTTTGTCAGTGTTCTACATTATCATAGCGCTGTCAAGCCCTTATCAGTGCTGCCCAGCTTATTACAGACCAATTGAGACCTTACTGGCCACCCCGTGCCCTTATAAATCTCAAAGTCCCATCACAAGGAAGAAACACAAAGACACATTTTTTTGCCCGTATTGAAACGGCTGTACGTCGTATGGACCTGAAACTAAATTCCCCTGAAACTCAATTCCCCTGTACAAGAATACGGGGTAAACCATATGGGTTGACAGCTTTGTATTATTTCAAATGTCGTGGGGGTTCCCCCCCCCCCCCCGAGTCAGCCCCGGGGTATTCAGAATATCCCCCCCCCCACCACCACTCCACCGTGCCCCAAGGCGATAGTGAATAATCGGGTGTTATCACCGGTTTACTTATTTTCTGAGCTCATGCTCGACCCCATGATACGGGCGAGAGCTTATCAGTCGTGGTTCTCGCCTGGTTCAACTAAATACAGACCCCTCAAGATGGAGAGATTGGTGACGACCCACGCAATCACCAATGCCAATATCCATAGCATTTAGAGGCATCAGATTACCAATGCCTCTAAATGCTATGGATATAAATTGTCGGCTTTAACAAAAATAGCAAAAGTCAGAAACGCGTCACAATGTAGATCAGGCACACGCGCGTGTTGGTTGCGTCGATTTACCGGGTTTTAATTGTAAAGTAAAAAATACCCAGCGTTCTTTTGCCATGTTAATAAACAGCACTCGCCTTTGAAGCGTGGCGAGCGTGGCTTCAAGGTGGGACTGAAACCAAGCAGAATGCAACACACGACCGCAAAGCGACTGTGCGGGCAAAACTGTCCGGCGAGCACACTCGGGCAGGGGATGGGGCAGCCACGAACCTACCGATTACCACTCCCACTGCCAAAACCAACCAAACACAATGTTTACATGTTAAAAGGAAAAAAAATCTCAACGCGCAAGTTGGAATACAACGGGGTCGTTGTCATTCACCGATGTGTGCGCGTACGTAGCCGAGTGTGCGCGTGGCGAGTCTCACTGGGGAGGGAGGTGGGGGCAGAACCGAGAGTGAAATGCTGTCGAGAGGCTATACACATCCTTTTGGAAAAATCGCTGAATCTCCGTGGAGCACGCCTGGCTTGAACACACAACGCTGCCGTGTGCAGGTACAGCGTTTGCTTTTGGCGCTCCCAAAAGCAAACGGGTCGTCCTCTGTCAACAGGGTGCCCCCCTTCCTGCAGCTGAACGCTTGGGCACGAGCGAAATCTGGTGTCCCCCTCCGCCCCCGGCGAGGGGGTGACGAGTTTATAGCAGTGCACGGTCGCGTTAATCCTCCTCCTCACCAGAGTCCGACTCTGCAACACAAACGTATTCAGCCGCATGTTAAACACCGACAATGGCACACGAGCAACTTTGCTCACCGTACACTGGCATAGTAGACCATTTACATACACAGAAAGCCTATTCTAATTGCAACATGTAGTCTTAAGTCATTTAAGTAAACCCCTGTTTACCAAAAAAGGGCAGTAGGAGGTAATGAGATCCTTCCTCTTCAATGAAAGTACTTTTTCCCCAACCAAAAATAACAGCCAGCAGTGATGTAACTCGGAATATAGATTCTAAAATAATCACCACCTTAAATGTAACCATCGCGGACTGGTTGTCTGCATTGGCGGGTGTGGATTACAGCGTACCGCAAAGCGCACGTGCGTTTGGCACAGGTGTCGTGGTGACGTTGCCATCACCGAGTGGAGAATGGCAGATATTGGTATTGGATTACAGTGTAACAAATTGATAGACCAATCCTGCCTGTAGCTCCTTGCATTTAACCGAAAGCTTCTTGTTCAAAGACATGAGGTATATTCCGCCATGGGAGAAGTGTTGTGACTGTTGGTGGTCAGGTTCTACCTTCCTCCGCATGCTGCAACCACTCCACAAACTTCTTCATCTGCTCCAGGAAGATGCTCTTGCCCTTGGCCAGGTGAGCCTCACGGTACCACTTCAGGATGGTATCCTCACTCAACACGTCCGCTGCGGGGTGATCACACAGCACGACAGTAACTGCCACCATACGCCACTAAGTGGAGGTGATGCAACCACGGTGCTTGTGCCAGGCTAGATAACACTGATGCCATGTGAAGTGTGGAAGGCTCGCCGGTCGGTCCCAGGACAGACCTTGTTGTTATGGGTTAACTCATGACTCACGGAGTCACTGGCTGTGCTTCCCCACTGTGCCATCATACAAGACAAAGACACAGACGTGCACACCAATGTATGACAGCCAGCCTTGGAAATCCCCTACAGGTGGAAAATCGCAGTAGGGCTGGCTCTGACCATGACCAACAGAAGAAACCAGTACACATGAAGGTTAGCAAGGCTACCAAGACACATAGACTGCGGAATGTGTGCTCTAGCCACCAAAGGTCAAAGTAATCTACATGTTTTGTGTGCTTTTTTCCTGAACCTCAACACACCCGAACTCATTAGATTTCTGAAGCGAAGAAGAGTTGAGCCGGTTTAGCACTTGGTTAGGTGGGGGAAATGCCTGTGAATACATGGTGTCGTAGGCTTGAACTGTAAGGTGGCCAGGAGATGGTTGAAGCCTTGAGAGTGTGTTTTCTTGGTGTGTGACACATGCTTGAAAGTCTGCACATTCAATGAAGCTGTCATACTCTTATATAGGCGGACAACTTTATCTATCTGTGATGAACGCTGCACTTTCCGTCGTTTTCATGCAGGGGGCGCTGCAAACCTACACGCACCCCCTGCATGAACGACGGAGGCGCAGGTCACAGACTTTCGATCACGTTGGAATCGATCTGCAGACGGCGGTCTTCTCGCATGGCCAGCAGCTCTGTGTCGCCTTATCTCGATCCCGTAATCCCAAACAGGTGAAAGTCCGCATCGAACCGAACCCCCAGCAAGGCCATCTACTTAACGACGAGAGAAAATTCACACGAAATGTGTCTTTTTTATGTCTCTTTTCAATTAAGTCTTCCAGATGTAAAATGATATAAGCTTTTAAGCAAGAAATAAAATTATCTAATTCAAAACATAATACAATTCAAAGTTGCTTCATTTTAAAACTTCAAAATGGATCATCGGGTGCTTGCGTGAATGCGTCGTTCGTGTGAAAAATGTTTTGTGACTTTCCTAGTGGCTAAATATAGCTCCACTGTTATTTAACTCGAATTTCGGCGGCCTGTGGCCGCCTTCATACAGCTCCTGCAGAGGGCTTCTTGGCGCTACGCACCTCACCCATCGCCCCCACTGACGTCCTCTTCTCCCCCCCCCCAATGTGTGTAGATACTTCTATAGGGTGTGTGAAAATGATTATTTTGGGGGGGGGGGTGAAAATTATTTTTTGGGGGGGGGGGGTCGGCAATTGTTGTAACCCTGTTGGATTAACTTTTTACCCCCACATCTGGGGGTGGGGGGAGGATCCACTTTCTATAACGTTTTGATTCAGGCCTTCTGAAAGGCTCTTATAATTTAATTTACGGACAAACGGATAAACAGAACGCCGGGCTTTCGACTTTTATAACAGATTTTTGCCTTGGCAGAGGCCATTTCAAGAGTAACTTGCAAACTCTAATTTATGCCCATTTCCGAGGTCGTGTTATTGCGACTACAAGAGTCTCACCTTTGTAGAAGAGCACCACTATCTTCTGGAAGGTCTTCATGAAGTGTATGTTGCCGTAGCAGTACTCCTGCACTTTGAGTAGGAGCGTGAGCTCTGACTGGCCCTGGCTGGTGAAGGATGCCAACAACGGCGTGTATTGCTGTAGCGACAGGGACACGATTCGGTACAATAGAAATATTCAATTACTATTAAATACATGAAATCTCCATACATATAAAAGGCAAAGTTGTGAATATGTGTGTCTGTTCAAAAATTTTGCGTACTTCCCGACATGCAACAAAATTGAAATTTGCCATGTGGGTACTTTCCAGACTGTACACCATGCAAAAATTATAAAAATACACTTTTGTTTCTTTTTTAGGGGGGGGGTAGCTCAATAATGAATATATTTTTTGCACGGCAAGTGAGCTGTGACGTCAAATCTGTCACATGACCCGCGCATGTGGAAGCGTAACGCATTGTAGTGTAGCGGTTAGGGCTACGCTGCGCTACGAACCCGGCGACCCGAGTTCGATTCCTGCTCATGGCCACCACCGGTGACGATTATTTTAACCGGTCCTGGGCCTCCCCTAGGTCGACTCAGCCTCAAACGAGTAACTGTTGTGGTGTGTGAACATCGCCACTGGGGAGACAAAGGCGGCCGGGTGTGGTGAATCCACGTCCCGGGGCGAAGCCGGGTAGTACAGCTAGTACAGTATACAGGCGGTCTCTAGTTTACGATGATCCACATTCCGACGTTTATATAACGCCAATGTGGATCGATTTACAATGCAGAAACTTTATTTACGAGGCGACTTCGTGACATGACTCCGAAGACATTTGAACGGAGTCGGTCTGGCTTCCGATGTGACTTGGCATGGAGCTCTCGTTCCTCTCAAGTGTTTTTGTGGATTTGTACCTTTTAAACCCTCTTAAATACGGCTGATGAAGGGAAAAACGCATCATTCCTTGATGTTTCTACTGTTTCTACTGGTTATGGGAAAACGGGTTCCGATTTACGACGATCCAATTTACGATGACGGAGTTTCCAGGAACGCATCGCGTCGTAAAAACGGGTATCGCCTGGATATAAATACAGCACGGTGTTATCATAATGCGAACTGGATATAACGCGATTAAGGTATGAGAAAACACATTTTTTTATAACGCGGATGCGAATTGGATAGAACGCAGTCGAGTGAACTGAACTACGTGATGCAACTAGGAATAAGTGGTTGCACAGCTGCCTCGTCGTAGCATCGCACAAGGCGGGATGCTGCTGGATGCTTCTAGATGCGACCCACACGTCTCAGTCTTTGTTTCAGCCTGCATACACATCTCACGATTTTTCCATAATGCGGTGCTCTTCAGGAACGCAACTACAGCGTTATAGGAGAACGGACTGTACACCAGAAGAAGAAATGTGAAGAACAAGGTGAAGCATGGGGGGTGGGGGGGTGAGCGGAAACTGACAGGCAAGCCGATAGAAAGAGGCGACTCGAAGTTTGTGAGCCTGGATATGAAGGAATGTGGAGTGAACGTGGACATGGCCTAGGACATAAATGGGCGGAGAAAGAGGACCAGGAATGCAGACCCTCCCACGCCAGCTTGATACCGACCCATCAACAATTCTCGTCGAGGAACATAAACCATCAAGCGCAAACTCCGGTCATCCTCGCAGCGGCTTTTGGCTAGCCATCGGACAATGACGGTCGCTGCTTTCAGGTGTGCTTCTGCGGTCGTTTTGAACACTCTTCCTTCCGATATTAAGAAGCCACTGGCGCTGTGCACTTTTAAATGTTGATTAATAACTAATTTTATTAGAACTGCTTTTTGTGTCTAGTTTGTTGTCCTTCCCCCACACCTCCGATTAGCGCGGTTGGCTACATACGGTGCAAAAGAAGTTCAACATACACACGTACAACGATTGCAATTGTGCTGTAAGGAGATGGGCAAACCTTGAGGTGCTTGACCGCTTGCTCCGTGACCAACTCCTCCTTCTTGTTCCACTCCACCTTATTCATCACGCACGTCCACATGAGGCTCACCACCGCCTGCTCGGAAATGTCATTCTTCCTCATCTCCTCCTTCACGTACACGGCGATCTACGTGCAGCCACGACACAAGGAGGGCATCGCTGCCGATCCCTGCATAACATCGGAAAGCTGAGATCGCCGAACACAGGCACGGTGATCAGAGCTCCCCGATGCTTCTCCAACATCGCACCCACCTCCTTCACCGGCTCTCCCAACTCCAGTTTCTCAGTCAGCTCCTTCTGCAGCTCTTTGCGCGTGCCGAGCGTCTGCTGAGCGCGCAGGAAGGTGGCGAGCTCCGTGAGTCCGTTGGCTGTGAAGTACGCGGAGAAGTGTTCCACACTTTGCTTGTTTGGAGGAAACAGCTCCTGTGATGTGTGTGAGAAAAAAATACCTGAACACCGATATAAACAACATCAATTCCACTTTGGCTTGCGCACCTTCCGTTCGCTTTACTTTTATTTACGATATTAAATTTATTTACGCTATTCGTCGCGCGAGGTTGCAAATTACTTTGCTTCAGTTGGTGTTAGCCGCTGAGGGCGTGACGGGTTTAATTTTGTATTGCCGTTGCTCTATGCCCCCTGTACTGTTCCCATTCCATTGTAATGTGCCCTCATGCCTACTTTATCGAGGGGGCGATATCGGCACGTAAAATAATTGATTGATCGATTGCACCAAGCAATGTAAATTTACAATGAGCCGCTTCGCAAGTTACTTGGGCAGTTGTTTTAGATTGATAGCAATTGCGTTGATGTTCGCAGAATGGAATATTCGCATTTGATTCACCAGAAGCCTCTTGTCCATGTTGGCCTTTTTCAGAGCAAACGTTACGGAGTTCATGTCCTTCTCCGCTATCCAGGTCTTAAACAGCTTCACGGCAAACGTTGCCGAGATTCCTGATGCGAGAAGGCAAACGCATTGTAAATCACAGCGAGAACAGCAGCATAAATTTCGATTTAAAGCTTTCGTGACTGCAGGAATTCATCTTCTTGGTTCTTTCGGTAAAGTCACGTAGAAGGGAAATAATAAAATAAAATATAATAACAAAAATAAAATTCTTCTGCGTGACTTTACCGAAAGAACTAAGCGGATGAACAGCAGCATATTTAGCAAAACACTCGCCACATCACCCGTATGCAGACTTCCAACGATACCGATGAGATGTGGCGAAAGGCAGAATAATTTTGGGCTTAAAGAGGTGAGATGTTAAGAAAGAAAAAAAGTGTTCACCCTCTTTGACGATGGCGTCCGTGAAGAGGCTGGAGAGCACGGTGGCGGGCAGAGCGCCTCCCGCCAGTAGGATACCGGTGAACATGGCCAGCTTGTTCTGCTCCGACTCGGAGAAGCCCTTCAGGAACATGAGCAGCTGTAGCGAGAGGTGCACGACCGTCGGACAAGAGAGAGAGACCGACGGCAAACAGGCATCCCCTGGGCGTTAACAAATGTGGCGAGCGCCGCGCCCCTTCGTTCAGACCATAACGCTTGAAGTCAACGGGATGAATACAATTCACCTTTTTGAACTCCTCCTCCAGGTATTTCTCCAGGTATTTGTATCGTCGAAGGAGCTTCGAAAAGACCTGCAAGGTGACCAGCGGTAAATATAAATGCTTGCATAGGTGGCATGCACTATCAAGAGGATGACACATATAACAATACATGTTTTTGCACGATAGTTGTCTTATAACAAAGCTATCGGTTAAATATAATACATACAGACAATTGTCACAGAGAGCTAGAAAGCTCCTTTGGCGTATGACACCGGAGCTAATGGAAATGAGCCAAATTGGGACTCATATGTGAGCAATATTCCACACATCTTCATCAACAGAGATGGATAAATTGTCTTGACACATTCCGACCTGCCTACACGTTAGTCACACCTTCCGAGTGACACTTCTATGGGCAAAAGACATTATACATCTGTGATCCACACCGACATGCACGCCACGCACCTGCGCAAAGGCCCGCATCTTTTCAATGTCCTCGTCAGCCGTGAACACGCACACGCTTGTGCGTGTCACCTTCGACTTGTCTCCATCGTCCACGAGCGTGCCACCCGGCGCTGTGATGGAATCATCAATGTTACAGATATTCTTCTGTGACTATTCCACCTGAAGACGGAAGCTTGTGTTGCCTCCGAAACGTCGTGATTTAATTGTTTTCTTTTATTTTGTTTTATTTTATCTACGCGACTTTTCCGAATAAAACCAAAGAGTATGTTACTTTTTTTGTAGTGTATAACTCGAATAATTGCTATTAATAGAAACCCCTGTGGATAACACAGTTTATTCATTACTAAAGCACTACAACTATCATAGCTGGACACTAGATCACACTAATCGAGTGTTGCAGATTGGACGCATCAACCGTCTAACCGATCCTAGTTTTGCCATCGGCATGGTGGGCAGAGCCAAGGCGAGAATACCCAGCAAGTGGACGTGTGTGCACCTTCCACAAAACTAAACTACTATGAATAAAAAAAAAATGTTAAACTATATCACGGTCAAGGGCATTCACGTTCATCGACGCGGTAAGGTCGGCTCACCCAGCATGCCGCCCGCCACCAGCACGTCGAAGAGCGTGTCTGCGTAACGGCGGTAGTCGAGCTTGGAGCCGGTGACGTCGAGGAAGCGGGACACGGCCTCAGGGTCCCCGGCCGTCTCGTCCAGGCCCTGCACTATGGCATCTCGGAAGAGAGACGGCTCAAACTTCTCCTTCTCATCTGCAGAGACAACGATGATACACCTCGGCACCAGCAACCAAGCACCTCCAACACCTTCTTGGTTCTTTCGGTAAAGTCACGTAGAATGGAAATAAAATAATAAAAATAAAACATAATAAAATTTTATTTTATTGGTTATTTTATTATGCTTTATTATTATTATTTAATTTCCATTCTACGTGACTTCACCGGTAAAGTCACGTAGAATAGAGATAAAATAATAAAAATAAAGCAATAAAATATTTTTTGTTGTATTTTTATTATTTTATTTCCATTCCACGTGACTTTACCGAAAGAACCAAGAAGATGAATCCCTGCAGTCACGAAAGCTTTAAATCACCTTCAACACATCAGCACATCAATAGTATTGACACCTCAACACCAGCACCTTCGCACCTTCGCCCATCATCACATTCAGATCTCAACACGACATTTATTCCTCCTATAATTATTGTCTTTTCCCAATTATGTATCCATGTGGATCTCGAGAAGAGAAGCGCAGACCCTTCACGTAAGAACAATGGCCACAAAAGTGCATTTTCCACACCTTGGCAATTTAGCATACCAACATCTGAACACCTTGACACTTTAAATCTTTGACCCATCAGCACCAGACTGCCGGGTCACGGTCAAGTGTCACTTCTGTGCAACCGCAGGAGAACATCCGGTGGCAGGTGTTTGGCACAAACACCGAGGGCACAGTCCAAACACTTGGTCAGCGATAGTGTCACGCACGGGTCAGCACGTACCCCGCTTGCGGGTCTTGAATCGCTGCCCCGTTAGCGTCGGCTTCGGCTGCTTTGAATTATTCATAAACACTTCCTGCGAACACAGGGTCACATGAGTGTACAGTCTGTTCTCCTATAACTCGGTGGCAGTGGCGTTCCTGAAGAACACCGCGTTATGGAAAAATCTCGTTATAATAAATAAAATGTATTGGAGTGTAAAGCACAGTCCGCGATCACACGCGAAACGCGCACGCAGGCTGAACAAAGACTGAGGCGCGCGGGTAGCGTCTAGAAACATCCAGCAGCATCCCGCGTTGTGCGATGCTACGGCGAGGCAGCCGTACGACCGCTTATTCCCACTCGCACAACGTAGTTCCGTTAACTCGATCGCATTATATCCAATTTGCTTCCGCATTATATATATAAAAAAATGTGCTCCCAAATACATTCATCGCGTTACATCCAATTCGTGTTATGAAAACAACACGCTGGGTTACAGGAGAACAGACTGTAAATTGGTTTTAGTGGCAGCAGCGATAATCTCTGTGGTAGTAACAGCGGCTCGAGTGAAGGCTGCGGCACGATGGGCCAGGTATGACGGCGTGCACCTGCGATCCATAGATAAGGGTTGGGGGGGGCATTATCTTGGTGAACTTCCAAACCTAAATGGGTGCGAGGTGGCCAATACATGCCAGTACACCAAAATGTGTTCTTGAACCCATCTGTGCAAACCAATAAAGTTGTCTCAGACATGATAACCACTCGCTAAAACGTGCCATGCTAAGACCCCTTTGCAAACAAGTCTCGATCGTTGGTGAGATTTTCCTGGATGATTAAATGACAAGTTTATTGTATATTGAGAAACGACACCATAGTTCACTAGTGATTGTAGATGTAGCAACGGTAGTAATACAATTGCAACAGTAAATTCGCTTTTGGCAGTCGTAACACGTTTGCAGCAGGAAAATTATAGTAACAAACATTCCTGCGGAGGGAGCTGGTAGGAACGTTGGGTTGCTCGGTCAATGGCCAGGGTCAACGGCGGCACCACGTGGTGTATTCTGCAACTATGCCCGACTGTGAGGGCGGGCACAAGCCGGCGTGAGTAGGTTAAACGTTGAGTTTTATAAGGGCACCACGGGGTGACCAGCCCCTCCCCACCCAGCCCCACCCCTCCCACCACCCACCCAGCCCCTCCCCACCCCACCCAGCCCCTCCCCACCCTCTCCTCTCCACCCAGCCCCACCCCTCCCATTTTTGGATGCACGACGGAAGGACGGACACAATAATCCCCTGTGGGCTGGTGGTGTAACTAGGAGGTTCCTACCAGTAAAATGTATTCACAGACGTAACTGCTATTGCTGCAGTAGGATCAGTAGTAGTAACATAACTGCAACAGTATCGGCAGAGGTTATTGAAGTAGCTGCATCTCCAGCAACTGCAGTATACGCAGCAGTGAAGGCTAAATCTGTGGCAGCACTGCAACCCATAGCAGCAGTGACTGTAGCAGTAACAGCAGCAGTATCGCCAATAAAATACTTGAAATAGCGTAACGTTGCATGTGTAACTGCATCGGTATCAGCATTAGATGTTAGCAACTGAACAAGCCATTAAATCAGCACGATAGTGTGAACGTTTCTGCGTCAGTATCTGCAATCTGCCTGAGAATAACTGCATCAGCAATAGTATAATAGATCTCAGCCGTAGCTGCATCAGCTCGAATACTCTAATAATGATACATTTTTTTAAATAAAGCTATTCATGCTGATCCAATTACACTTATACAAATGTATCTAAAATATATGAAGATATATAATTACTCTAACAGTAAGCAAAAGGATCTGCACTGGAGCATCGATTGCATCAGTAACTACACCATGAATGAATGAAGCGGCATCGGTACGAGCATCCGTGAAATCAGTAACTGCATCCGTAGCAGCAGCTGCAGCAGCAGCTGCAGCACCAGCTGCAGCAGCAGCTGCAGCTGGTGCAGCAGCAGCTGCAGCTGCAGCAGCATCTGCAGCAGCAACTGAAGCAGCAACTGAAGCAGCAGCATCAGCGCCGGTACCACTGTATGAGCCAGTCTCATAAAACCACTCTACAGGGCGGTCCAGATATCGCGTGGCCCACAATTAATTGACGCCTAAATTTGATATTCATTTGTTTTAAATAAAACTTGCTTTAAATAACATATTAAGTTTTTATAAAATTAAATGTGGGGGGGGGGGGGGGTCACGAGACATCTGGACCATCCTGCATCCTCTGCGCTCCTTCAACGGAGGAATAGCAAAACAGCACGGACGCTCCTGCAGCCCTCTGTCGCCTCTGTGGCTTAGCAGCACAACGTTGGCATGCAGCTCGTGACCACGGTGATGATGCTGCTGCTGCCATCAAACACACCGCGAGAGGAGAATAGATGCCGTACGAGAGAGTGGAGCGTGCTGAGCGAGCGAGCGAGGTCTCCCCGCTCTCGCGTGCGCCGGTAGCACTCGGTATAGTGTCGCTTGCGATGAGTTAATTCGTTTGTTGTTCTTGTTGATTTCGTGTCGAGGTGTGAGAATCAGCCCCTGCGCTGCCCCAGCGATGGACGAGGAGGGAAGAGGGGTCCAAGCCTCGCGGAGCGCGCGCGGCATGCCGGGGGACGTCACGTGGCCGCCTCCTCCGTCCGCGTGCGCCAGCCGCGTCGGCTCGACCACGTGGCGGGGGATTTAAAGGGCGAGGAGCGGGAGGAACGCTCGCGTGGCGATCTTCGTCTCTCTATCTTTGTGTTCGTCGTAACGTGGCCGCTGACGTCGACGCAGAGCAACAACTTGCAATTTACACGCTCGGATGGTCAAGCCCAGATAACGACGGCGTCGGGAGGAAGCGGAGTAAGGGAATCGCTGTGATGTCTCCTTCGTATTTGTGGATCGGGCATTGCGTCCGTTAACCCGTGTGTGCCGGTCTGTTCCGAATGACCACAGTCGCACACGGGAGAGTTTTTAATTTTTCAGGTGTCCGCATCTGCCATGGTTTGTGCAGTGGATGCGGTTTGGGTGGCGATTGTGGGGGAGGGGGTAGTGGTTGGAATGTGACCAGGAGACTACGGTATATTGCCCTTGTACAGACCTTTTGTCAATACACTGCTAGATGAGGGTTTTCCCACGCTGTTGGTCACGTGAGTTCATTGAACATACTTCACCACGCTGGCCTGCAGTGCGGGTTGGTGAATGTTGCCGGTTCAGGTGGCACTGAACGCCGCTTCTTATCGCAGCTGTCGCTGCCCGCAAGTGCTTTAATGAGTGTTCGTGACTATATTTTTGAAATAACTACACATGTGGTGTCAACGATTCAGAGACAGTTTCTAGGAGGCACTTTATTTATTAACAACTTTCACAGTCTCGTCCGCACACTCTCCACAGTAGCTCAGCCTACCTAGCCTGTCCATAACACTGGCCGTCTAACACTGACGGTGCTGACCGAGATAGCCAACTTCTGTCCTTCGTAGCGCAATATCTAGCGAGGATGTTTAGCGACGACGGCAACGAGACGACAGCAACGTCGAGAACCGGTAGCCTCGAGCCCCTCGCTCTCGGCTCCTTTTATGCTCCCAGCGCGGCCCTGGCTCCGCCCTGACCGCGCCTCCCTTCTCGAACCCACTAGCAGGTTCCAGGGGCCTCCAGATGGGGTCCTCCGTGATCCTTACCCTAGTTCCTCTGCTCTTCCAACACACACCGTGCTCACGCTCACTGGCGTGTGTGCTGTCTGTCCACCACAGCTGCCGCTGCCGTCCAACAGCCGGCGCTATTACACTAGACATACATCAAATGACAGTACAGTTTAATTTTATATTACAAATTGCATACGTGTGGCTTCAAATAATTATAAAACTATATTTTATGTACGTGAATACCTTTCGTGGTGGATATGCATTTCATTATACTGTACTATCATCGTTTATTTAAATAACATTTTGATTACACTAACCTTTAATGAGCATTCAAGTTAATTGCACGTAGCTAGCCACTGATGAGGCTTGAGACACGGATTCTTGTAAGCTGTGGGATTGTCATCAGTTTTAAACAAACAATTTGTACAAAAAGTATTATGCAAAAACCATCACCGTTCCTGAAGAACTGCCTTAGGTGACCATCAAATACATTTGTGCAAATGTGGATTTTCTAGTAATTTACAGATTAAGATTTTGGCATTGTAATCCGAAAATCTCGAAAACTTTCTACGCCGAACATCACCACTTGGATTTCAAAAATAACAAACTCCACACAACCCTCAATAACACTACCCTAAAAGGAAAGATATAATAAGCAACGTTTTGGTGAATGGCCCATGATTCAAGCAGGTTTTCCTGCTGTGGAACATTGTTGGTACACCACTTACCAATGCAGCATCGCAAACACATTTACGGAAATCTCGGATTGCAAACGTTACCGTTAGAGTTTGACGTGAGTGTTACGTGAAAGTATTAGGGGTGGTTCAATATGTACAGTACTTGTGCAAACGTTGCAAATGACCTCACAAACTGTTAAGTGCTGAAGGTGCTAGACATTGGTTGAGCAATTTATTCGGGTAATGGATAGTGTGTTGATGATCAGTTAAAGATATAATCAGGGCCAATGGTATTATGTATGTTGAGCTTCTTTCGCACTGTACATAGCCAACCGTGTTTATCGAACATGCTAGGAGCTGCTTGGCTGGTTTACTCGATGTATTGCCATAGATAGGGGATAGTACTGAGCGCTCGTTCCCTAGTTGTTCTCATCTGGTTAAACAAGATCAACTTTAACTTGAAATTTTTTAACACGTAGGCTTTTGCGACCAATATTATTCATAATAAAGGTTTTTGGGTTAGATCGCGTTATTTATAAATGTGTCGTAACCCTCCACCACCCGACATGGCCAATCAGCAAAAAAGTGTCACGTTGACAAAAGACAAATAGTTGACTACTCTAGCCCACCGGTGTGTTGAAGAGTGAATCCACAACATTTACAGTTTGAGTACGACATTTCGCTGGTAATTACATCCAGCATCATCGGGCAATTCGCCAGAATCGTGAAGCCCTCCACTTGCTCCCGGTCTTAAATAGAACAGCAGCAGGGTGACGTCATCATTTAACTCATTCAGGTGCAGTGATTTGAGGCGGAGGGGGGGTATTGTAATTATATAATCGATTGGTAATCAATCAATGGTGCTCTATTTAAGACCGGGAGCAAGTGAGGGCTTTACCATTCTGGCGAATTGCCCGATGATGCTGGATGTGATTACCAGCGAAATGTCGTACTCAAACTGTAAATTTCGATTTAAAGCTTTCGTGACTGCAATGATTCATCTTCTTTGGTTCTTTCGGTAAAGTCACGTAGAATGAGAATAAAATAATAAATTGATAAAATAAAATAACATAACATAATAATATTCTCACGACGTTTCGGCCACAACACAAGCGGCCTTCATCAGGTGAAGGGACGAGACTGTCTGGTAGGACAGCGCTGGAGTGAAAGAGCCACGTTCAGATCACGACCTTTAAGCTGTGTGAGAGGAAACAAAGCGCCTTGACAAAGGAATTAGCATATAATTTAGCATTGAAATGGCTGAGTGATTAGCTTGTGACTGGTCACAGAAATAGCTATGTTAAAAGTTAAAGCATACACATCCGCAGAGGCACCCCTTGATAAAGGAATTAGCATAGAATTTAGCATTGAAATAGCTGAGTGATTAGCTTGTAACTGGTCACAGAAATAGCTACGTTAAAGTCAGAGCATACACATTCACCGAGGCACTCGGTGAATGTGTATTTATTATTTTATTCTCATTCTACGTGACTTTACCGAAAGAACCAAAGAAGACAAACTGTAAATGTTGTGGATTCACTCTTCAACACACCGGTGGGCTAAAGTAGTCAACTATTTGTCTTTTGTCAACGTGACACTTTTTTTCTGATTGGCCGTGTCGGGTGGTGGAGGGTTACGACACATTTATAAATAACGAGATCTAACCCAAAAACCTTTATTATGACTTCAACTTTAAACTTGCTCGGATTATGAGTTAAGGGCAAGTGTTTTGTTAGCCTGTACATAAAAGCTACATGTCCCAGTTTGGATCCTGGACAATCTCAATTTTGGAAAGTGTCTGTGGAAATTGCGTTTTTGTCCCGGTTGAACATTTTCTTGCTCTACGCTCGACTTCTGCATGATATGTGATGGGGTCAGCGGTACTTGAATAGTGGGCGTGATTGGTAGAGGAAGGTGGGGCCTTATGAGCACGGCTGTATAAAATTTTGGCGTGGCCTAGGGTGGGGAGGGGATGGCAGCTCACAATGTGGCCCCCCATTAAGCCTCCCAAAATATATGGTAGCCTTGTGTTACACTCCACCCGAAACACCGTCTTCTCTCCATCGCTATATTTCGCCTTTTCGATTTCAACCACTCTTAGACTTTACGGTGCTCATGGCAGAGCCTCAGTAGATGATCCCCTCGGGATTCAGGAGCAGGTAGTCCCTGAGCCGCGCCGGCAGCGGGAGGCGTGGAATCTGGCAGTGGCAACGCTCGCCCAGGACCCCGCGGATGGCACAGCGGGACAGGTGCAGTAAGGATCGCGGCACTCCGTTGCAGAAGTGCAGTAGTGACGCGTAGAAGTCCCTGTGTGCCTGGAAAGAGCACGAGGGGGACATGAGAGGGCATGGGGTGCATGGGAAGGTGTTTCAGGTCCAGGAAGCAAACTCTGGCCGCTGGCTTCGTGGTGGAGTGTGCAAATCAATGTGTCACCACTCCCCGCATACGACTGCACAATGTGCATGAGTCGAATATGACTTTTAAATAGCCTTGCCAGGCAACAACACGTGAACTCGCATATCGCGTTATCCAATGATGCAAAAATAACTTGCATGTCAACCCAGTATAAAGAGGCACTTAAGAGTGACAGGAGTGCCTGGACATGTTCAGGTTCGAAACAAAGTGTTTCCAGGTCAGAAGTATTTCCCTCTATTACTCGATCAGTGTGGCTAAGAAGGTCACAGTGATGGATAAATATAATTTGTAGGCCATTTCTAAGCGGGAGTCATCATGTGGCCATGGAATGTGTGAAAATAAGTCGTGAGCTGTATCCAGTCCACAAGCTCTTGGTTCCCCACACTTAATGTACACGTGTGGATGCGGAGTGTGGATGGCGTGAGATACGAGTGTGTGTGTAGGGACTAGATCGACTCGACCTCATATGAGTACCTGGTGCAGTGTGTAAACATCGCTACTCGGGAGAAAAAGGCGGCCGGGTGTGGTTTTGGCCACTGACCCCCTGGTGTGCTGTCGGCCGGCCTTCATAGCTTCTCGCAAACAGCACTTGCCTCTAAAGTAAGTTAAGGCTATATGGGAGATCATTCTTTCCTAGGGACTTGGTGTCTCGTACCTCCCGGGCATCTTGCGAAAGAGCTGGCGCCCAGGCGTGTGTGATCCGCAGCTGCTTGTAGGAGTTGACGAGGATCTCTACGGCGGCCGGGCTGTTACCGCACAGCTCCAGAACCTCCACGATACAGGAGCAGCGACCACGTGAGTGACGGAAGATCAGACGAGGGCAAACCAGATGAGTCAGTGGTAACCAGCTGAGTGAGCGAGTCGGTGGAGCAGTTGAGTCAGGTGTGACCAGGAAAAGCAATGACTCGTGAGCGGCGTGTGCATCACTCTATTGGCATGTTAGCAGTGTTTTCGGCACCTTGTGGAACTGGAGCGGGTAGATGCTCACGGAGCCGTGATTGAGCAGCATCTGGATGCATCGCTCGGGCTGCAGCGTGGGGCGGACGCTCACGACGCGCACGATGTACTGCAGTGCCGTGCAGCCCAGGCCGTCCAGCTGGTTCACGTGCGCGCCCGCCGACAGCAGCAACTCGAGCAGTGTGCAGTCCGCGTTCCAGGCGGCACGGTGCAGCGCCGACTTGCGATCCGTGTCCACGCCGTTGGGGTCAGCGCCCAGCGTTAGCAACCGCTCGCACACCTGATGCCGGAGCCAAACCCTTGTCAAGCATCGGCAGTTCTTGTCGGGGAATAATACCTGAGCCCAGGCAGGTGCCCTCACCAGGACTAAAGCAGGAAGTTATTTTTCCCCAATTACATTCCTTAAATAATGATCAAATAGAGCAAATTAAGATCTGTAAGTATCTTGGGGTCATCCTGGATTCAAAACTGAATTTTGGTAAAAAGACAAAAATAAAAATTGGTTTTCTGTATTGACACAAGCACTGCTTCCCCCCAAAGTTCCGTTTGGAATTGATAAAAGCTACCATACTGCCTCTACTTGACTACTGTGACATCGTGTATAAATCAGCCCAAAGTACTGTACTGAAGAAGCTTGATTCCATCTATCACTCAGCCTTAAGATTTACATTGAACTGCCCATATAGGACTCACCACTGTGATCTCTACATTGGGTCAAACTTAACATCTCTTAATGTTCGACCGCTTGTGCACCAGATCTTATTTATTCACGATGTACTTACAAAAAAATCCGCAGACTACCTGTTGGATCTCCTCTCTGTTTCAAAGAACAAATTTGACCTCAGGTCTTCGCTAATTTACCAGCTTCACATTTCCTATTGCCGTACAAAAACTGGAGGAAGGGCCTTTGCTATTGATGCCCCCAGGGTCTGGAATGCTATTGCCAATAAACTTTAATTTGAATCGCTACCAATGAGATCTTATCTCAAAACTGTTCTAGAGGAGTTGTACACCCCTAGCTGCCACTGCTATTCATTGGCGTAAAATAAAATGTTTCACTCCGGATGACGCTGCAAAGTATTATCTGTATTTTGATTTAGCGTGCTGATCTTAAAGGTGCATTGAAAAATTTGATACTCCGACTGATGCTTCTGTTATTGTGGAGTAACTCATGTAGCTAGCTATGGCTCTAGGATTTGGTATTACATGTTATTTATGTAGTTTATTGTAAAAATTCGGTCACAGTCCCTGTGATCACTGTTACGTTGCAATTATGGCTTTATTTTTGGGTGATTTCGAAAAGTTTTTTGGTTTGGACATGTTTGTTTTGTTGTAGTATGGAGTTAGACTGATGGCCTTAATCTAAGTTTTCTTGTGGTTGTTGATTGACTTGCATCCCACTGGGATTTTTGCGCAGAGCGTTGGTGTACGGTGCTTTTTTCAGAAATATTTTGCTGTTTTTTTAAATGGATTTTCTGTTTGCACAGTCACATAGTCACTTCAAGATGTTTTTCTTGTTCGTGTTTTTGTTTTTTTTGTTTGTTTGTTGTGGTTGCACCCGATTCAAGAGCCGAATGGCTCACAGGGCTATACCAAAATAAATAAACTAGAAAAAAACTAACTAAAATGTGGGGTAGCTATCGAATTTGCAGGCAGTGCAGCTTCACTGGGGCCCATCGGCCAGAGGAGGCCAGGCGCCAAGCCATGACGAGTGGAGAAATTGGACTGGTGGCCCTATTTTATTCCTTAAACCAGGGCCCTGGTAACCACGCTACTCCACTATGGAGTAGCGTGGTGCCTAGAGAAATTCTGCACACACACAAGGGGGAAGGAAACACTAATAAATCATCAATACAGTGCAGTTTGTCAGCTGATCCATGGGCCCCAATGCAGCTGCACCGCCTGCACACTCGACGGCTACACCACTGCTCCAAGGGTCATACCGTGACCGGCGACGGAGGGCACATGTTGGCACACATACCTTGTGGTGCTGGGGGCTGACGCACATGTTCCTCATGCTGAGCGCCCAGAAGATGGCGGTGCACAGCGGTGTCTCGTCATGCCCGTCGCTGCCATCCACCTCGGCGCCGTGCGACACGTAGAGCGCCGTGTGCTCGGGAAGGCCGCACCGCGCCGCCGTGTGGAGGGGCATCTCCTCGGCTGCGTTCCCCGTCTCCAGATTCACGTCTGCGCCTGCACACGCGCGCGCGCGCACACACGCGTGTGCCAACCAACCACCAACAAGTTGTGGGGACGTGACAGAAACGAGTTTTAATCCACTGCTTCCGCTACAAATCTGGTGATTCTGTTCACCACTTTTTCTCCTTGTTTCCTAAATTTCGCTCTCAAGTTCTATCTTCTCACATGCTCAATTCATGCCATGTTCTTCGGTTACAATTTACTGCATGGGTTTTAGTGCTTGTGCTGTATCGCTCTTATGCGTGTTTTCGGCTTGGACCGTGGCATGATTGCTCCATGTGCTGCAAGCTTCTTCAGCAACTGAACTCAGTTACTGTAGTTTTTATCACGAGCTTGTCATCAGAGTCTGTATCTGCACGAGGAATACTGCAGTTTTCACACTTGCAATATATTTGTCTCACCACAATGTCAGGGCCGGATCATGGTCCCATGAGGCCCCTGGGCACATGTATTTTGGAGCCCCCCCCACCCCACTTTTCTATATTGGTGTCTTTCTTGCCTTCCTCCTCGCAAAATCATCCACTAGATCGTAAAAATCTAGCTGTCTGACTCTATTGACATAAGTGACAATGAGCTGTGATGTGTTTGTCAATGTGCTACTCCGCAGCTCACTTTTCATTCTGCCTAAAAGGAAAAATGTCCGCTCACCCTGGCAGTTTTGTCACTGGCAAAGTGAGAAAAATCCGAAGTGCCACGAAAACATTGGTGAAGACTGACTGCAAATTAAGTGCCTGCAACGTCTCGAGCAATTTAGTTGGGCACTTCTCACCGTCAGTCAGACATGCAAGACTTGAATTGTATGAGTTCGTTGGCAAAGTTCACGTCCAGGTCTGATGGATATGCAGTTCCACTATATCACTATTAGACACCTGATCTGACATAAACAGAACTCCAAAGAGACTGGTCAAACGCTTCTAAGCGTCCAAGCGATGTTCAAGGCATGCCACTAGCTTATATCAATGATCACATAAAATGTTTTTATTTTGAACTTCTCCCTCCCCTCAAGTGTCACACCTGGCTCTGAGCTCTCATCTGCAAATGTTTTGTGTTTCCTCTTTCGCTGAAGATCGTGCTTATTTTACTGAGAGACACCTGTCACATTTAAGGCTGCCCTTTCAAAAGCCTCAAACTGGTCTCGCTGTCACATCACAAAATCCCTCAACGAAGACAAAAGCTGTGCTGCTACAGAGATGTCAATGTCACTTTCCTGTAGGTGCATGCTTGTAGCATGGAACCGGTCAAGTATGACATCCCAGAAATGTGCCATGAACACCATCTCTAAGGTGTCAAATTTAGCACATAGTCCAGCCGCCTCAATTCGAGTATCTCTTTTCTCATTATCATCATTGCACATACCACCGAAGGCCTCTCTAATGTGGGTGTAATTTCTCCACAGTGCCTTGGTTTGCTCTGCCCGAGCACTCCACCGAGTACTGGACAATGATTTTAATGCCAGTCTGACATCTGTCTTCTGAAAGACTTTCCCCCATCTGTGTGTAGATGAAGAGTAAAATGTGTACAGTGACTGCAACATATAAAAAAACTCGTCAGCCTCTGGGCTACTGCCATCTAAGGTGTTAACACCAACTAAGTTAAGTGAATGCGCTGCACAAGGCACATAATCTATCAGAGGGTTTTTTTTTCAGGTGGGCCTGTAGCCCATTGTATTTGCCTGACAAGTTGCTTGCATTGTCATATGACTGACCTCTACAGTTTGAGAGGTCCAACCCAAGGCCCTCCACCATCAAAGTCACACAGTCTGCTAAACTTTCGCCAGTGTAACTCTCAATTGGCTCAAAGCCCAGGAATCGCTCCACCACATTCCCGCTGCTGTTAACAAACTGTAATATGAATGTCAATTGGTCCACATGTGACAGGTCTGGGGTGGAGTGAACAATTATTGAAAAATATTTGGCATCCCTAATATCTCGTCTGCTATTGTTTTGCGAGTTTTCTGACCCATTAGCTCAATGAGTTCTTCACATATTGCCGATGACAAATAGGACACGGTGCTTCTTCCTTTTCCGCCAAACTTTTTAATATGTTCAGGTAAGAATGGGTCAAATTGTGATAGCAATTCTAGGATGCCAAGGAAATTACTATTATGGGTTGACCCAAACCGTTCATTATCTCCCCTAAACACAAGTCCTCTTTCACCCAAGAACTTGATTACTGCTACAACTCTTTTCAAAATGTCCCTTCCGTATTTACGTTCCCCATCAAGTTGCTGCATGAGATCTGCATCTATAGCATTGCCCTTTGTCCGCTGGCGCAAGGCAAGCATGCATGATCTGTGTTCCCCTATTCTTTCAGAGTGCTTACAGTCACTAAACCCCTGACTAAAGCCACCGAGATTTCTGGAGAACAGTTTGCATGCAAAACAGTATACACAACCTGTTGGGGGTGAGTACAGTAGCCATTGTCTAGAAACCTGCCCATTTGGCAATATACAGTTCATAAGTTCATTGTTGAAACTTCTAGTCTTTCCACCAAGCACTCAACCTCGGACTGAAGTTGGGTATTTTTCACTGCAGTTTTGGAAGGGGACTGCTCTTTCAATAAGTACTGACTTAACAATGTCACTGAAAGTGCTTTGCCATAATGCAGGGTCAGTGACCTCATAGCACCAGGAATGGCTTGGTTGCTGATTTGATTCTTGTGAACTGCCAAACTGCTCCTGAGGTGGAAATGATGGTTCTTGTATACCATTAGCTGTTGAGGGTTCGCCTTCAAAGGATGGCTCTGGGGGAGTGACAACATTACTGGAAACTGAACTAGTCCTAGTTCCTTCCTCACAGCTGACAATAATGTTGCTGTCATCATTATTAATATCAGAGGGTTTTTGAAAGAAGTTGGTAATGAGTGGAACACTTTGAAGCAAAACCTCCTCTCTTGCCTCCTTTTCTTTTTTGGCTTTCCCTTTGTAAGCACCACTATTCCAACGTTTGTGGTCCATATTTCAGAACTAGTATGCTATTTATATGAATATTTTTATAGCATATCTCAATACTTATTAAATAATAATTTAATTGATATATTAATGACAAAACCCTTCAAATACTGTTGGAAAATACAATCAAGTGGTAATAGTCTATAGTCTACTTGTACCAAAAGGCAGCTTTGAGTAGATAAAATAAAAAAATATATAGAAAAGCACATAAAATAACCCTTTTAAAAGGCTTTTAGAAAATAGCTCTTAGGAGGGATTGTTGAAGTAGCCTTTAAAAAGGCTGTTTTATAAAAAGATGAAAAAAGTATCTGAATATATTACTGTGGTGTACCAAGCAATAAAACAGGCATCTGCCTGTGGCTTTTCCTACCAAGAAATGTCTTATATAACTGCCTGACACAGAGAGAATTATGTTGCTTGAAATTCAAAAGATAACTTTTTTTTAATTGGCTGAATAACCAACAAAGGTTTCTGATAAGTCAGTGAAATTACTTGGTGGAGACTATGCACATAGGCCACACCCCATCGATGGGGAGGGGCCACACCCCATAGGCCACACCCCATCAATGGGGAGGGGAGTAAAATACCTCGTAAGAGCTGTCGACAATTTGCATGTCAACGTTAGCATTATCTACTTCCGTGGATCTAAAAACAGACGGTCGATGGAAAAAATGAATGGGGTTTTCCTTAATCTTTAAGTATGGATTGGGTCTCTTATTTACGCGTTAGTGTATGAAAAAATATAGCTTTTGGCATCTTTTTTAATGTTTCACAAAACCACGGTGTATATTTAATAATTCATTTGTCAACGGCTAACTAAGCTCTCAACAAACGACGAGCCCTCGGTCTCACTAGCTGGCTTTTTAGTGCAGCTAATTTGGTTGTAAGGGCAGAAAACTGTAAAAAATGGCAGCTAGCTAACTAATTTATGTTAACAAGCTGAATCATATGGGCAGCTAGCTAGGGGAAATGGGCAGCTAGCTAAAATAAAGGGATAGCTAGTTACGGTAAGCCAAATAACGAACTGCTTGCCATAATATGACGCCCTTCAAACTGTCCTGTTATGCAGAATGAACTGACTTGTTGGTGAATATTGTATCATGTCACAGCATATTGTAGCGTGCCAACCAGTGGTTCAGTTATACAGAAGCACTGTTCTCTCCGAGAGGCCCTCGTTTTAAACATGCACTGTATGTACCAAAGGGCCCAGGTGTTGCACTCGATGCATGCATCGAGGGGCCTGGGGGCCTGAGTGGTCAACTCACACTGTAACCACCCAGGGGCCCGATGGCCCTAGTGGTCAGCTCACGCTTTAAGCACCGAGGGGCCTTACATTGTAAGCGCTGCAGGGCCCGGGGGCCCTAATGGTCAGCTCACGCTTTAAGCCCCAGGGGCCTAGGGGCCCGAGTGGTCAGCTCACTCTTTAAACGCCAAGGAGCCTGCGGGCCCTCACACTGTAAGTGCTGAGGGGTGTGGGGCCCGAGTGGTTAGCTCACGCTATAAGCACCCAGGGGCCTAGTAGTCAGCTTGCACTGTGCGCACTGAGGGCCCTGGCGTTCAACTTCCTTCGGAAGTCTTTGGGCACGCACCGCACGTGGCATGAGACTTGGAGGCCCCCTGACAGTCCGAGGCCCCAGGACTTTGGTCCCACTGGCCCGGTCCATAATCCAGCCTTGATTTTGGTAATGTTCCATATTTCCGAGCCTTTTTCAAGTAAATCTGGGCTATATATATTTTTATCCATAAACACATCTTCAATAGAAGTCCATGAGTTTCTCTCCTTTGTAATACCTTCTTCTGAGCTTAAAGCTGCCAGCTTCTTTCCTATCCGGCTCCCATGATGGTGTTCCAATCTTCCATTACCATCAGATGGACATCCCCTTTTCTCCTGCAATAATTTCCTCTTATAGTAGTAGATCTTGCCCGCTTTTTCCTCACTAGTTGAATTATGGCTGCATCGACTGGTTTTATTTGGATCATTATGAGCATCACTCTGTCACTGCATCTCACTATCTTAGAGATATTTCTTCCTGTATTCTAATCCACGTGAGAATTTCCTAGTTAGCACTCCCTCACTTGAGAGTTGTTTTTTTGATGAAGCATAAAACTGATGTCGAACAGCCTGGGACACACATCCCAAGTACGTATCCACAACACAAAAGCTACTCATCATTTTGAATAGCATCTTCTTTAAATCCAGCTTAAACTCATTCACAAATATACCCCGCATGTACATAACAACAACAGCCGCCATAACTGGCAGTGACATCACCACAGCGCTTGTGCCAGGCTAGGCGCACGTGAGGCCATATGAAGTGTCGAAGGCTCGTTGGCAGGAGTTCACGTGACAGACCCAGGTACCATGGGATGATTGACTGAGATGACTAGCACATGCACTACCTGTGCTCCCTACTGCACCAACTCACTGCATTTTAGCCGCCCAGGCGCTCCGCTCATTGTTGCGAGCATCACTCCTCTGCCCTCCGCTTGTGTGCACACACACACACCTGCTGCACTAACCTACGCTCAGTAGCAGCAGGGAGCACTCTAGGGACTGTGGAGTGGTGCAGTAATGGATGGCGGCCAGTCCGCTGGTCGAGTACTTGTCGGGATCGGCCCCGTACTCCAGCAGCAGTGACACAATGGCAGGCCGCTCCAGCAAGCAGGCCACGTGCAGCGGCGTCTTGCCGTTGGGCATGGCGTTGGGGTCTGCGCCGCGGCGAAGCAGAACCCGTGTACACTCCTCCCGGCCCAGTGCCGCAGCCACGTGCAGCGGCATGACGCTCGAGGACTGGAGTTTGTAGTTAGGCAGCCAGAAGCCTGCGAGATGGACACAGCAAGGTGATGATAATAATGATGAAAGTAATGCAATTTGTAACGCACAGAAAATTGTATGGGCATAAATGACCGTGACTCTGAGGTGCTGGAGCTAAGCTCAGTGTCGTTTGAAAGCCAGGCAAAAGAGATGTGGGGGGCCTTTAAAATTCAGGACTTGATACGCACACTGCACGTATGATGCCTGGCAGCTAATTTTAACGGGCATTTCACTTCAATGTTAACGATTCTCTGTAAATGTTAATGATACATTTTTCTTTCATGATTTACAAGCACAGGTACAAAAGGCCCAACATGACAAGCAGCCTGCAACAATAGCAATTGATTGGTGTTCTTGTATTATTTAATGTTTTATATACGTTGCTGAATAATGAACTTTAATATGAACCCAAGGAAGGCAATTATTGATCTTGCAGGAACCCTGCCTGTGGAAGTAATGGGGTTCAGCCACCCTCAAGCCTCCTGGGTCCCCATGCCCAAGGGGGAAAAGCAATCACGAGTCCTCGATGGCGGCACAGAATTGTAGTGAGACAGACAAGGGGCAGCATTTGCTTCCGGAGCATAGGTAGTTGGGTGAGAGTATTGACAGCTGAGACTCGATGTGAGCATCAAACAGGAGCAGGTATCGTGCAGATACTGCATGGTGCCGGCCTGAGAGGGCCACGGCACGCGATGCACTGTCATCGCGTACACCCCACGGGCGGGTGTAGTACCAGCCCTAGCGGGGCTTGGCGTGCGCTGGGATAGCGCGAGCACCACGCATAGCGCGTAGTGCGGGCTTCCACAGGGGGGAGTAGGAGAGTGTCAGCCCAGGGGCAGGGTTGCCCCGGGCCATGGCAGTCTGGTTGACCCCGAAGACACGTGATCCGGAGTGTCCACAGAGAGGCCCCCAAGTGGGGGGGGGGCTAGGGGGTGATCACGTGTCCGGGGAGAGCTCTCGAGAGGTATCGAGAGGGAGCTGGAAGGCTCGAGAAGGTGGGCGGGGCCGAGGGCGGAGCAGCCCCGACCCAGGGGGATATAAGGCGGGTCCCTGAGAGGGACCAGGGTCGCTGCATTCTACAAGCTGAAGCTCTACGTTCTACAAGCTGGAAACTCTACAGGCATCAACACGTGGTCGGGAGCCGAGTGAGGGCTAGACCCTTCGTAGCTGTAACCCCTCCGTATAGGGTAGTTAGCTGGGTGGCCACCACCCTAGGCTGTATCTGGTGAAGGGGAAAGTTACCCCTTTGTGTTACGTGTTGATGTTACAAATAAATGTGTTGCCTCCAAAGAACAACATTTGCGACTCAGTTTGACTCACTACACTAATATTACATTTAATGATTTCTCAAGCCCCATCTTGACAAATGATATTTTTGTTACATTTGTTGAGAAGTTCCCGACGACTCACTCGGAGGCTGAGGTAAGTTAAGGGCTTCCGCCTTAGGTTCATTACAAATCCTAACAATACACAGGGGTGAACAACTTCCCAGGGGTTAGGGGTCCCGGGCTAGGTCCCGACACAGCCGGCTGCCCTGTGCTGTCTCCTCTGTGCCGGCCGTGGGATCAGCCGACACGGCCGACCGAGGAGCACAGCCACGTCCAGCCCTGGCACTGTGCCCTCTCCTATCCCTACCCTCTAGCCTCTGGCTCGCCGTTCCACCCTTCTCAGACCCTACTCTCCAGCTACGACCCCGCTGACGTCACGGGTCCCCCCTTTATACTTGAGCCGTGACGTTATTCTGCTGCCCGAGCGCATGACGTCACGTCGCGTGACGTCATCGCACTGGACAGCACACGTGACGCCACTTCTCCATTCTACTCTACACGTTTGTTACGAAAATTGTACCATGTCTCTTTGCAATAATTGGGGTTTCACCCCATAATAATGTTCACGTATGCATACATTCAGTATGGGAGCCCTCTTGACATGGGATCTCACAGTCTAGTCTGGGAGAAATGGAAAACATCTGCCAGAGGAATCGTTCAAGGTCAATCTGACAACTTCCACACTCCTCATAACCAACAGCTGAAATTTTTTTCCTCCAAAATTGTGATGAAAATTACCAATTATCGAGATAGCACCGATCACTCAAAACAGCTCCATTCTCACACGAGCACGGGGTGGCATTCATCTCCATTGGCTTACCCACACCACAAACCGTGGCAGCAGATGTGGACACTTTGTGCCAAAATAAATAATTAACAAATCTACAGTGTGCGACTATGGTCACCCAGAACAGCCCATGGAGCATAAATATGTATAACGACTGCCCGATTTACAAATACAGTACAAAGGCATGCATCAATCACAGTGATGCACCATCCCGCTACTCTTGGCGCAATTATCTTACGCAACCACCCCAATGCAAAATTGCAGCTGTTGCTCTGCATCAACATCCGCCAGAGAAGACGACATGCCCGAGCCAGAGGTGGCAATCCCATATTCCTTTGGCAGACTCTTCATGTGACAACCGCCGTTAACTTCCCACCAAAAAAAGGGGTGTTTTTATATCGACCCCCTTTTTGGGGAAATTCTGCTGGGAATAGCGGAAGGCTCTACCTGCCTGGTTTGTAGGCAGCCAGCTTCATGTGCTCGTCCTCCACGTAGAAGATTTGGTCGACTTGGACGATGTCGCTCTGCAGATAATTTTCCACCAGCGCCACTTCGTTGGCATTGAGCGCCTCTAAGAATCGGATCTTTCCCTCCCCGCACATGTCCTCTTGCGCAAGCAGGATGTTGTCCATTGCTCAACTTCCGCTTTATTTGTGAGTTATTGATATTAGGCCGTATGCACAGCTATGCTGTATTAATAGGTAGTAACCTGTTGACCTCCGAGCACTGCGTTCGGCCGATTGACCGCGCAACACATGCAGAGTGTGAACGCGCGTGGCCGTGGGTGCCGTGCGAGCAGTGATGTGTGGGTGAGAGGAGTAACTTTAGCTCGCTGTCACGCGTGGCTATTTTTGTGAGTCGTTTAAGGCTCGGCGGGGTGGGGGGAGTACAAAACACGGTGTCGATTTTGGCCGATTTGCGTGGGCCATACGCCACACAACAACAGAGTTCTTCACCCCTGTTTTCTAGTTTTTCTGCTCGGGTCTCTTGAAGATGCTTGTCTAAATCGCCGCGTAGCTGGTGATCGGTAAAGTTTATGTGCGTCACTTTGGTGACCCAGGTCACACTTGCAAATGATACGTATCCTGCTCTCTCTCGAGTTCTCACCGGGTTAAACAAATAACTTGAACTTGTATGCATTCAGTTGTAGGACTGCTTAAATATGAGTCAATATATGCAGCCAATACTGTGTATATTGAGGTGAGAATTTCACTGCACGATGAACTCGGTACTCTGAGTTTGATTCCTGGCCATGGCTAACATCAATTAAGTGAGATCTGAACTGATACTGGGCCATTTCATCCTTCAACCCACATTGACCAGCGTGGTGAAGTATAGGAAATGTATACCCATGACTAACACGGCTTGGTGATCTGCATTTTGTTCCTACGTTACTTTATCTTAAATATGAAACTTAAAACAAATCGTAGTTTAAGTATTTAAATTGGACATGTTAACACATTACAGCCCTGTCGTGAGTACAGTAGTCACAACCAGAAATTTATCCTTTTAGTAGCCGTGGTTTATTCTAGATTCCAGATTAAGGGATTCATTCCGATGGAAAGGGGGGTAGAGTATATATTTAAAAAAAACAGTAGTGTGTTATCAAACCAAACTGGCGTATGGAAAGCTTATCGTGTACTGCAGCTTGGCAGGCTAAGGGTTCCACCCCATTAATATCGAGGCAACATATTGCACTTTTTCACATTCCAGTACTATAATAAAACGCGTTTATGCGGCCTCTATTATCCGCGACAACTCGTGTTATCCACAAGCCATCTTCCTCTAATCCGCGACTTCAATTTCCAATGTCTTTGCGTAACATCCAATTCGGGATATTGTTTTAAATTGTACACAAAAAAAGAGTCGCAAGGCGAATTACATTCTATTGTCTGTCGGTTATCCACCGATGTTAGCCCCGCGGGGTAAGAGTAAAATCGTCGAGAACCCCGTGGATAATGTGGGCCTGCGATTTTGTTCTCCGGAATTGGCCCAGATTTGGGTCACGAACGCGAACAGCAGGGGGGCAAACGTCGCTGTGAGGAATCGAAACGTGTAGCAGTTGTGGGGCGCTTTCAAATGTGAAGATAAAACATTTCATTTTAATACGTCAATTTCAGTCGGTGCGCGTTGTCATCATATGCGTATTAAAGCGTGCCGCATTAAACGTGACTTCGGGCCTGAACCATCCACCAATGTGGTCAGCGATGTGGTGGTTGGTGAGGAAGTTGTGGTGGGCGCCAAGGGGGGGTCTCAAAACTGGTCGTGACGAATTCTGCTGAAAGGGGAATTCTGCTAAAAAGAGATATAAAAATGAACCCTCGTTAAAACATTCGAAGGCAAACGTTTCGATCGTGTCGCTGCACGTCCCTTCACGAGCGCCGCTATCCCCTCGGGCGCCGCCATCAACTTCGCGTCTCCACCATCTCCCCAGAAAGTAGTGCGCGGAGAGGTCAGTCCGCGGCCTCCACCAATCACGCGGCCGCGCTTGTTTGGTTTCAAGCCCGGCCGGCCAATCGGCGCGCGCGCCCAAAGAAAAAAAAAGCCGTTCAACGCGGAGATTAATCCGCGCGGCGGGAAGGTGACGCGGCCGCGGTGAAGAAATGGGGGGGGGCGGTGAGTCGGTCGGCGGGGTATTTGTCGAAGCGACCTGGGCCATTGGCTATAATCGCATCACGTGATGCTGTGCGGAGGGGGGGGGGGGAATTGAACCACTCCGATATTGGGGGCGTGGTTTGTTAGCAGGATTGAATAAACGGATATATTAATTTTAAATGGATCGCAAACGCTCACGATATACGCGTCGAGTGTGTGTGCGGGGACCGAGTGCGTACGATTTTCTTTTATATTGAGCAAAACCGTACAAAAATGACGAGTCGATTCCTCAATGCTTGTCGCGGATGGATTTGGAGGGGAGGAGGGATGTGTGGACCCGTCGCTCGCGTTGGCGGAATCCGCGTGACGTGGCACGAGCCGCCCAATGGGATGGCGGGCTAGGAGGGGCAGGAGGCGGCGAATGCAAGAGAGGGGGGTGGGGCGTTGCTCCTACGAAACCGCCCCTTTCGTCTATTGGCCGCCATCGCGGCACGTGACGCGCGACGACCAACCGCCGGCAACGGTGGGGGCGGGAACCCAATCGTGAAAATTGGAAGGCGGCGCTCGCGAGGGCGGGTTCGGCGGGGTTGGGGGGGGGGTAGAGAGAGAGAGAGGGGGGGGGCGGTGTGGGGGGCGTGAAGGGGGCGTGGCGGCTGTGATCGCGCGCGGGGACGACGCGGCTCTTGACGTCTGGGCTACGTATGGCGGCGGTGGCCAGTGGGCGCCCTGCGTCGCTCTGACGAGGCGGGTACGTAGTCGACGCGACGGAGGCGCCCGCTTCGCCGCCGTGCTCGGCTTCGGGCGGGAAACGGCGTCGGTCGCGATGGTTTTCTGGGGTTCTTTCGTGAGGAGGGGAGAGGGGTCGTCACCCTCGCGGGCGGTTGGACGGGATAAACACGCGACATTTTTTTCTGCTGCTGCTTCTCCTCCTCCTCCTCCTACTACCCACCCCGCCTTGCACTGGCGGCGGCGGCGGCTGCGGTTGAGAGGGGCTTTGGGGGCGGCGGTGGAGCGTTACAGTCATGGCGGCCTCGCTCGCCTGGGCACGGCTCCCTCCCGAGGGCGGCTGCCCCCCCCTTCCCCCCACCACCCCCCCCCACTACCCCCTCCCCCCACTATACCCCCCACTACCCCCTCTCTACCCCCCCTCCCCACCTTGGCCGTCGTCTTCCTCGTGTTGTTAGGGCGGCCGCGTTGTTGTGGGTGTTAAAAAACAAAACCCCCCACGGATAACGAAATTTCCCAGCCGCCTGTTACACTCTTAAAGCAATGGTTGATGAGAGTGCTGAGGTTTGTTTTGTGTTACGAGTTTTCCAAAGATTACAAAAGAAATGTGCTTTAAAATGTTCACGCATGCCCAAGTAAGAGTCGTGGATTTTATTTTCGTTTTCTTTGCCACAAGGAGCTTACGTTTTCCGGAGTAATTTGTAAACTATGCAAATTTGGGCCTATGTTTTAGTCTACCACTATGCAGGTCGTCTCTTAAATACGTTTTTATTATTCCTGCGTACGTTTACTCGTGTTGCATAACCTACTATGAGTGATATTCACTTCGCAAACTAGATGGGCTTAATAAGCGTGTAGTTCCAGTCGTGATAGTTTTGCACAACAGCCCACAGTAGGCCAAGGTAACGGGCCGTGGCCCTCAAAATTGGTACATTTCCCGTAATATACGTTTCAGTTCCGTATGAAGTTTGTTGTTTTAAATGTTAAGGTATGTTGTTAAGCAGTAGTATTTATTACACTATAAAAGCGGGGCGTGGTGGCGCGCACGTTCAATGCTGTGGAATAGGCATGGGACATCGAAATAAAAAATTTCGCTGTCTGGAAGACTCGGATGCTTTTAAAATGAAAACTTCGAAGTATAATGAAACATTCGTCAATAAGACTGCCTTGGAAGAAAATGAGCCGACGTTTCGGTCAATGTCATTTCATAGCACATGTCCCTAAATGCGCTTTAGAGATCAGGGCCATTGCCCACAACGCCTCGATTACGTTTTCTGCAAACAGTATTATGTAGATATTCCAGAGAAATGTTTATTCCTGAGTAAAGTAGTATTTAACAACACTAAAGTTTACATGTTTAAGGCCTTATTCAAACCACCAGCTCAAACGTTGAGAAAATGTAGCCATCCCAACAGGCAAACATTATTTCCAGCCTCTTATTATACTGTTGTGATGGGTTTTTCTCGTCATTTATAGTTTGGAAATGTAAAACATGTTGGTGCCTGGACGACACTCAACACAAACTTAGCCTTGAAGGTGATATCGTGAAAAAGATTGATTCATAATTTAGAGAAGAAAAACACATTGCTACAAGGATGTCGTTTAATGATCAATCCTAAATCGCAATCTTTAAGTCCACTTTTGAGAAAGTTAAAATAGATGTTTCACGCGCTATGGCACAAATCTGTTGTTGCAGGGTCAACACTAAAACTAACGTCCACTTGCCGTTCCCAGGTTATTAATGTTAAAACCCGATCTGCAGTAGTGCGAGGAATGTATGAGCGGTTTTATTTAATAGTTTTAAAGCAAATTCTGACTTCTTTAAAAACTAAATTGAAAACACCCCATGTTCCGATGTCATTGGAGGGATCAGCATCGATGTACCGAAACAATTTTTATCGGTGTATCGATGCTTTATTTTTCCCCAAATCCAACTTTGGAGACTGGTTTTGTGGGATCACCCTTTATGGTTTGTGAAAATCGCTGGGCAGCGTGGTGGCAGGGTGCTGTAGTAGAGCAAGTGGGATTATATTATTGGTTCTTTCGGTAAAGTCATGTAGAAGGGAATTCGTGAGAATTTTTATTGTTTTATATTTTTATTATTTTATTGTTTCCCTTCTACGTGACTTTACCGAAAGAACCAAGAATATGAATCCCTGCAGTCACGAAAGCTTTAAATCAAAATTCAAGTGGGATTAATAAATTAGCAGACAACTACGATGCTGTTGGGGGAACTCATCCCTGTTGTAAGCGTGGCATTTCACTGAGTTCTGATTTTCGCATCGAATAAAATACGAATGGAATTGGCCCATCTTCCCACATTCAAGAGGACCCTTCGAAAAAATATGTATTGAGACCGAGGTTTCTGATTAAGTTTCCACATTCACGCCGCCGTTAAGTCGGGAGCTATTGACTCGAGGCGCCGCCGTTTTGGAATAAAGACTTACAACATTTGAACGTTCCCCTTGCCGTGTATTCTCGTAACGACAGATTATCTCCACAAAGCGACCTGCTCGTGTCCCTCCGTAATCAATGCTACCCTCAACAGCCGCGTGGTTACTGGTAATCACCAGGCCATGATATGCCATGGCAAATCGTTGCAGGCATCCGTTACTAATCTTGAGCGGTTGTGGCAACTTTGCGAGGAATGGGATGACGGTTTTCTCTAGCAGTGTGTAGCTGAAATGCATCAATAGCACAGAGGCACACAATTCCTATCGAAAGCCATCGACACTACCGCTTCACTATCAAACCACACAATCACGTGACACCACCACCACAACATCTCTCCACACCACCACAGTTACTCCACTTGTGCGGGGATGAGGCCGTTTTTTTATTTGTTTTTGAAACTTCGAGCGTGATGTCATGCACGCGCGGGGGAACGTCAATCAGATTTGTTTAGATTTGGAGCGACTGGGATTTTTTTTTACATTGGGAAACGCTTGGACAACCGTTGCCGGTGACTGTTGTCGACAACTATCATACCATATTCTTGGTTCTTTCGGTAAAGTCACGTAGTTAGAAAAACAAAACAAATCTAAAATAAAATTCAAATGAAATAAAAATAAATTGAAAATAAAAGCCAAAAACCCACAATAAAAATAGTAAAATTAAATGAAAATTGAAAATAAATTGAAAAAAATAAAAGCAAAAAACCCACCACGTTTGGATCGCAACACAAGCGGTCTTCATCAGGCGGAGAGAAAAGAGGGGGCAAGCCCTCCAAATTCAACTGCTTATACAGTATAAGGATTCCAAAGTGAGTGGGCAGGGGAAATCCGCGCTAGCAATACGAGCTGCACTAGCAACACGCTAATGTAGGAGCAGAACAATGGGGGAGTTGGGAGGAGGAGACCTTGTGCAGCGCAGACGGCATTGGTAGGACAGCCAGTCAGCCAGCGCTAATGTAGACAAGGGGGGGGGGGGGGGGTAGAGATGGGGGGGGGGGGCATTGCACCTCGCTACACACATCCACTGCTGACGGTAGAGGTTGACACGAAAACAAATCGTACCATGTCAACCCATACGGTTTAGCCCGTATTATTGTACAGGGAAATTCGAGTTTTTAGGCCCATACGGCCTACAGCCGTTTCAATACGGGCAAAAACAAACATTTTCTTAGTGTGTTTCTCCCTTTTGACGGGACTTTGTAGGATGAACGTTGAACTTTATAAGGGCACGGGGTGACCAGTAAGGTCTGAATTGGTCTGTAATAAGGTAGGCAGCACTTATAAGGAGTTGACAGGTATGAACTATTGCCCTATGAGATTGTGCTCCAGTGCATCATGAACCTTATGGCGGGACCCCGGGGTCCCGAATAAACGGAAGTAAAAATCTTAATAAATTTTTGCCGACTCCGTCCCGCCGCGCACTTAATCGCTGCGACCCACCTGGCGCACATCATTCTGTTGTCCAAGGGCAGCGAGGACGAATCCGCAGAAGAAACAAAACTTTGATTAGCGCATCATGTAGAGCCCGTCGAGAGGATTATATTGCCGTATCGTTTGCCTTCCACAGACATAGAATGAAGTAGCAACACAGTTTATGCGAGAGCCGGGGGCTTATGGGACCCCGCAGTCCTGCCTTAGGGTTCAATTATGGCCTTCAGAACTGCCATGGAGGACATGTGCCAACCCCTGGAACTGGACTGATAACTTGGTGGCGCTTTGTCAAAATAAACAAGACGGTGAAATAAGTGTGGGTGCCGCTGTTTTATTTAAACCTCGGCCGTTTTTGCCATTATTGCTGCTTAAATACCGGTGCTCTGAAAACGGTCCTGTAGCAGCCAATGCTTGGTTAAGGCTGTGCCTATTAAATGGCCCAATGCACAACGCCATAGCTCTCCAAAGCCAATCGTGTTTGGAGAGGTAGCGGATTTTCTTGGTACTGCAGTTAAACTGTGTGGTGTTGTTTAACCAGGCTGAAATAAGCCCTCACGAACATTTTGTCTCAGACGCTGGCACTTTAACAGCACGTATGGACAATTAATTCTCAGCTGTCATTCCAAAAGTTTGGTAATACATTGTATTTAAAGTAACCATATGTAAGGTAAAGCATGTATACAGTACAATATTTCAAAACAACTTAATTGGAAAAGGACAATAGGTTCCAACTGGGGTACTAAATTATTATTTTGAATAGTTGCTGAAATGCCACTATTTTTGTGAGGCTAAAGACTAATGGTATGCGATGAAACAATTGAACCCTATACAAACCTTGATCAGAAGATATGGTCAGATATTGCAGGTTACAAAGTTATGGTATCGATTTTCTTATGTAACCACGTTGAACAGGAGTTGATTTGTAATGCTGCCTATTGTAGACTGTAGAATTAGATTATTTGGACTGGAGGAATCCCTTGTGCTATAAAGCTCCTTTTCACAGATTTCCAGTAGGGGGAATTCAGCAAGTTTCCGGAAGTAACAGGAGTGAGGTAACAGCACTTGTTAATGGTCTGACTTGCACGTGGGTTATTTTGCTTATAGATAAGGTTCAACAGTGTAAAATGATGCAGTGTGTAGGCAGTCGACTGATATACTAGTTAATAATGTGTTTTATATTTTGTGCAAATTGTACGCGAGTGTTTCATGTTGGTTGACGGTGCCGGAGAAAAGCAGATGAGACAGAAATATTGAGAAACAATACAAATGAGATGGTAACAGGCAGACAACTATTTCATCGAAATGTGACCCCAAATGATGCAATTAATTGTTTCATATCAAGTAGGCAGCTGAAGCTGCCGGCGGAAACATCTTTATGCAAAGGCTCCATTATTGGGGAGCTGTTTTGAGCGATTCACTTCCATGGGCGTGCCGCTGAATTTAAACTGTAAAGTATGCCAGTTATACATTTACATTTAAAACACGTCAAAATAATATTAATAATAATCAGTTTAAATATCATGGCATAATGCAATGCTGCAGTCAGGGCTTAATTTCAGAAGGGTCTGCCCGGATCAGAGAATATTTCCACGCCTGGTACACCAACATCCATCATACCTCTCGTGGCTACGATTCGCATACCTACTCCAGACTACACGCAGCCCAGAACATATTCTGTCAGACAAGAATGTGTCCTGGTTACACCCATGATCATAGCGCAAAAGAACAATAAATGTGTGCTGCTGTTCCAGTAGGAATTGAAAGGAGCCTAAGATGTCCGAAGGCCAGCAGGAGACAGCGATATTGAGCACAAGTGAGGGAGAGACGCTCGTTACAGTCACGCAGGTATGGGGACGCGGCAACACTCAACCAGTGGCGCAACCTACAGAAGCATTTTTGAGGCATCAAATGGTTTTCTTTCCAAGAGTCCAGTCTGTTCTATAACACTTATTTTTTAGAACACGAATTGGATGTTATGCGATCCATATATTAGGGAACACATTTTTTTATAACACTGATGCGAATTGGATGTAACGCGATTCAGCGAACAAAACTACGTCGTGCGAGTAGGAATAAGCCATTGTACAGCTGCCTCGGCTTAGCATCACACAAGTCGATTCTACTGGGTGCTTCTAGATGCTAGCCACGTGCCTCAGTCTTAGTTCAGCCTGCGTAGGCATCTCATGTGTTATTGCAGAATGTGCTTTACCCGATATATTTATTACTAGCTTTTATTACCCGGTTTCACTCGAGACTTAGATTCTTTTCTTGGATTAATATACGGCCTACGCGGAGGGTGGGGGGGGGGGATGCGTGACGTCAGCAGGCACACTGCGTAACACTGCCGCATGCGGGTGACATCACAGATGTGACGTCACCGCTCACTTGCCGTGCAATAAAATATATCCATTATTGCGCCCCCCCCCCCCCCCCCCCCCCCCCCCAAAATTACAAAAGTCTATTTTTATACTTTTTGCATTGTGCAGTCTGGAAGCTACCCACATGCCAAATTTCAAGTTTGTTGCATGTTGGGAAGTATGCTAAACATTTCAGGAAACGCAACTACCGCGTTATAGGAGAACAGACTGTAAATGTGCATGAAAAAGGAATATGTGTACATCTACACTTGTGCAGTACCATACGTCCAGGCAAACATACTTGCGCTCATACATCCAAAGTCACAAACATACTTACTAACATAAATTACACACACACACACATGACATATACAGCATACATGCTGTTACACTTCAAGTGCATGTATGCTATATTAGGCAACTGACTAACCATGCAACAAGACATCGATTCAAATTCTTATGCTCGGGATGCAAGCATGGAATCACACTTGTAAAAAAGAATGACTTTCAATTCTCATACATTGTATTACATTGGATTGAATTATGTGACTCGTGCAGTCACTACGTTTACCACATTGTAAAAGAATTGAATCTTTATAAATAGTTAAGCGGCTACGATTGAACATGTGATAACTGCACTCAAGTGTTGAGCATCAAGTTCCTGTATTAGTATTTTTGGGAACTAAAAGTTGATGCTCCATTGATAGCTATACAGAGTAGTTCCTTTACCATACACATCTGCAGCAGTTGATTTCTGCACTGATTGTCGCTTTGCTTTAGCCGATTCGGCTTAAAATAATAATCATAAGTTTATTTCCCGAGCAAAGACCATTGGCCATAGAAGCTATTTTTGATAGGTAACTCATCCAGCAGACTTCAAAGAAGCATTCCACAATATGGGTCACCGAGGTTATATGTCAATACTATCACTGATGTGATGTGCTCTGTAGATCTTAATTTGTGCTCATTTAACACCATTTGACATAGCAGACGTGCCAAAGTTTATCATTTGCCTTAAAAAAAATGGAAATTGCCCTCTACTGCATGGCCTCTTAATGTGCTTATTATCTCTTGTGCACAGTCTGATTCATATGCACCATACATCTGTATTGTGTTTAAAGAGGTGTCTGTCTCTGTCCGCAGGTGTCAGCAGAGGAAGTAGCACAGGCAGGCACCACCACAATGGCGTTGGTCCAGCTTCCCGGGGGTCAGACCGTGCAGGTGCAGTCAGTCATTCAGGCTGCACAGTCCTCTGTCATCCAGTCGCCACAGATACAAACCATCCAGGTGACATGCGTAAACATGGACCCTATTTTAAGCACTCAATCTTTTGAGTGACTCGTCATAGGAAGATAACTTCTCTCTCTGTGATTGAAAATGACAAAGGGTGTCTTTCACCCTGGCCGCCTGCTTGTTTGCAGGTGGCCACAATTTCAGATGGCGAGACATCGCAGGAGTCTGGAGACAGCTCCTCGGACACGCAGAAGCGCAGGGAGATCCTCTCTCGACGGCCCTCATACAGGTGCGCACTCCTCACTTCTCCTGCCTTCCGGTTCCACATTCTCAGTCAAGCGCTCTCGTTTAGCAGTTTGGGGTGCACAGTTCTTGACGATCTCTCGTGGTGTCGTTTGAGTTGATGGAGTTATGCATTTGCCTCATTTCTCGGTTGCCCCATGCAGGAAGATCCTGAACGACCTCTCCTCTGATGCGGCGGCTGTCCCGAAAATTGACGAGGAGAAGGCAGAGGATGATGGCGCTTCCACAAATAACATTGTGACCCTGCCCACACCCATCTACCAGACCAGCACTGGCCAGTATTGTAAGTAATTATTATAACACCCTGATATGTAAATTAGGTTACCATTGCAGTATATGGGCGATAGCAATTATGTGTTTGTGTGAAGAAGACAAACTATAGGCCTTTCTAGTTAGGCGACCCAGAAAATAATTTTGTTCTTGGCACAACACAATCGGTATACATCTCACAATGGCTGTGGCTAGTCGTCAGTCACGTGCCCCCTCCAGTGTGCCGGTTACCTGGAAAATATGCAGGAGGAAATTAAACCCTGCCTATGCTTAGATAAATTGGGCAGGTAGAGATAACAACGCGGGTTTTGCTGATCTATTGCATGTGCACGTGTGTTTTCCTGCAGTTGCCATCGCTGGCGGTGGTGCAATACAGATCAACGGGGCAGAGGGGCTGCAGGCACTCACCATGGCCGGTGCGGGAGGGCAGCAGGCGGGCGCCACCATTGTGCAGTACGCGCAGACCTCCGACGGGCAGCAGTTCTTCATGCCGGGCAGCCAGGTCGTGGTGCAATGTACGTACCCCTCGACCGTGACACAGCCGCCTTGCTTACCTGAGAACGGTCACAAGACCTGTTGCCAACTAAAGTCGAGCTGGGATATCAGATTTTCGAAGCAATCGTTTAGCATTTATCAATTTGTTCACTCGACACATCGGATAATTCGACAATACTCTCGCCTCTTATCCCGCGTGTGCCGCTGAGCGGGAGGTGATGGGCACGGCTAGGTGATGCCATTGGTATCATCAGCGTCAAGCTGACCGTGGCACGTGGTTTCCTGCCTTTGGGAGGAAAGCTGTGGGGATAGCCACAAGTTTTAAAGGGGCCCGATTAATCGACCACAAAAAAAGTACTCGATTATATTTTTTTTAGTCGACCTAAACCAAACTAGGCATTTGTTGTGGAAGAATTTCCAGGCTGTTGTCTCACTTTGTCCCGTTTTCGTGGCCTGCCGTATGACTTTCAGCGGCCTCAGGCGAGACGTACCAGATCCGCACGCCTTCGGGTGGCATCCCACAAGGCATGGTCGTGGCAACGTCGCCCGCCTCCATCCAGAGCTCGCAGGGGGTTCCCGAGGAGGGCACGCGCAAGCGGGAGGTCAGGCTCATGAAAAACAGGTGCGTGTGTGCGCAGTGCTTCGCTGAAATTAATGATTCATTTTGTCGAATGATCTCTTGCATCTCATTCGCGATTGTGCTTTTCCCCCTCTTAACGCTACTGTGTGATTAGCAGGTTGGAGAAACGTTGCAGTCAAATTTGCAGTTTACTTGTGAATTCTTTTTAGGTTCATCTTAAAATGTGTACACAAACAAAACAAAACAACTCTGGTTGGCTTTCTTGGATTAGTTTAACACTTTGTTTGGTCACGTGTGTTTTTTTTGCAGCATGCAAGAGTTTTTTACGTTTACCATGTAGAAAAATATTCATTAAGATGTTCACATTAAGTTGTAAATTATTTGCTTGTGATGGTAGGTGCATAACTCTCCGTGTGTTCATGTTGTCTGTGTTTTGTTGCTGATTTTACACTAAATGTGTGCAGTACCCCCAAACTGTCATGCTGGGCATTTCCCCCTTGTGATTCTTGTTGACTTAACATTCTAATACCTTTTTTCTTGAAATTTGTGAAATGTGTGTTGCCGCTTTGCAGCCTGATGTGCCTCACAGAAAGCGTCTGTCCCTTGCCTGTAAGAGACGTAAGATAATGTGTGGCTGAGCATAGTTTAATATTCGCTTACATTCATGTAATTTTATTCCATTATGTTGCGGTAAACGTGAGGCAACTTACCCAAAAAGTTTGTAAATTAATGAAAAGGCAAATATAATTGTCATAGGTAGCTCTAATGTCAGCTTATGTGGACATAAAAGGTCGCTGCTCTGTGAGAGTTCCAAATGGATATTATTTATTCCTTGACTTTCGTGACTGCAGGAATTAAAATTATTTGGGTCTTTCGGTAAAGTCACGTAGATAGGTTCAAAGGAAATAACAAAAAATGACTACAAAACTACTTTTTTTGGGGGTTATTTTCTTTGAGCCTATCTACGTGACTTTTCCGAAAGGCCCAAAGAATATGATATTATTTATCTCATAGCACAATTAGAAGATCGTTGGGAGAAACAATCACAAAAATGGTCAAATGTGAGTATAGTTCAACACTATTATGCGACACAGTATTTTAACATTTAGAAGTTTTGTCATGGGTGATAAGTCATTGTTCTCGGGGCTCGAATTCTCCCTGAATATTTTCAAGTAGACTGGAGGAGCAGGCCATGTGGCTAGTAGCCATAGCCAGAGGTATCCTGGATGTGGTGTGCCAGGTCGCAGAAATATATCGCGGCTTGCCGACCTGGCCCGGAATTAATCCCTGATTGCTCTCTAATGCCAGCCATGCTTATCCGAAAGCAGTGGGCGACAGGTTCAAGGCGAAGGTGGACCCTGTCGTGGTGTCGGCCGGCACAGGAGTGCTGCCTGACGCAGCACTTCCGGTTTTTTTGTCCCTGTGTCCGCAGGGAGGCGGCACGTGAGTGCCGCCGGAAGAAGAAGGAGTACGTCAAGTGCCTGGAGAACCGCGTGACCGTTCTCGAGAATCAAAACAAAACCCTGATCGAGGAGCTGAAAGCCCTCAAAGATCTTTACTGCCACAAAGCCGAGTAGCCCGTAACGAGGCCGGGAGCTGGGGAATGTGGGGGCGGAGCTCTTTTTATATCCGTTCATGGGCACTCAGGCCGCTTTTTTGTATCCAGAGTAAATAATACATCGTTACTGCATTATGATCATATTCACAAATTGGTGTACTTGGCGAGGCAAAATCTCGTACAAATCTTTAGCCGAGTGATCAGTTGTGCATAACCTAATATATTGTACGTTTTAATTAAGGCATATTTATCAGCTGCATTAAAAATATTAACAACAATTAGGCTATTCATTGTTGTTAATATTTGCTAAATATGGATACCATTTTTCTGTCTTGTCTAAACATGCAATGTTATTTCAAGACTTTAATCGTGTGTGCTTTTAGGAAGAAAAAAGAAACTAGTGTTAACTTTATTCACAGTAGACAATTGCACTGATTACTGAATACGTTTTTTTTTGTTTTCTCCCTGTAGTAGCGTGTAGCCGTGTTGCTTTTAGCTCGGGGTCCCAGTGCGCACCATCCAAGACCCTGCTTGCTCTGCGTGCCCGTGCTATCCCGCATGGTTGTTTACAGGAAGGTGTTAGTGTGCCCAGCACGTCCCCACGTCTGTGATTGACAGGGAGGAAGGAAAGTGATAGGTCGCATGGCATGTGTGTGCGCGACAGTTCACTTTGCTTTTCCAAGGAAGGCTTCCCTAGCTCACGGAGATGTGTTTTTACGACGTGGTTATTTGTTGTTGGTGTAGATATGATGCACCTAAGCCACATAATGGAAGCCTCTGCTGCAATGGCATGTATATATGTATGTATATTTTGGTGTATTTTCCTGGAGTCCATCGGGCCCAATGTCGATTTGTCCTTGCCCCGTGCCGTTGTGTTTGTGTGTCCACCAAGCCCTAGCATGTCCGTGGTGCGTGTTTGTGTACGTGTGTGTCCGCGCACGTGCCACCTGCTACCCAGGGATGCGGCCAAGGAATGCCGCCGGCGTAAGAAAGAGTATGTGAGGTCCTTGGAGAACCGCGTGGAAGTGCTGGAGGTCCAGAACAAGCAGCTGCTGGATGAGCTGTCGGGGCTCAAAAACCAGTTCCGTTTGAATCCTGGCAGCGCTGGGCAGTGAAGTTGTCCGTAGTTGCGCGACCTCGCATCGAGCCCGCAATCACCCGGAGTCCAAAACAACGCTTCGAGTTGTCAAGTGTGAACTTTATTTATTGAGTTAATTGGAAATATCGTATAAGTAAACAACTGACCCTGAATATTACAATCATTCTTTTTGAATGCCTAAAATCAATATACGTGTGTATTATGGGTTCTATGGATGTGTGGTTTGGCCCTGGTAATTGACTGGAATTCTTGTACAGATATCAGAATGTGGGATAAGAAACATTCCCGGCTTGCATACAGGGGTGCCGGCTGCGTTATGGTTTCATGGCTTTATTCTGAGGAATTGGTTACGTGTGAGGCTTACCCATAGCGCACTTTGTTTTGTATACATTTTAGAGCCAGTAAAGATGAAAAAAAAATTGCATTTGCGGTAAATTGATTTTAATTTGCGTAAATGTAAAGTTTCCAAAGCATCTATTTACAGAATGCCAAAAATGAGTCCAGGAACATCTGACACAGCTCTTTTTGCGCAAAGGGTGGAAAACGGAAGACCAGTCCCAGTTTTAATTGAAATTGTCTTTTAGGGCCTAAAGGGCAGTGATATAATTTCAGTCGATCGTTGGTGGCAATTGTAGCTGCAATGTACGATGTTTGTGGACATTCATATGCCTGGCCTGTGTGTAGTAACAATTGGCATTTCTAGGCTCCATTCTCATGATTTTCCCAGGCGGGGGGGGGGGGGGGGCGTTGAACTGTGGGCGTTGAGCCAAAGCCATGCATATAAATAGGAGGACAATGGTTGGTTCTATGTTGCCCTTGCTCTGCATTCCTTCATGTCCACGGTGACCTTTTAAAATTTGGTGTCGTTTTAAGTGTTGACAAACACTGGAATTGGTAAAAAATAAATTCCTCCCTTTGTCAGTAGCTAATAGAACGTATGATCTGTTACGTTAAAAGACTCGTATTTATTTTATTCTCAATTTCTGGTTTTTGCTGTATTTTGTAACCTGGCTTAACTTGTACCCATTTTGTACCGCGTATTGCTTTTAATACAATCCTTTTTGTGATGAGGGGGGTCTGATGGCGGTATGCGGGTGGGTTTAGTGCTTGGAGTGTGCAAACAACAGTTGTCTGCTTAGAATGTGGAAGTGAGCAGTTGTTTCGTCATGGTGTGAGGTGACGATAGCGGGTAAGGTCTCGGTGAATGAGTGTCGTTTAGGGTGTTCGATTGAGGGGTGCTTTGTCTCGGGGTGTGTGCGGCTTTCATCAGGTGTATGTTCACGATGCTCACTGGGAACTTATTGTCCAGTAATGCCAGACTTGGCTGCCGTAATTTTGATACTGGCACAAAATTCCCATCGATATAACTGCTCAACTCGAGCTATTCATGTTTTGATAGTTGCATTGCCTTTGGACTGTTCGCCTTTTTTTGTTCTCTGGTCTAACACTGGTGGTGAGACAAGGCCATAAGAGAAGACTGTCTCTGGTGTAGGCCAATCAGTTTCAAAGACAATATATTATCACATGTTTTGCCACCAGTGCTGTGTGTGGTTAATGCAGACTTCGATGCCCTGCAATAGGCTTCTATTTGGAGTTTGAACATCTTAACACCTCTTAAAATGCCAGAAAGGGTAAAGCCTCTCTTTTTTTTCGTTGTGGGCATCGAGGAGGTGCCGTGTGCTGGCTCGCCAGAAGAAGGCAGTACACCAAGTTTACTAATCGCCATCTGTTTCCATCTGTATGGGGAAAGTGTGTTGCCCCCCCTCATGGGTGCTCCGGTTTCCTACCACGTGTACAATAAACATCTTTAATCGACTCAAAACGTCTTAGAATAAAAGCCCCATACAGGACCGTCCTGAAAAAGAGTCCCATGACTCAGTGTGGCTCTCCTGGTGGAGGGGGGGGGGAAGTAAATTATTACTCTGGTTCTATTCGGTAAAGTCACGTAGGTAAAAATAAAATAACAAATCACGACGTTTCGGCCACTTGTGGTACGTGACCTTACCGAATAGAACCAAAGAGTATGGATCCTTGCAGTCACGAAAGCTTCAAATCTAGAAGTAAATTATTGTTGAATAGGACGAGTAGTGGGTGGAGAATCTCCAGACCTTAGGATCACCAGTGGAGAAGTAGCGACCTCTCACTGAGAGCCGACATGCTCGTTTGATCTCGCGATTGTAATTTCTCTCAGCCTCACCATCTGCGCTGCAGGTCAGAGCTGATCTGTAGGACACAAACACCAACAAACAGCGACCATAAAGAGACATTGACGAACCCGTCATTGACGAACCCTCGCGATGGCGCTGTGGGCCCGGCCACCTGAGTTCAATTCCCAGCCACGGCGAGTGACATTTAAACCCGGTTATTGGCAGCCCCCCACTACCCCCCAGAAGCAAGCCGTACCGAACAGCGTGATGAAGTGCAGTCCAACAATTGCCTTGTCCCAAAGGCGTGGGAAGGCCTTCATCTAGCAGTGGATTGGGACAGGACTGTACACTGCGTCATTGCCCACACACCCACACCCCATTGCCCAGTGACCCTGAATGACCCTGAACTAAGCGTGTCTGGCCCTGGTTAGTTGTCGGGTGGTAGACTGCCTTGACATACAACTGCTGTCGAGAAGACCGTGGAACAAGAAGGCCATCGTGAGAACACGCAAGCCAAGCAGGGTGCGTCCACACCGCGCCCTGTGAGCGTTCAAGCTCTCCGCAGCCCCGGCGTGCCCCCCACCCACCCCACACACAAATCTCTCGCATGCAGCTCACCAAGCAGATTGTATTCATTAACCCCAGCCGCGTCCCCCCGCCACATGACCCCGAGGGTCGCCACTGAGCGATTCGCAACCCCCGTTGGGGGGGGGGGTCACGCGCGCAGCGTCGGGGAAGAGGAAACCCCCCAGGCTGGACGAGAGGGGGCCACAGTAACACGGAGCCCTGGGGCTCACCTGGGGCTCACCTGGGGCAGAAGGTATTGGGGTAGAGGGAGACGCGGCCACGATTTAAACCATCCCCCTCGTGTCGCACGCGTGTGTGGGTTCATTTTAGCCGGGCGTGGTGGCGCGCGCCTGCAATAAAGAGCTTGGTAAGGGGGGTTGGTGGATCACGTAGTGATTTGTGTGACGCTCTCACGCCCCTCTGGGATGTGAGATGATCAGGCGACGGGAGCTACAGCACGTGGCTTCGTAAACCCATCCGTGTGGACCTCGTGAGCGTTATGCGTGGTGGTGGTGGTGGTGTTGCTCCGGGTGCTCCGTGTGTCCTCCACGCGGTGTGTGGCGGTGGCGCAGCGGTGAGCGGCACTGCGCTACGAACCCAGCTCAGGCGCGATTCCTGCTCACGGCCAACATCAGTGACGCGTGTCTGGACGAGGCCTGCCCTGCCCGAGGTCGACGCAGTCTCAAATGAGTACCCGGTGCTTCGTGTTAAAAACACCGACACTGGAGGAAGACAAAGGCGGCTGTGCGTGGTGCTGGCCACGCTCTCGTGCGACGTGCTGGCCTTAATATATACTCGTAATAATGTATTACTCTTTGGTTCTTTCAGAAGAAAAGTCGCGTAGGTAGAAGTCAAATAAAACAAATCACGACGTTTCGATCGCAACACAATGAATCTTCATCAGGTGGAACAACCACAGCCAGCGCCTTTGTACAAGAGACTCCATACGTTGTACCCAACTAAATAAGTACATAAATAAATAAATAGGGCGTTGTGCTCTTTCCACAACCGCGTCCGTGGCTGTCCGGGCGACCTTTGTCAGTGCGCCGGAGCCTTCGGCCACCTTCACTCACGGAGACGCCTCCTCTTGTCCGCCACGCGGTGCCGTGAATCTCACTCGCGGTGACAACGCGGACACGAGCGGACCGGCACCGAGTGACCTCCCGCGCCCCCCACGCCGCGGTCTCCTCCCCCCAGTCGCGACATCTCCAAGTCCGCGTCGAGCCCCTTCTGTCAACCTCGAGCACGCTGCCCAGGGCGCGCTCGTGAAGCCGGGGAGCATTGGTGGTGGTGGTGAGGGTCATCGTGCAGTACAATAATTGATGTTGCTGCACTGACCTCTCTGCTCATAACATTGCCGAGTCGCAGCCTATAGCACCTGTGTGTGCTCGAGGACACACACGTCGATGATGCTGCTGAAGATGATCACATTCCGAGCGTGGTGCAGGAGTCGCCCACTGATGGACGCGCGCGCGGACGGCGCGAGAGGCCCCGGGCCGCGCGTGACAGCGAGCCCATGGCGCCATCTGCCGGCTGCGCGCAGTCGGTAAACTGAGTTAAACTTTTTGACCCCAATTAAAACATTCCTGCGGAGGGAGCCAGTAGGAACGTCGGGTTGCTCGGTCAATGGCCAGGGTCAACGGCGGCACCACGTGGTGTATTCCGCAAATATGCCGGACTGTGAGGGCGGGCACAAGCCGGCGTGAGTAGGTTAAACGTTGAGTTTTATAAGGGCACCACGGGGTGACCAGCCCCTCCCCACCCAGCCCCACCCCTCCCACCTCCCACTCAGCCCCACCCTCCCCACCCAGCCCCACCCTCCCCACCCAGCCCCACCCTCCCATTTTTGGATGCACGACGGACGGACACAATAATCCCCTGTGGGCTGGTGTAACCAGGAGGTTCCTACCAGTATCATTTCCTCTGACCGAGACGTCTGCGAGAGCGTGGAAGAGTAGGCCGAATATCATCTCGACTTGAAGGCGCTCTCCAGCGTTCCCGTTCAGTGGAGACCCCAGCAAAACCACACTGAGTCCTAGGGCTCCTTTTCAGGTGGCTCCTGCATTGGGTTTTTATTTTGGCCAATTGATGACGAGTCGTGATAATGATTATTGTACCACGTGGGGAGGAACGCGGAGCATCCGGAGACAGCCACCACCTTGCGCGAGGGCGCGACACTCGGCCAGCTGGAAACAGCCGGCGGTTATCCCACTTGCTGCGCTGCCATTCTCCTGTCGAGCCAGGGTATGGCACCTCCACGACGCGCACGAGGAAGTTTCACAACGCTGAGTGCCGTGATCCACCAACCCTTGCTGCTGCCTCCACGGTGCCGTTCACAGGCCACCCGTCGTAGCGACCACCGCCCCGGGCGGCTGTTGGCAAGAGATGGAATGTTGGCAAGAGATGGAATGTTGGCAAGAGATGGAATGTTGGCAAGAGATGGAGGTCTCATAATGTAAATGCTCACCCTCAATACTCTGATAGTGCGCTGTTTTTGAGTTGTACGCCTTTTGGCGTCTTCTGGTCCAACACCAGTGGAGACTAGGCTCTAAGAAAAGCCGTCTCGGGTGTGGACCAATCAAGTTCAAGGACAGTGCATATTATTGTCAGAGTTGTCTCTTTTGTTTGCATTTTGACTGCTTGTGTTGTGGTTATTGCAAACATTATGCCTTGAATAAAGGTGTCAGTTTTTGTGCCAGTTAAAAGGGTTAAACCTATTTCTATAAGAGATGGAATTTCCACCGTGAACTTCTCGCGGGACGCAGCCGTGACGTCCGCCCAGCCTCTCTCGAACGGGTGGCGCGCAAAGCGCTGGGGTGACGCGCGAGCGTGGCAGTGCGTGCGTTTGTTTCGTGGAGCCGGTGGATACTGAGCATTGAGAGAGGGGAGGAGGAGCACGCGGATTCGAGAACGTGGTTGTGCGTTGGTGTCGGTTGTCACGGCTCTCGCGAAAGAGCGGCTCTTGAGAGCAGTTTTAAAATATGAAAATATAAAGTATGCTTTTCTTGTGTTGACGACATCGGTCAAATTACGAAGACAACGAGTGCACGTGCGGATGTATGTTGAGCTTCTTTTGCACCGAACGTAGCCAACCGTGCTAATCGGAATAATCGGAAGTGCGGGAGGCTTGGGCAAGGGCGCATCGTGGCTTAGCAGGAACGAGGGGCGATGATCGACAATCACGAGCGAGTGACAGCAGCCAAGCGATGGGTGGACGCCCTCTCGGAACGCGTCCAAGAGGGCATCCACCACCACAGCGACGGCGGCAATGAAATCCGTTGAACCTTCTGATCATGACGTCGCAGGATCGTGAGAATTGGTGGCGGCTTGGGGAGGCCTTCATCCAGCAGTGGATCGACCATGGCTGATGATGGTGAATACGGCTTAGATTGCGGTGGTTCTTCTACGCGCTTAATAAACAGTCCCCTGTCCTAACACCTCCCGCTCCTGCTCTGCTCCGTGGCAAAAGTTATGCTACGACTCTCAATTGTCTCCAGCCTGCCCACACTCCACCCTGCCTTCCACCCTGTACTCCACCCTGCCCTCCACCCTGCACTCCACCCTGCACTTCACACAAACCCTCCACCCCGCTGCCACGCGCGCTGTCATTCCGCCGCGCGTCCACCAGGAGGCACCATCCACCCTTTCTGAAAGCCAGGGACCGCACTGAGCGGAGACCGCGTGGTCGAGAATCCGCGCCCGAGGTGGAGAGAAACGGAAAGGGATGGTGAGGAGTTGAGAAGGGGGGTGATGTGTGTGGTGCCTGAGCTGGATCGCAGATTTGCTGGATCGTGTGCATGTCCAGCCCTCTGTCAATCCAC